CAGCTCATTGTTGAGGTCTTTTTCTCAGGACGAGACCCACCCACTGCACACAGCTGGGACCAGCTCCATTGTCCTCTCTCTTCGCCTCAAAACAGGGCCCTCTGGCTTCCATGCCATTCCACTGGGTACCACTGTCTCCTAGCAACCATTTGCTAGTTGTGGTCATATCCATGTTCGTGGTACTCAAAGTTCAACTTGAATAGAATATTCTATTCTGTATTTACTTATGTGATAGATTCATCATAATTACTGCTGTTCAATTAGTAGGCCTGAAGAAGCAGATAAACTAATAATGAGTTTTGTCATAAAATGAAAACTTGTTGCAGAGCTCATGGTATCACTGGTATTATTTGTCACAAACCTTCATATTGAGTACTTTGTCTTGCTTTTCTTCTTCTTGTATAATTTATGAATCCCATAGAGCACTAGGGTAGCACAGCAGTCTTATTTATTGCTGATTACACTGGGCTTGGAAATAGAGTGGGAGTGTGGTTTTGTTATTGTCCCTGGTAGGCCCTGTGGGTTGTGAGATAAGTTGATATATATGCACAGACTGATTTGTCGACTCTTTGTTGGGAACAATGCACCTGTCTCATACATCACGCTGAGTGGTGGCCCACACCGGAAAGCAGAGCCAGGAGCTTGTCCAATCTCAATCTCCCAAGACTTCAGCTGTGCTTTGTTGCTTCACGTTTTTTTGTAAATACGGTATCATGTGAGTTTACAAAAAAACTGTGCATTTCAATCTGCTGTTTCCAGTTACACTGCAAAATATAATAGCTCATCATTAAAGACAGGAAGGTCAGGCAATGGGTTATTTGTGCATGGCCGATATTATTTATATTATCGGCCACCAGGTATTTATATTATCGGGGTATTGTGAACAAACTAATACTTTTAGTAATTTTTAATCCGTTTTGGTTTTAATATATATATTTTTTAGGGTTTTCTGAACAATTATTACTTATTGCATTTTTATTCACTGTTTAAAATAGAATAAGCTATGTGGTTTTTCTCAAAAATATCCTTAAAACAAGGTACGTCATAGTAAGGTTAAAGGGTATACATATTATATTTGTTAAGGTTTTGCATTTGACACCCTTTTGTTTTGACACCCTTTATAATCAGAGTAAACTGAATTATCAAGCATGTCTGATTGAAGCAAAACAGCATATAAACACGGAATAGATAGATATTGCTTTTGTGATAATATTTTATTTATTTGAAGAAAAAAAAATCCTGGTTGATGACAGGTGTAACTACGCCATTGAAAATGATTGGAATAATTAAGTGTTGATCATTGTCAGCACCTTCAAACTCCTCCAAGTTTTGAGCATGGAGCCAGTTACGCACACTGTGCTGCTGCGTTCACTTAACTTGTTGATTGAAACATCTTCTGACTTCTGTGTGTCTAGTGACGGTGCTGTGATCTTGCCTGTGGTTAGGTGTTGTGGATCTGTCATCACAATTGGCTCAATATCTACTGACCTCAGACCCACACTTCCAGGAAAGCTTGTCATCTGATCCCGGCCTATCCACTTTCCACTTTAGGTAGCCGCTTTCACAAAAGAGCATCTTTAAACAGTTTAGTTGGACCACACAGTACATGCAAGGGTGTTTTTGCCTGTTCAGAATTGCAGTTGCACTTTTGTCTCACCCCACCATAAACCATTAGAGCAGCCAAATGATTCCCAGGCCATTCGAGAAGATGGGGAGTCTTTTTCTGCTGTTTGAGGTAGCGCCGCTGTTGGCTGAAACTGTGCCGTAATAGCAGTGATAATGGACCTGTTGAGAGGTGAGTTTAGCTTCCCCTCTGGCCGTCTCTGCTGCTCAATTGTCCAGCATGATGGATGAAGAGGCTTTTGCTCGCAGGGCCGTGCTATCGTACACCCCTCTGTCAGTTGATAGCATCCATCATGATCAATACCAGAGCCCCCATCCACAACTCCACGCCATCACTTATCTTGACCACCAGAGAAAGGACAGGACACAAGCAGGCAATGGGTTTAAAATTCTTTTGGTACTTTCTCAACTCTTTCATTTACTTCACGGGTGGCAGTGTATATGCCGCCAAATGTATGGGATTGTGAAAACCTCTATATACACAGGGGCATCATGAATCATTTACGGTGAAAGAGGAGACGCGGGCGACAGTAAAAAGAGTTATTCCAGAGAGCGGGAGAGAGATCTGTCTGTCAGCTCTCATGTGGACTTGATAAGTTATACTGAGATTGTGTTTTCTCTTGGTGGTTGTTGAGTGTTTCCGTCTGTGGGCAAGAGTGTGTTTCTCATTGGTTGGTGAGCTGTGTATGATTACAGTGGAGTCCATCCATGAAATCCCCCTCACTCAGGTCCCATTGGTGAAGAGACAGCTCGGCCTATGTGTCTGTGTGTGTCTGTGTGTGAGAGGAAGACACAGCAAGCTGTTTTTAGTGTATTTCACTTTGTATTTTGTATTATTTTCCCACTTGTCACTTTTGCTTTGATGTTAGATCAAAATAGAAATACTTTGAATCTCCAGAAGCTCAAACTTCATCAACTTCCCCTTTTTGATTGTGTGCCTGTGATGCAGTTTTCTCTGTGTTCATAAAGAAATACAACACTTTAATTTCAAAACAATTACTCTCACCCTTGATCCTAATCACCTGGTTTACATTTAAACCATGCAGCGTTCAATGTCACAGTTTTGCCAACGCTCCAGTTTCCTGTGTTAGTAGAAGATTGGCATCTGATGTGACCACTGCTGCCGGACTGTACAGTTAAAACTGGTCTATATTGTTCGACACAAACGTTCTTACAGTTTGTGTTTATTGTAAAGCTTGATTTTTTAGAAATAATAAAACAGCAACGCTTTTTTGAGTGATTAAATGTTTGCACTTGTGTATTTATCCTCTGTATTCCCATAACATGGATTGATGTGTGCTACATTCTTTGTGGTTCATTGTGAATTATGATTATTGCTCCAGCTTGTTTATGAGTGAGCCACAAACCATTTAAATAAAAAGGTGATGATGTGTGTATTTATTGAATGGTGAAAAACATCTTTTTACATTAGAGTTCACTTATACGTTTGTAAAGCATCTTAGAACATGTCTTGTATTAATGGTGGTCTTGGTCTGCTGCTGTTGTCGGTGTGCAGGGGAAGCAGAGGTCTTGAAGTCTATGTGAAAGAGGTGATTGTTTATCATTGTATAAGCATGTGTATACCAGCTCTTCACTACTTTTTATTGGAGCGTTGCACACTGCGCATATTGTGGAACCAATAGTGTTTTCATGTTCCTGATGTAAAACACTTCATGTGCCTTCCTTTTAACATATTCAAGGCTGCATTGAGAATCACTGTGATAGTATCTATGCTAACCCTCCCAAGACTTTGTTTGCTTTGTGTTATCTTGTTTTTCAATAGGCGCACAATGCAGAGTGCTGTGTACAGTATTAATGCAGTGAGATAGGGATCAGGGGTTAATGATGTGAATCAGACAGGAACCAGACATTACCTTGAGAGTGCAGCTTATCTTCAGCAGGCGCCTTCAGCAATGTCTGATACAGTTGCTAATTGAACTAGATACAGACATTGCAGAGATTCTTGTAAACAAGTGGTTTGTTTTATTGTCAGAGCATTGGGAAAATCATTATGAGACTGTGTATTCTGGAAGTTTGTGAGGGAGGCATTAGTGAAGAGTTGTTAGCTGCTGTGTACCTGAAACCATGTGTGCTGCTGCTGCTTGATTAAGACTACAATGGGAATGAACTGTGATAGACGTAAACAAAATGGGAGGGAGTTTCTCTAATGAACTAACCTGAGGTATGCTGAGCATTGAGGTAAATCTATTCCAGATCTGAGTCTTTTGAACACTTACAAGTTGCTTGTATACCTGAAATGGAAATGGCTTTTGGAAAGTGTGTTCAGGGAACAAACAGGAGGCTGACCTGGTCGTTACAGCTCTGTATGAGGAGCCTGGCGGTTGTGGAGCGTCAGTGTAATGAGCAGAGAAGGCAGTCTGGCCACTGGGCACCACAAGAGCCTCTAACGTTCAAACAGAGCGGCTGAAAAATCCTGGGTGATAATGACCTGTGATGTCTTCTGATGCCGAACTGCTCTGATTCTGCAAGACTTCACTAACACATCAATTTGAACAAAAACAATATTGTTAAAGGGAAGGAGCAGGTTTTTGTGTTTATCATTTCCTAGGCATAAATGCTTTTGTCCTCATTCATGAACCCTATTTGACTATTTGTGGCGATTGCATAAATCTATATCTTCAAATGTGTTTACAAACAAATAAAACATTTAAAATATCACAAATCCAACACATCTGAAATTATGCATAAAATACCAGTTAGCCACAACCACATACTATGTAAAATACTGCATGGTCTCCCACAGAAATGTGTTCTTTGCCATTTTTAGGGATGTGTAAATGCAGAAATGTAGTGTTGCTAAATTCAATATGCTGTCTGTCATAAGAGTTCAAATCCCACAATAAATCTTTGAGATTCAGTAAACTTAAAAGTGTATCCAAAAGGCTATGGCTGCTGTGGCAGTTCTCTCAGGAAGTTAATGAGAAAAGCCTCATTATAGGCTGTCATGGTTTTTAGGCACTATTGTCCCAGAACAGAACTCTAGTTTAGACACGACCCCCCACATACCAGGCTCTAATCCAATCAAACTTGTAATGTCTATGTATACATCACTCTCAGCCAATCATGTTATAGCATGATAATGGGATTGCGTGCTTTGGAAGTCACACTCATGTGTAGGGTTGGGGAAGTTGCATTGAAAGTGATTAGTTACACAATGCTAATCACTTTATACAAATGTAATAAGTTACTTTACTTAGTTACGTTTGTTGTAACAAAACCTAAATGAAGCATATTTGCAAAAGATGAAGATCTTTTGCATCTTTTTCACACAGTGTTATGTTCACAAAGCGAACTAGTGTAAAATATGAACTGAAAACACAAGCAATTAATATCATTGTTCTATTCGTTTTTTACAGAGATCTGAGTGAAAACTTGATCCAGTCGATCCCTAGAAAAGCCTTCAGAGGAGCCACAGACATCAAAAACCTGTGAGTTTGTGATTTTACAAATGTTTAGGTAAAATGTATCTCTTGATGCTGTTTTTATGTATAATCCTAGACTAACCACATCCCGCTAAAAGTCTTTCCATTTTGTGAATGTATTGTGTGCCACAAAGGAATGCATCTTAACATTCAAAGCCGCGTCCATATTGATTTACCATAAGCCATCAGTGTTGTATTTACTGGACTGATGATTACAACAAGTCTGCAGGGACATGTCAAGATTGTTTGTCAATAATAACAATGACTCTTTGTTTTCTCCGCAGTCAGCTGGATAAAAATCACATTGCTTGTATTGAAGATGGAGCATTTCGGGCTCTGAGAGGTTTGGAAGTGCTGTAAGTGTTTTTCCACTTAACTTCTATCATCCTCCTTAAGAATTTGCAATATATACAAAATTCAGTTTTTTGTGTTTGTCGGTATACTTGATTGGCACAAAGCATAGAGCACCCATCTTTATTATACATTTGATACCAGGAACCATTAACTCCTTGTTCCACATAGTTGTTAAAGCATAGTTGCTGCTTCTTTCCATCACATCGACTCCACCCACTCTTTTATCAACGCCCTCCAGCCCGAAGCCAACCGCTGACAATGGGGCTCAGAGTGTCTTCATCAACAACAAATGTATTTTTGGGTTTCATTAAACTGGCCAGTAGAGGGCGAATGAGCAGAGGTGGGACAACTCAGTTTTGCTCCCATTGAAAACCATGTAAATCGTATCTGTTTAAGAGTCAAAAGGCTCTCATCCTGTGCGGTGTACGGCTGTTGTAACAGTCTCAATCAGGAGGGGGACACTCAATTCCACGGGAGTACTACAAAATATTTCTCAAAAGAGTCTTGATTTTGGGCATTTTTGGAAAGAATAACAGAAGAAATTGCTGCGTTTCATTCGGGCCTGCAGGGGGCGCTTATCTGGGAAAGCCTTGATCCACCTCCCCGCCTCAATCGAGTGATTTTTTCAAAGCTACAAGCGTACACCGCACAAAAAAATGGCATTTTGACAGCGCTTATTCTACTATATCGCCGTGTATAAACCCGGCAGACTGCACCGCCAGGGTACGTCACTTCCTGTCCTACGTTTGTTATTCGCGCCACTGCCCTGATGTCATATGAAACCCAAGAATTCAAACTATATACAGTCTTCCTTAATGAATTATACCCACTGTTTTCCAGGTATTTGGACTGTACCCCAGATTTTTACTTGGTTATAGTGAATATTAAAGTTACAGTCCAGTATCTATCTAAAACAACCATAAAAGTAAACCAATGAATCTGTGATCGCTAATTTTTACAAACCCTCCTGTCTTATTTTTTGTGTGCATTGAGTATAATTTAACATTTGTTTCCTCCTTCTATCTTAACAAATACCTTCTTGTAAATAGATGCGTTTCAAAATCAGAATGTAGACTTTATTTCACAAGGCAGTGTTTTCTAATTGTTTAATTGAGATGACCTATTACTTGATGGCAGCAGAGGTCCTCGGGTGCATGTTTGTGAAATGCAGATGCCTGTGATCTTGTATGTGAATTTGCATCGTTGCTTGTCAGAATGCGTAGGAGGTGTGGAGGTTCCCGTCTGTGTTTTGATATTCTCAGCGGGATGCCACAAAAGGGAAATGAGTATATGATGTAAAAATGTGGAAAGGCTTTGAAGAAAAAAATAATTTATGCTTTGTTTCTAAGTAAATATATTTAATTAACCAAAACTTTTTCCCTCTCACAGAACTCTGAACAACAACAACATCAGCAGCATCCCCGTCTCCAGCTTTAACCACATGCCCAAACTCAGAACCTTGTAAGTCAAAAAATGCTAAATTTTTCTGGACATATTCTTAAACATATCAAAACACATTAAAGTAAAGTAGTGTTGGGAGTGTGCCACAACCATAGTCTGTCGACATGCCGAGGGTTATCATTCCCTTTGTCTAAAGCTTATACAATGAAAAGTAGTTAGATGTAAATAGCCTCTAGAGGGTAATGCACAACATATGTTATCTATATTTTGTGTAATTACTGAATCTGAAATTATGCACCAATTAAAACAATTATGCTTTTTCTGCTGCAACTGCACCGTTCTTGTGGTGTATTCTTGTGTGTCCATGCGCCCCGAGGGGCCAAGCTGTTTGTGTGCTAAACACAGAGGTTGGTGCTACAGAGGTCCACTGCACCACAATGAGTTATTCTGAACCAGCATTCCAGGGCTGCTGTGTTTGGAGTATTGGGTTTTGAAAAGGCCTCTTAAGCATTCTGTCTTTAGAATGTGCCATTTACAATCAACCATGGCCCATCTCATGGAGGGAGAGTTATGCCTCGGGGCACAATGTGATGAGCGCTATGATAGGACAAAACACCTCAAATTAGAATTCTGAGAAGGTCTCTGAATACCACTCACCAGGTTGTTTGGTTTATATTTGTTACAGCCGTCTCCACTCCAACAATCTCAACTGTGACTGTCATCTGGCCTGGTTGGCCCAGTGGCTCCGACAGAGACCCACCATTGGACTGTTCACCCAGTGCACTGGACCTTCAGAGCTCAGAGGCCTGAACGTCGCTGAAGTGCAGAAGCATGAGTTTGCATGCTCAGGTATCTGACGTCATTCAAACGTCGCTGCTCATCTTTTCCTCTGCTCCTCTCACCTGGCAGCCAGCTGCCCTTTACCTTCTCTCTTTATGTGTCTGCATAATAAAGGGTTGCCAGGGAAATCCTCTAAACGTTTATAAAACAAGAAAGCTCAAGAAGAGAGCACCTCTTGTATTTCAGTGGAATCAGTAACACATGCATACATGATTGTTGATGTAGGATGACCTACATTTCACCTAATGTTTGTGTAGAGAAACTTTGAGTACCGTACATGGTGGGCAGCAGGTTTATCATATCAGAACAAAGAATAACATCATGAGAGCCTCCCTTTCTCTCAAGGACGTTCACACCATCTGCACCAGTGCCTTGTGAAATAGTCCCTGTCCCAGGCTTTAAATGCAATTTATCATTCATCCTAATCATTTTAATATATTTTGCTCAATACTCTGTGGTGCTGCCCTAAACCAACAACAGGTGAATATTCTATTTGAATATGTCTGCTGTTGCTGTTACCCTACAGGTAAAACCATTTCCTAAACACATTAAAGTAAGAAAAAGGCAATTGAAACCATCTTTGGGTGACAAATACTTTGCAAGTCATCAGTAAAGGTTTTCTCTATTGAGAAAAAAAATAAGATTGATTGGAATTGTTTGCAAACATAATGAAGTGGGCGATGGGGAGCCAAAAACCTTGAAACAAGGTACATGTGCAGAAGCCGAGGGTAACGATGGTGAAGAGCAAAGAGACTTCAAATGCTTCACTTTAGCACTCCCTGTCAGACAGCTGTCATTGTTAAGCCTGCTCCAGCTGTGTACTGCACTCTTCCTGATCCCAGTTCTGACAGATCTGCCATGTTAGATCAGAATGGAGCTCTGCATTGGCCAACCCCTGATCCCAGATCTGTCAGAGCTCAGCCATTCCACATCATAGCTCCACCCATCACATGTACCTGATGACTGTTTTTCAAAAGATCGCACAATTGTGTTTTAAAAATATTTCATTTATTGCTCACTAATCTAATGTAATTAGTTTAATTGGTATCTGTATTTATTGTAGTTTAGATTTAGGCAAACATTAAGAACAAAATAAGCCCTCAGTGGGACTGGCAGTGACAAGTCCCACTTTGTATGCAAATGAAAAAAGTTGAATGGTTTGAGAATATATTGCGGGGAGCTGAATGTGCAGAAAGGCGTCCTCAGAGAATGCAGAATCCGCAACAAGAGATCAATGAATGTTATTGGGACGCACCGACTCTATTATTCATGTCTTTCTTCTCCTCAATAAACCACACGCTTTGATAGGTAACCCAGTTTCATTGTGACTGATTTTCAAGCGTGGATGACTTTGCACCGTAGTCAAGGGAACAATCTTTCATTAATTTTGATGTCTAAAAAAACAAAACAAGGGGAGACACTGCAGGTGCTAAAGAAGTAATGTTAAATGCAGTGTACCCAATTGTTTTCCATGTATTTAATCAAAAATAATCTGTCCCATTGCAGATGTGTTGTGTTGTAACAGATGCAATCCTATTCCACGTCTTTTTTCTCATTATGAATCTTTTTAGGTCCAAAAACAGGATTATAAAATCCATCTATACCATCCATCTATGTTTATGTTTGCACATATTAAAAGGCCCTTTATATACATCTTAGACTATTGCCTTTCACTTTATGTTTTTTTATATAAGTTAAGTTCAAGTTTGAATGGACCTGATGTGGGGAACATATCTAAAATAAATTCATGAATGATACCTTTATAAGTCCCTAACAATGTCCTAAGCAAGTTTATTAGTAAAGCGCATTTATACATAGAAATTCAACTTTCATCAGAACATAAATAACCATATGGCGTTCCTTTTAGAAGAAGAGTTTAGATAAAATGTCACTTCTGTTCACAGAATTGTTATTGAATAGTGTTTGAACATTAGTGTTATTTGAACATTCATGTCTCATTCCAGTCTAAAATCTTAATATGTTCATATGGTTCTAACATGAATTGAGAGGACAAGATTTGGAAAATAATAACAAAAAATGAATACACTTATGAATAAACCTGGCTCTATAGGTTCTGCGCCATAACTTTGACTTTGTGTTCTTGTTGCCAGGTCACCAGGTGTCTTTAAGCCCCCAGCCTTGTAGCACTGGGGGTGGATCCTGCCCAGCAATGTGCACATGCAGCAACAACATAGTGGATTGTAGAGGGAAAGGTTTAACAGCCATTCCTGCCAACCTACCGGAGACTATGGCCGAAATGTAAGCTCACACAAGTATCTATGAGGCTCTACTTTGCAAATGTTCATTTCCAGTGTGTGCATTGCATAATTCTTTGTTTTTACAACATTTCAACATTCTCTCACCTGACAGTAATACAAAATACAGAAAAATGTCGGATACACTCATGAGTAGAGATTTGAGTTGGAAGGTAGTGGATTTGTGGGTCTCCTCCTTCTCCTGGGCTGTTTATAAATACTCTGCTCCATGGAAGTCACAGATCGCATGTGCTTCAATAACCCTGACCCATTTCAGCTCCTAAAAGTCCTCATTTAGATTCTCTGGTGACAGCTATAAATTGTTCTAATAGTTTTATTGCATCTTTAACGTTAAATATGTAGTTTGTGTGTTTGCTGTTGTTTTAAAATTAAGTATATGAGTCTTATCTCATAGCATCTACTGAATTTAATGTTGTTGGCCCAATGTGCCTTTTAATTCAAATTGGTTGAACATGAAATTAGTCCTACAATACTTGTTTGTTTCACTTTTCTCTTATTGACTTTCTGACTACACGCCTCAGTTTTATGGAAGATACCACTCCATAATTTATTATTGTTGGTCTGGTCTCTTGGAGTTAATTATAAAATCTCTTTGAATGATAAAGATTTGAATGCCTGGGCATGACTGCCAGTGTAATGTCGTGGAAATGAGATCGCGCACACACCACACGCACTCACGCATGCACACACACACACACACACACACACACACACACACAAACACATCTTGTTATGTACAAATCAGAGAGCTGCAACCTCTGCGCTCTGTTCGCTCCTAATGAATGCCACTGTGTTTATTGCTAGTGGGATGTGAGCAGCTTTCTGTACTCCTCTGTTGTGAGACCAGGCCCAGTTAACCCAAACACAACCACAAAACATTATTATGCTCCAAAGTCTCCATCTGCAATAACTGAACTATGCCATAAAAGTGTCCTTGCTTTTCATCCGCCGCTGCGGTCCTGCCATCCATTTGTGACACACATGCATGGTTAATAAACCAAAGGCATAATGCGTTTCCCCATAATGAAAGCCATGCTCGAGAACTAATGAAAGGGATGTAGAGCATTGATCGAGCTCATACAAACGACAGGGCACAGAAATGTTTTGTTAAAGCGGATTGAATTAGAAACATTGATTGTGCAATCCAAAACTACCTCAAGCGAGGGATTATGTTAGAATATTTATATTTGATCACGGTCTCAGCTTTTATACTAAATGTTGAACAATAACACCAGATATTGTGAATGATAATTTGCCATTTGACAATATTGTAATTCTATATATTTCTTGATATAAAATGTATGCAACTACTATAAATGTAATTTTTAGCAAGAATTGACTATACAGACAGATAGCCTTGACCCTCTCTGGCTGAAGCACCAAAACCATACGTTGTAGTGTATATACGAAGCAGAGACAATCTGAGTGCAGAGTGCCAGACAAACCAGAATGGTTGATGAGAGAAGACGCAAAAGCCACTTGGCCCTCTTCACCACTGCATGGTGAGGGCAGAATAACCACAGAGCTGTCAGTCCACTGTAAATCCACACAGACGGAGAAGAAGCATGGCCAGACCAAGAATCTGTGGTCTGGAAGCACAGCTCCCGAGAAACTCAAATGAAACTGCTCACTTGTGAAGGAATTTAAAGATCATTTTGACAAGTTGAAAATTATCTTTAATTGTAAATGTATGAGTGGTTGTGGCTTGTGTTTAACAAAACAATTATCTCTATGAAATATTTGTTATCCACTATTATCCTTAAATTAAATGCATTCCAGTACACATTTTTAACACATTTTTTTTCTGGTAAGGAATGTTGAGTGTGACATGTTTGGATGTTGCATCGCCCAGCTCAGCCCTAACCATCAACCTCATCCCACATACTGGCCCACGGGGCATGATCCAATTCTTAAGCTGGTTTTTGCCATTCCAGGGCCAAAGGCCAAGGTTGCAGCTGGCTCCCTCTGGGTCCTGCTAAACCTTGTTAAGGACAGTTTTAAAAGCTGTGAACTGACCTGCAGATAAACAGCCCTTTGCCTGGTTCACCAGGGAATTGGTCTGGCCTGAGATCCGTCCCAAGTAGTAGCCAGCACACTTACGTATACTCAGGCATGCTTGCACTAATGGGCTTTAGATGTCTGTTTCCCTACATCCATATGAAGGTGATTACACTGCAAGACCGCTCTGTCCCAAATGATCCCATGTATATTTGTGCATGTCTACACTGGAATTTTGTCAAGCCTTTTTCTCGTCATCCTGTGCTCTGAGATTCACTGTTAAATGTAAACAAAATACTTCTTAATCACTTTAGTTATACATTTGGAATAAGATTATTCATAGCAAAAGTCAGCTTGTGATTTTCTTCAGATTTTCAAGGACACGTCTGTTACCCTCACAGCACTTTAGCCCTTCACTGTTTATTGCCTTTGAGGATGTTATGACTTCAATATGCATTATAGCTGTGCACTTGATCTTTATAACATAATCAGGCCAATCAGCAAGGGCCAGAGGTCAGGAAGTGTGAAGAATCGCCATAGAAACATATATTGTTTGTTTTACTGATAATATTGGCTTTTCTCCTCTGTTTCCTCCAGACGTCTGGAGCAGAATGGGATCAAGTCCATTCCACCCGGAGCTTTTTCTCCATACAAGAAGCTGCGTAGGATGTAAGTACAGTGGTATAGTACCTTAAGGCAAAAAAGTTTTATAAAAACTTTCTTTGCCAAGCACCAAGTACTTATTATTAGTTGTATTTGAGAAGAAAATCTTGTTGCTGAGATATGATTACATGATCAGCTACGAACCTTGTTCGTTACATCGGATTTTTGTCCGATGTGACGTTTTAGTTATGGGTCATAACAGTGTGCGTCTATGCTCCGTACAGTACAGTCACTCCTGTTGCTTTCCTCGTATGCGACTCACTTGCAGAATGATGATGTTCATGCCTCCTCTGTTGTTGCATGTGTGTGCGTGTGTGTGCGTGTGTCTGTGTGTGTGTGTGTGTGTGTGTGTGTGTGTGTGTGTGCATGTGTGCATGTGCGCGCGTGTGTGTGTGTGTGTGTGTGTGCGTGCGTGTGTGTATGTGTGTGCGTGCGTGCGTGTGTGTGTGCCAAATCCAACCTAAGGCTGACATGAAGGCTGACATGAAGGGTACTACTGGGTACAATGCCCATTCTGTCCTGGACTCCACACATGCGGTGTACCAGCAGTCCAATAGTTACAAACAATAAAGCATGGGCAACACTGGTTCTGTTTCTTTGCACACGGCAGTTCACATAAGGCATTCTCTTGACAATAACCTGGCGGTTTAAATGGTTTGGCTTTGAGCACTGACAATAAGTGGCTGCCGATATTCAACTTAGCTGAAATAATGAACAAACAGTTTTCCTCTGTGACTGAAATGTAGTCGTGAATCTTAAATCTGCTGCACATAAATTAAAAGTGTGGAACAAAGATGAAAGTTAACATTATATAATCTCTCGTCCATTTGCTTTTTCATGAAATGTATGTTGTTACCATAGACTGTATATAATAAAACAGACGCAGTCACGCCTATCTCTGCCGTTCTAACTAATGGGCCAAAAATTGGGCTCTCATGGAGTGATTCAAAATTGCCGCGGGGGCTGGAAAATGTGAAAAAACGCACCGGCGCATGCGTCAGCCAGCACGAGCCCCATTCATTTGAACGAGAGACTTCAAAAATTCACAGCGAATAAACTAAAGTGGTCCAAAAAAATTCACCCCCCTCAGCATTGACACACTTTGGAACGGAGCTTTGGGCCAAGAGCCAACTTTTGGTCCATCCTGTAAAGACGTTTTCGAGAGGTCTGCCAATGCTATATGTTAGCATGGGCTAATTCTACTTCTGGGTCCACCCCCATCGGCCCGGGGTGGTATTGCAAGCATGTCAGCGCACGTCATTTTGGCCACTTTTGAGCCGGAACCCGCCCCCACTGGTTGTTACATGTTCCTGACCTGCTAAGATTCAATGTGTAGAGATCGTCATGGCTCAGAAAAGAAGTTTTTATCAATTGTGTCTATTATTATGTTATTAATATTCCATATGGCCAAATTTTGCGCTCTTTAAATACCTCATTTAAACATAACATAACCTTGGCTAAAATTGTATGTCCTTCACGTGAACTTTTCTTTAACATTGAGAGGGGGGCGGAGTTTAACATACTAATGGCAATGCATGTTTTGAATTGCTTCCTTTGGAAAGCTGATGGCCTTGTAGGAAGACATGGCTTCTTACTTTAAAGTAGGATAAAATATTCCTCCTTCTTACCACATGATTAAGAATATGTATTTTAAAAAATCATGTGTTCAAAATACTTGGAGTTTCTGTGCTCTGTTACCTTTCCCTTCATCTGTCTTGGTCCCTGCACTATGTTTCAGTTGTAGCATTTACCAGCACATAAATGCACTCTGTGGTAGTCCTGTGGTTGGTGCCTGTGGATTCTATTACAGTAACTGCATTAGGGACCTAATTTACTACTTTTAAATTAAGAACTTGCATCTGTTTCTTTTGACTGTCTTTATTTGTATTTCTTTTTTTACTGAGCCTTTACTCTCTAACGTTCTCTTTCCCTCTCAGAGACCTGAGCAACAACCAGATTTCAGAGATTGCTCCTGATGCCTTCCAGGGCCTGCGATCGCTCAATTCTCTGTGAGTAGTTGCAGAGTTTGTGTTCTCAGGAATTTTTTGGGTTGAATACTTTATGTAAATGACTGTATATTGTGAATTGCCAGTGTTTTATATGGAAATAAAATCACGGACCTGCCCAAGGGGGTGTTTGACGGCCTGTATGCCCTGCAGCTGCTGTAAGTAGAACACTCACTTTGTGCTGATACTCTGCAGACCGCATACCTACAAACCCTCACACCCACTCACTGTACGAACCATAACCTCCAGATAAACTTAGTACCTGTATACAGTAAAAGAATGCATAATGAATGAGTGTTTAAAGGAACGGTGACAGGTGCCTCCTTCCTCTGCCATACTCTTCCTCTTACCTGTTTTTCTTCCCAGATTGCTGAATGCCAATAAGATTCACTGTGTACGCTCCAACACCTTCCAGGATCTGCAGAATCTCTCACTGCTGTCGTTGTACGACAACAAGATTCAAAGCCTTGCCAAGGGCACCTTCACTTCACTACGAGCGATTCAAACACTGTGAGTCTGCAGACAGATCAAACATTTACTGTTACAGTTGTGTCAGATTGTCAATCCAGCTGCATTCAAATTTAGAATCACAACAAAACAGTACACAACAACATTCTGATACTAACTAGTCATACGTGTATTTAAATCTATTAAAAATACAGCAGTTCTCCAAACTTTGCATGAAGTTGACTGTATGTATTCTATTATTTCAGGCATACACTGAAACACACTATGGGCCATGTGGTTTTAGCCGAGGGGCAAACAAGCAGAATTGTATCTTTGCTATACACATGCTCAGTACAAATGCAACAAATGTATTAATGCATGTTGTCATTGAATACTCAGAAATAAACAAACAGGATAGCTTGAATGTTTTTCAGACACAGAGATTCCTTGCATTCATACATAGATAAATTATGAATTATTGTAGCTTTATTTGATTTGTTTGATTGTCTATCTATTTGTTACATTTGCAGGTGGACATTAGTATATCGTTCAAAATTCACTTCAGTTACAATGTGGGCTATTGTATGACAGACTCAGCACATGCAAAGTGAGAAATATCAAGCCTGTGTTTGATCATGTTGATAATTGGCTTTTAAAAACTTCTTGTACTGACTGTACTGTAAGCCATAACAGATAGATACTTTATTAATCCCCTTAGGAGAAATTCAGGTGTCCAGTAGCAGCAGAAAAACATCCATCTATCCATACAAAATACATAGATAATTCTAAAAATGCATATAATGGGTCTATATCATATATTGGTTTCACATTTTATGTTCAATTACAGAAATAGTTGAACTTTTGAACAATATTCTAATTTTACAAGTTTCTGCTGTAGATGATACAACAAACTGTAGCGCAGTATAGAGAGAGTGATCCACAATGTTTATGGGTGATAGCACTGCGGCCAGCAAGATCCTTATTAAAACACATGTAAAACATGTTTTCTACCTTTTCTGTAGCCACCTGGCCCAAAACCCCTTTATTTGTGACTGTAACCTGAAGTGGCTTGCTGACTACCTTCGCACAAACCCAATTGAGACAAGTGGAGCCCGCTGTGCCAGCCCACGCCGCCTGGCTAACAAGCGCATTGGACAAATTAAGAGCAAAAAGTTCCGCTGCTCAGGTAGGCCGCCCCGTCTATCCCAACCTCACACTCTTGCTGTTATTTACTGGATTTCCTTCTTCATTGAGTGGTTTTGGCATTTACTTTCTGGATCTTCCTGTTCGTATTTGCTTAACAACAATAAACAGTATTTTAATTTCTATTTACTGTAGATTATTCTACCACCATACACTACATGAGCTTCCTGGAACGTCTTGATTTCTGCATGTGCCTTTGGCCGTTGCCAACCTCTGCCTTCTCGCCGCCTCTTTCTTTGAGTTGACTGCACTCAAATTCCATTTTTTCATTCATTTATTCTTGCCACCAAACATCTGTTTGGTAAACATGTGTACGCTGGATTTTGCATATGTCATATATATTCTCTATATATGACTTTAAAGCATAGCAACATTGCTGCTATGCCATGGTCACTGACATCCACCCCTCTTTTTTCTCCATCACAGCCAAAGAGCAGTACACAATTCCTGGTAAGTGGCTTACAAGCATCTTCCAACCCTCCACAAGTTATTATATTAACTATAAAATAAAACATGCTTGCAATAGGTAAAACGTATCTTTACTTTTGACTAGATTTGCCAATGGAACAAAAAAATGACTGTAATTTAAGAGACAAGTATTTTCTTACTTAGAATGAGTAAAAAACATGCTACTTCCCTTGAAATACGACATTTGTGCACGTGTAATTTGTAAATGTGTAACAGTACAACAAGATTTACCTAAGTAATGATAGACGCTACTTTATTCAAGAAAATAAACATTAATGAAACTCTTGAGGAGCTGCAGGCATCCACAACTCAACTCTCAATTCTGCACGTTGTGTGTTCACTTTTCATCAGTTCATGAACCGAGTTCATACAATGTCATGGTTGAAAATTAAACATTTAGAATAGAAAAGTCAAATCCAGACCTAGTTCCAATCAAAACACTGTGCCAAATCTAAAAACGTCTGTTTTCAAACTGTCTTCATCTAATCTGACCGAGCCTTCGCTGTTTTTCAAAAAAAGAATGGGTTAAAATTGAAGTCTCGAGATGTACCAAGCTGTCAGAGACATAACCTCCAGATTGAATTTGTGATTGAAGCACAGGGGTTCCATAAAGTATTGACTACTTTAATGCCATACTTTTCAGTCATGTATATTTTTTATTTCACATCACAATTGTAAAATATATAAGATTCATGCAGATTTCTATAATGCATAATAATGAGGGCGCTGCAGGCGATGATGAGTCATCGTCCACCTCTGAGAGGAAAGCTCTTAAAGTGATAGTCTGTAACTCTAAATTAATTACAAATTTTAGGAAATGTGTTAAATTGACCTCCTGGCCTTAAATGTTGATATAAAATAAGTCATTTTATTAATTCTAATATTACGGGCAAGTCCCGCCCACCCTTCTCTTAGCTATATCTCAAAATCCACGGTGCCGCCCACGTTAACCAATCGAGTCATGCCAAGGGCTGTCAATCATCGGCGCTGATGCTCGCAGCTGCGCACATGCTCAGTTGTTTGTTTTCGCGGAGCCTCCGAATCAAGCCTCCATTAGGCTCTGGAACAACATGAAAACTGAACAAAGAATTCTAAACATCTGCGCTGAGTTACCTATGTATATACTGAACCTATATCCATAATCAGATCCTCTGCAGATGTGTTCTATAATGTGCAATTCATAATAATAGCTTCTGGGTTTGCCGCGATCGCTTTTTTTGTGCATAAAAACATTATTTTTTTCATCAAAACTTTAACAAATAATTCTGAAAACCTCCGTGCATGTGTATTAATAATGTACATGTATAATGTGTTCTTCCATTAACATTTAAAAGTGTTACGGAAACGTAGGCGTAGACCAATCAGAAAGGAAGGGGGAGGGAGCTTGCGTCGTTTTTTTCAAATCAAGCACCTCTCTGTCTCTCTTTCTAACAAACTGCAGACAATCACTTTAATACACATTTAACATTATTTACAACAAAACTTCTATTTGATGATTGCCACATATTACAAACATGTCTGATCTCTGTAATACTAATAGAATAAAGCAGTAAAAAGACTAAAGATGATTTCAATTAATTAGAAATGACTGGATTTCATGAAATACATAATTTAATGTTGAGCTTTGTGGTTCAGGATATTGATGATGAACTTGTGTTCCAGTCATTATTAAACCTTGCTCATTTCTTGTTGTACTCTGTGATGTAGTCACAGAGGTAATACACACAAGCCACTCCCAAAGCTGTTGCATTATTAAGAAGCGATGATGTAACTGGGAACACAATTTTCACCATGCGACATCTATTCATAGACAGAAGAGTTGTGCCCCAGTCTAACCTTCTCTACCCAGGCCAGAGTCCTCCTCTTCAATCAACCTCTGTCGCTCTACTCCACATTTCATCCTCTAACTTTATTTTCTCTCTCTCTGAGGTGCATCAGCGAAGACGGCTGTCTAAATCCTCTTCACTTTTCTTCTCTCACTGTCTTTGCTCTGTTCTTTACAGGCCAGTGCTCCCACTAGTCTAAAATAAGTTGCCTCAAACATTTGAGCTCAGGGAAAGTCTTCAGGGCTCTGAGGGTTAAGGATTTCTGGATGCGGTCAAAGGAGGACATTTGGTCAGCTTTTAGGGACAGGGCTGCGTGACTGAAGCACGTAAAGGTAAAGGTCTATAAAGTGTATTTATGACATGTTCAAGGAGCTGAGGACACCCGTCTGAACAACGCCTGTAACAGCGATCCAGTTTGCCCAGCCAAGTGTCGCTGTGAGTCCAATGTAGTCGACTGTTCCAACCTGAAGCTCACCAAGATCCCGGAGCACATCCCCACATCCACTGCTGAACTGTAAGGCATTATACAGAGACTAAAAAAGACATTCCAAAGTTCATTGTTGATTTTTACAATAACTGATTTATGCCAATAATTTTACTAATTTGTCTCTAGTCGACTCAACAATAATGAGATCACTCTCTTGGAAGCAACTGGAGTATTCAAAAACCTTTCCCAGCTGAAGAAAATGTGAGTTTAACAATGGAAATCCCAATTGAAATGTGTATAATAATTGTGTTTATCGCCTTCATAGAAACCTCAGCAATAACAAAATTACAGAGGTTGAAGATGGTGCTTTTGAAGGAGCATCCTCTGTCAATGAGCTGCATCTAACGGCCAATCAGATAGACTCTGTTCGTAGTGGGATGTTCCAAGGTCTCGAGGGTCTGCGTATGCTGTAGGTGCCAAAAAAAAAAAGTAAACTGTAATTACATATGGAACCTCCATGAAAATGCATATTCTTTTTCAATTCAGAATGCTGAGGAACAATAAGATCAGCTGTGTGCACAATGACAGCTTCACTGGATTGCACAATGTCCGTCTGCTGTCTCTGTACGACAACCAGCTCACCACCATCACTCCTGGGGCCTTTGACACACTGCAGACATTGTCCACACTGTAAGATGTGACCACAAAAAACCTCTCTGTCAACATTTCACTCACATTTTGTTCCTTTTTACAGTAACCTTTTGGCTAACTCATTCAACTGCGACTGCCGCCTAGCCTGGCTCGGAGATTGGCTCAGAAGCAGGAAAATAGTGACTGGCAACCCTCGTTGCCAGCGTCCAGCCTTCCTTAAAGAGATCCCACTGCAGGATGTAGCACTGCCAGATTTCCGTTGTGAAGAGGGTCAGTAGAGGAAGCACATTCTCACCTTACGTTAAGAATAACAAAGATTTACCGTCCTGGTGGAGATAGTTATCCTTGCAAAAGCTTTGAATGACCTCTGATTACTGATAAACACCTTCGCATTGACTCCTCTCCACAAAGATCATCCTGAGTAATGACTACTCTTGTGATTCTCTATTGTTTACTGAATAGATTGCCAGTCAGCGCTTCCTAAGCTTCACGTCGATAGTGGGCTGTGGCTATTGATCTGTTTGGCTTATTGACCATTCAGCCTATGTGCCCTGAATGAATATTGTTAACTGGACCTCAGGGCTCTCCCTTGATCAATATTGCATGGCAGTAGTTTCTCAACTTTTTGTTTTCTTATTAGTTTGAATCAGTGTGCCATTTTGAGTCTTGAGGTAAGAATGTCGAAAACTGTGTTCAGGCCAAGAGGAGTTGAGCTGTGTGCCTCGACCACAGTGTCCCAGCGAGTGCAGTTGTGTGGAGACAGTTGTTCGCTGCAGTAACAAGCACCTCCAGACTCTTCCCAAAGGCATTCCCAGAAATGTGACAGAACTGTGAGTAGTTAACATCTTTTGTCTTCCCCTGGTGTGTCTTAATAATACAAAGAATTAAATTAAGTTAAAGTTACATTGTTCTATGAATCCCGGAAGACCGCCAGAGGGCGGTGCTGAAAGCAATAGGGATGAAATATTGCAAATTGGTCTCCAAGTCAATTAGTGAAAACATTGTTTAAAGATGGTGTTTTCATTATGTGAGGGAAAGGGAACAAGTCCATAAAGCCTGCAGTTCCTCTTCCAGACATGTGCCCTGGGGATTATCACTGATGTCACTCTTACAGTGAGAGCCAGGGCCCTTCTATTTGTGCATATTTGTGTGGGGGCCAAAGGCTGTCCAGGAGCACAGGGAGTGAGATATAATGAGCAGTGTTCAATGGAAAGAGCAGGGAGCAGAGTCGGTCCAATACTTTCCGTCTACACACCCATGCTGCGTGAGCCTCAGGCCTGTCATTGTAGCAGCAGGTATGACCAGGTGTGCTCCTCTGTCCAGAGCTTTCATCTTGTCTTCTGCTGTCGGCTAGCCCATTATTATCTTGTGTCACCGTCTGCATTATCATTACCTATCATTAACTTAAACTCAATTCCCTGACAGCTCTTCCCACTCACCCGACAAAACAACAGTCAGTGAAAGTTCAACAGCTACTAGCACAATGGATTATTGCACTGATAAAACCTGGAAACTTGTTGTTTTTAATCCTTTTAATCATTTGGGGGTTGGAGGGGTAGGGGGTAACGGCGTGCATCGAGAGCACTGCAGCAGAGAACTGTGATAGCAGACTCTGCTTCAGACTCTGCTTCAGACTCTGCTTCAGACTCTGCTTCAGACTCTGCTTCAGACTCTGCTTCAGGCTCTGCTTCAGACTCTGCTTCAGACTCTGCTTCAGACTCTGCTTCAGACTCTGCTTCAGACTCTGCTTCAGGCTCGGCTTCAGACTCTGCTTCAGACTCTGCTTCAGACTCTGCTTCAGACTCTGCTTCAGGCTCGGCTTCAGACTCTGCTTCAGACTCTGCTTCAGACTCTGCTTCAGGCTCGGCTTCAGACTCTGCTTCAGACTCTGCTTCAGACTCTGCTTCAGACTCTGCTTCAGGCTCGGCTTCAGACTCTGCTTCAGACTCTGCTTCAGGCTCGGCTTCAGACTCTGCTTCAGACTCTGCTTCAGACTCTGCTTCAGAATCCACTCCCTTCCTGTGCGGAGACGACACACAGTGACGTTTACCTTAGATTTTTAAAATTTTGTCACAGAAAAAAGTAGTTCAGCCTCGGGCCTGTCAGTTTTATGGTTGGCCAAAATCTGACATAAGTTTGCAATAAGACTCTTGAGTGTTCAGGTCCATGTAAAAGTAAAGCCCAAAGACTATATCATTTTTGTTTTGTTTGGTTGTTTTATCGATTATCATATACTGACTTGCACTATCAATATTCTTCTGTGCTTCTAGCTATTTGGATGGAAACCAATTTAGTATTGTGCCAAAGGATCTGTCTACATTTAAGTTTCTTCAGCTGGTGTAAGTGTTTTGAAGTATTTCTCCCTATTAAATAAATATGTAAAGCTAATCGTTTGACTCCTCAGGGACTTGAGCAACAACAAGATCAACTCTCTGACCAACTCGTCCTTTGCCAACATGAGCCAGCTCACCACACTGTGAGGCCTGCTGAGAGTTATTCTTGCAGTCACAGTAGAATGCAAACAATTTAATTATGTTCTGTTTTTATTTTTACACCACAGAATTCTGAGTTACAATTCCCTCCGCTGTATCCCAAGAATGGCTTTCAGTGGGCTGCACTCCCTTCGGCTGCTGTGAGTTGTTTTCTTTCTTCTACAGTGAAATATTTACTTAATACAATATTTAAGTCGTCTGTGCACCTTGTTTTTATATGAGCTCATTTTATTCTTTTGAGCTCTAGAGTCCTGGTTGGAATATTGATGTTATTTTTAACATGCTGTTCTAAAACAAGATGACATACAAAGCAAGAGTGTTGAATATTTATGCCTAGACATCAGACACCGCACTTGTTGGAAATCTTTGATTGGCTCCAGGAGCTTGAAGTGTAGTCTAAACAGTTATGACAGCTGAAGAACACATCCACAACCTCTGCCCTATTTTCTGTTTTGGAGACAAAAACAGGCTGTAGTCCTATTCCAGTACACCAGTCCTGCCACCCACTGTGTTTCTTCAGGAAGTGGATTATTTTGTTCACTGAAATGCAAGATGCATTGTTTTGCAGATAATGTAATCCAAACCAACATTTGATATGCACTGAATATTAGTTTTTTTTTAGGTCTCACTCAATTGCATTTGACATTCATTCCTATGTGTCATGAGCTCAGTGGCCATTAGCACGTGTGTGGGAGTAGAATTATCAGTCATCCATGTGGGCTCATAGGAGGCACACTTTTTTTACTGCAGACAACAAAGCTCCAACAAAGCCTCTGTTTTACAGCAGGATTCATATAAAGTCTGTGATCATTACGAGACACAAAGCGCGAGAAGCCTTTTAGCATGAAATAAGAGTGTAGCTCGTCGTCATTAGTTGATGTTGCCTCGCTGATGCCAGGCCGTGCAGCTTTGATCCCTAATGAAGCAACGTCCGTAACTTACGTCTGCTCTTAGTCACTCACGCCACCTTTCAGACGGCATGTGAGCCCCCCCCCCCCCTCCACCTCACACATGCCACACAGCCTAAGACCTATATAAAAGTACGTCTAGGCTACCTAATTGTCTCACTTTACAAAAGTCCAAAGAGAACTGAAACTTTGATGTCTTAACTGCAGTTCTCATCAGTCATATATCCTTTTAAGCGCCACTATTCCATGTTCACTGCTGTATTGCTATAACTTTGTAATATTATTTCAAGATTGAAAGTTCAGAAATGGAAACTTCACACAAACCACAACAAACCACTATTGTTGGTTGAAAGTGAGTTTGTATAATATATCGTTTTTATAAAGCTACACCTTTGGCTTTACACAGCTGTAAAACCGAGAGGAATCATTAACACTGAAAGCTTCAAACGTCCGCGGTCTGCACTGGCGCTGGCTGTGGCAGGTTTTTTGTACGTCTGTGATGCTTGTGGTTTCAACAGAAGGATTAATAAACTGCTAATTGGCCTGGTGGGTATTAGGTGTGAAGTTGAGAAACTGTAATCATAGAGCTATCCTATGAAAGCTAATATTAAAACAATGTTTATGCTTCTGTTTATTTTGTTTTTTTGTATACTTGTAATATTTTATTTCTAGGTGCCTAACATTGAATTGGGCATAAATAACAGTTATAATTGTTACTACTGTATTTTATTCAAAAGGGTTATTACATGATTGTTACTTTCTAACTCAACCTCGGTATAAGTAGAATCTTTGTGATTTTGAAATGTCTTCATGTATTTGTTAATTTAAGTTTACAAAGACTTCACTGATACTGTATATATCTTGTGGCACTGTGATATTTTGTTCTGAAAGCAGTTTTTACTCTGTCAGGTCTCTTCATGGCAATGACATCTCTGAACTACCAGAGGGAATCTTCAATGATGTGGGCTCTCTTTCCCACTTGTGAGTAAACAAATGCATGTACCCTTGTTGTTGGGTAACTAATTAATTAGAAAAGTTGGTAATATTATAATATCTAACTTGTTCATCCCCTGTAACTACAGTACTTATTAATAACATATGACAATATTAGAGTCTGGATGTGTACATGGCAGTTGAAGCCTTGAGGGGTGTAGTAGATGCAAGACTAGAGATTTAGTTTGAGGGACTTCTGGATGTGTGTAAGCTGAACCACTGCTGTGCTGTGGCACATTTGCCATCCTGGCTGTTCACTTCATCCCCTTACAACCACAGATCAATAGGCCTATCAGTGTCAGGGTAAAAGGAATAGGGAGAGGTTGCAGGACGGCTGACTGTAGTTAAATAAACACTGCATTTATTGGAGAATGCAACAGAAGTCAAGGCGGCCTGTCTCAGAGAAGCCACGACTGCGAGCATCGATCCAGCGTCCTCGCAGTCACAGTCAAGTGGCTTTCATGTTAGCAGATGTCAAGTGTCAGGTATTGGAGCGGCTGCAAGATGAGCCTCTGTTTCAACGTAATGGAACAGCATCGATTTAGGAGTGTTTGTGCTACCAGCCCTAGGACAGAGCTCTATTGATTCACGACCACCATGACAGAAGTACTTAAGATTCCAGTCTGTTCGCACTTTTGCCTATGATTACAAAATACTCAACGGTGAATCAAAGGTGAATCACAGAACCAAGATGTGTTCGTAACTTTGAAATCATTTGGATAGTTATGCATGTCAACTGCAAATTTAAGGTAGCAGAGACCCCTGCTGGTGGTTCCCAGCCCACAGAAACTTAGTAACCCAAATGATGGTATGTCTTCAATACAATTTCATACATTGTTGATATATTAATTATACATGCATTTTTATAACCATTCAATTCTAGTTTGAGTGCTTTGACCACCACTTGCTTTTTACTTTCCAGGGCAATTGGTGCCAACCCACTTTATTGTGACTGCCGGCTGCGATGGCTGTCTGACTGGGTAAAGACTGGTTACAAAGAGCCTGGTATTGCTCGCTGTGCTGGTCCAACGGGCATGGACGGAAAACTGCTGCTGACAACACCTGCTAAAAAGTTTGAATGCAACGGTAAGTTCATCATTCAGCAACATGATATGAATCATTTCAGTCTCGATGTTACAATCCGTGGTACATGCATGTATACATAGATGACGTGGACACCGCTGTACTGGCCAAGTGCAACCCATGTCTTTCCAATCCATGTTTGAATCATGGCGTTTGCCACATAAACGTCGCAGAAATCTACAGCTGCAGCTGTCCTCCAGGATTTAAGGTACAAGTTCAAAGTACTATTTTAAAATATGTTTGACCTTTGTGGGTATTTATTCTGTTGTACTTTTATCTTAGGGTAAAAACTGTGAAACTGCTCTGAATGCCTGTGTTAGTAACCCCTGTGCCAATGGAGGAACCTGTAAAGTCAACGAGGATGAAGAAGGAAAATACAGGTGAGTGTGGTTCAGTGATTACTATCAAATATTTATTTTATATTATTGATTCTAATATGATATTGTGCTTCACAGCTGTATGTGTCCACTGGGCTTTGAGGGCCCACGGTGCCAAACCAACACTGATGACTGTGATGACCATGACTGTGAAAACGGAGCAACATGCATTGATGGAGTCAACAACTATACTTGCCTTTGCGCCCCCTACTACACAGGTACTGACGCCAGTTCACCCTCTTCCCCTCAACAGACGCTGGGCACTCGTTTAAATGTTGTTTCTGTACAGGGGAGATGTGTGAAGAAATGGAGGATGTGTGTGCCCCAGGACGAAGCCCCTGTCAGCACCAGTCTACCTGCCTCATCACGTCAAATGGCCCCAAGTGAGTGTGCGCTGGCATCTGCCTGGAACCCACAGGGTCCTTACTTCTCTGTACCGTCTTGCAGGTGTGTGTGTTCTCCTGGGTATGTGGGCGATGACTGCAGCTTAGACTATAATGACTGTGAGGAACATCGCTGTCAGAATGCGGCTCAGTGTGTGGATGAACTTAATGGATACTCGTGCGTCTGTTTGGAGGGATACAGGTAAATAAACTCTTAACATTTAATCTACTGAAGTCCTTGTGAAGTCCTCACTGTTAACTTGTGCCTCTGTCGCCGCCGCAGTGGTCAGTTATGTGAGGTGGCCCCATCGCTCGTGTCTCTGTGTGAGCTGGCTGACTGCCAAAATGATGCTCCGTGTGTGGAACAAGGCGGCCGAGCACTTTGCCAATGTTCACCTAAGTTTGGTGGACCACGCTGTGAAAAGCTTGTCAGTGTTAACTTTGTGGACAGAGATTCCTACTTACTGCTGTCCGACCTACAAAACTGGCCACAAGCCAATATTACCCTTCAGGTAGGTTAGATGTATAACATTTATATTATGTCTTCTTTAGGTTGAACAAATAAAAAATATTATTATGGCTTCCAAAATGTTTGTTAAATGCTTGTAGGTGTCGACAGCTGAGGATAATGGCATCCTGCTTTACAATGGAGACAATGATCATATAGCTGTGGAGCTCTTTCAGGGTCATGTTAAAGTGAGCTATGACCCCGGCAGTCAGCCTGGACACGCTATCTACAGGTAAACAGCTTTAATGGCGTCTGAAGGATTCTTTCTCACATATGTTTAACATACATTCTGTTTCATTTCATAAGTACCGAAACCATCAACGATGGCCAGTTCCACACCGTAGAGCTGGTGACATTTGACCAGATGGTGAACCTGTCCATTGATGGAGGTCTCCCAACCACAATGGACAGCTTTGGGGCGGCGCGGCCCCTCAACGGGGAGGCTCCACTTTATGTGGGGGGTAGGGGCCCTCTCCAGAACACACCTTCCTCCTCTGCAGGCACTCTTAACTACTACACTACTGTCACTCCCTCCCCTCCACTTTGTTACCGCCACAGTCCAAACCTACCCTGCCCGTGTCATGTTTCTGCATTTCACTTCAGTGAAAACATGTCTTAGATTAGCAATTATGCGCTTTGATTGTTTTTCGGTTTGAAGCTATTTTTGTATGTGATGCTTCTGCCCCCTAGTGGCTCTTTCAAGTGTTACATTGCTGTTTCTAGACGCATGCAGTATTTTGTCCTCTCAATTTAGGGAAATATCCTCATCTGCGTTTTTGTCTTGTAGTGAACAGGATTGCTCTTTATTTATTTTTTTCATTTTGATGTGTCCCACTGACTGCCACCCATACACAGTTAATTTTGCTGAAACCTGCATGGCATTATTAGGACTTTATATTTGAAAAATAACTAAATTCCCATTTCCCATTACCCATTATTCATTATGACCCTCTGTTTGTCTGTCTGTAGCCCCTCTCTCAGTTTATCACTGGCATTAATGTGTTCTTCTGTCTTTAGGTATGCCTGTGGATGTTCATTCTGGGGCTTTTAGACTTTGGCAAATTCAAAATGGCACCAGTTTCCATGGTTGCATCCAGAACCTGTATATCAACAATGAGCTCCAGGATTTCACCAAAACTCAGATGAAGCCTGGTGTGGTCCCAGGCTGTGAGCCTTGTAAAAAGATCTTCTGTGTCCATGGCATCTGTCAGCCCGATGGCTTCCATGGGCCTGTGTGTCACTGCCAGCCGGGCTGGAGTGGACCTCACTGTGACCAGCCTTCCGCCAACCCCTGTCAGGGCAGCAAGTACGTGTGCTGTGCACATCTCTCAGTTCAGATGCCAAAGATAATTTACAATGTCGCAATAACTTTCACCTCTGAATGAACTCGTCCTCTATGATACGGATGTGTTGTTTTCACCAGGTGTGTCCATGGAAAGTGCATCCCACTGGACAGTCAGTCATATCGTTGCGAGTGTGACGAGGGGTACCGTGGTGCACTCTGTAACCAACAGGGGGAGCTGTTTAATCCATGCCGCCACTTGACCTGCAAACATGGTCGCTGCCAAATTTCTGACACAGGGGAAGCCTACTGTCACTGTGAAAGTGGCTACACAGGGGAGCTCTGTGATGCAGGTCAGTTGGTGCTCCGTTTGTTTGTTGCCATTCGCAAAAGTCCCTCTGCCCCTGAAGCTATAACCCCCTAGAACTGAAAACGTAACATATTATAATAACTAGACACGAATGAATGCATTAATCATGATGAGTAAGTTCTTGTTCACTGTGAACCTCATGATGAACTAATGGCTGAGCGCCTTTTGATGAACGAATCATGACTATATTTATTCTAATGATTTACTGAAATGTGTCAGTCTGACCCCTGATAATGAAGTGCTGTAAGTACGGACTCTCTGTTTCAGAGTCCGAGTGCCGGGGGGAGCCAGTGCGGGACTTCTACCAGGTGCAGCGCGGCTACAGCATCTGTCAGACCACCCGCATGGTGTCCTGGGTGGAATGCTCGGGAGTGTGCGACTCTGGGGCCTGCTGCACCAGTCAGAGAATGAAACGCCGGAAATACACGTTTGAATGCAGTGATGGTACTTCGTTCACTGAGGAGGTAGAAAAGACCATTAAGTGTGGCTGTATGGGCTGCATGTAGCAAATCCATCTAAAGCCCATTCCCAGCTGCCGTGCAGAAGATGAAAAAGATATGAGGAGTCAAGATGGATGCAAGTGAAGGAGGAGAAGAAAAAGTATAAAGAATATTTGCAAACCTTTATTCATATGTTAGAGCTAATGTAAAATATAACAATTCCTCCCCTTCGAAGGGTGTGCAAACATCAGCATCTTAGACCAACCAACATTCAGCATCCTTCAAAGTGTCAAGATTTCAAGATGTAACAGTGTGGCATCAGCCAGCACCCAGTGTCACCTACCTATCCATCCTCTGAAATTGTGAAGTGAGGATACAGCCAGGTTAGACAAAAGCTGCAGACGGACTCAGAGAGCAACGTGAGCTTACCTGTGTGTTTTGTCTGGTTTTACCAGAACTGAGGGTTGGTGGTGTTTAGTTCCTTTACAATCTATTATCTGCATGTGCACATAGACAGACGTCTGAGAGACTGGCACGTGTGGTGCATGTGTGGGTGCAGACAGATAGAGGTGCAGGTTCCTTCATACATTTACCTTGTGCATGGCGTCGCCAAATACCACGTCGTTCTTGAGCGAGGCCTGGTTTGTTTAAATGAATATTTTCAACAGACATAAAGCGGTGCCAGCAGCGAACCACCCCCCGCATGCAGAGCCATTGGGATTTAAAAATACCAAACCCTTCCTTCTGAGGAGCTGGTGCTTGTATGAGCTCTTGATGCCTGTAGTGTAATAAGAGAAAACTGCTGCATGTCCAGAGGGTTTTCCAACTTGTAGGATGTCAATGAATTTTATAAATGTCAATTCAAAACAAAATGGAGATAGAGACATTTTCTCTTTTGTTTGTTTTGTTATATACTGTAATTTCCTTTTGTGGATTTTTTTATCTAAATGATGCAACATCTTTAGCCCCAGCAGTCGTTTCTAGAAATTAAATCCTAACAGATATTAATATATATCTATAAATATATATACATACTATATATTTGTATTTCATTTTGGTATAGTATTTTACTATGTTAAACCGTACGTCTATTTGTGACAAGTGAATTGTTTCTGTTTTGTTTTTTTCTAATTTCTGGTAAAGAAACTCATGCAATGTGCAGCAGCTGCTCCGTCTTGTCGTTCTCCAGTATAAAGCAGTATTGGTCTGTTAATAATGATGTATATGTTGTCTTCCATGTGAATATTACACCTAAAATGTGAGAGAAAGTGCTTTGTTTTATTTATTTCTCTATTGACATTTTTTTTATAAAGTTGTTTATTTGGTTTTATGAAAAAAGTGAATTAAAATAAAAGTAAAACAAAAAAAATCCTATAAAGCCTGTAAAGTATTTGACAGTGTTTTGACCGCAGAATTCAACAGTATTTTATTCCTCTCAGACATTCCATATTTTCCCGTGAGAGGTTTCAGAGAGGAGAATGTCCAATCATTAGTCTATTGTAAATATACCTCACATTTATTTTCTTTATCCTTGTGTTTTTTGTTTTTTTTTTTTACCATTGAGAGGAATATTCTTTTATGTTTTGTGGAGAAGAGCTCATCAGACTTGTAAGCTGCTGTCAAAAGTCTGTGTGGACACTGAAAATGCTTCTAGTCTGTACAAACTTGGGGACAAGCGCACTGCTGACACTCAGAACGCTCTGGACATTTCCCGTGTCACTTGTTCACAAACCGGAACGTGGTGCCAAGTTCGCTACACACTGAATGTATAAATGTGTATAGATAAATAAAATGAACTTTAGCTGTCATCTTGATCCTACTCATTGTTTTCAAATTCACTGGCTTAGAAAGTGGCTCAGCTCAGATGTGTTTTTTCTTGTTTTTTTTTCTGTTTTGCTAACCCCATATGTAAAAACTATTGAACACGTTGCAGAGCCTTGTTATTTGTGAATCCTGTGATGTGGCATATCAAGAGTGTGACTGTATTCTGTGCTCCTCATAAAGGCGCAACTTAAGTCAAACCCGCACTGTACTGCATAAACTGTATCGACTCCTGCTAGACATCTTAGTGGTGTTTGTGCTCAATAATAAACTATAACCAATACATTTATTAAGATACCAGTTTTTTTGGTTCTGCGGCCAAACACACCGCTTCTCCATCGTATGAACAATTGACATAAATGCTTTTGTAAATGACACAATGTTTCATGTGTAGTGAAAAGTCCTGTCCATTTCGTTCATCTTTCTGTTGCAGGATTGATTGTGGGATTGAAGTAAACTCAATAATGCTGAATGTACGTAGTGCCACCGACAAAATGTTTACCAAACCTCCACCCTTTTCATTAATTAAAACGATTACATGTGCTCTGTCTGCTGTATGTCGTGTTGTTTATTGTTGTAACATTTTCAGGTTGGGTCATGGTTGAGAATTCTTTCAGTAGGGGGGGGCTGGTGCCAATACAATATACCTCTATGGGAAGAAGCCATTTCTGAAAGATTAAAAGAAAATGCCCAAATGTTCTCCCAGATAGTTATATGACAGTGACCAGTCTTTTTATTCCAAGATCCAAAATTGCTTTCACATTTCCAGGCACGCTTATAATAATACCTTAGTTTATATGTACAGTACTTACAAATATGTTAAACTTTGTCACAGTTTTTGTTTCATGTCGCCAGGAATTAAAGTAGCTCTAAACTATGACAATAACCATAACCAATAACCACCAATGACTTTCACCATCGACTCTCACTGTCTAATGTCGTTGTGTCTTTGGTAAGACACTTAACCTCTGGGAACACCAGCCACAGTGGGGCGGCTGCGGCTTGTGCCAATCTGCCGTTGGGTCCTTAGGCAAGACACTTCACCCCCATTGCCTAGAACGAGTCTGGTGTGTGTGTGAATGGTTGGTGGTGATCGGAGGGGCCGATGGCACATACTGGTTGCCTCGCTTCTGTCAGTGTGCCCCAGGGCAGCTGTGGCTACAGTAGTAGTTTATGGAGTGAATGAATAATGACACATGTAAAGCGTCTTTGAGTGTCAAAAAAGCGCTATATAAAACCGATGCATTATTATTATACCACCAGGATGTTAAACTGAAGGACCCTTTGGAATGTGGTGATGTCACATGAACGCAAGCTCTTACACAACATAACCCCGTTTTATCAGCAGCAGTTCATTCCCAAACACACAAATTGTTTACACAGAAGACATTTTAAAAAGTCTTTATCAACTCAGTCACAATGGTCTTGACAAAGATGACACATTTCAGGAAATACCAATAAAGCGGTTTCTTTCTAATATACAAAATGAAAATATTTAAATACAACTATTGCAAGAATAAACATGTTCAAGTCTCGTATTTGGTAGACGTCTGCACATTTGCTAAATAAATTAGCGTGGGTTTAAATAACATTACAAAAATATGACTTTTTTTTTTGCATTTACATGAAATATTTCTAAATGACACCGTTTCTACAATTCTATGTTCCTGGTGGTTATGAAATTTCACATTGAGAACATGTAATGACAACACAAAACAGAACTATGCAACCCAGAAATAGCTGAATGCTGATAAGAATAGAAAAAGGTGAATATACCCTTTTTATTTAATGCTATCGTTTCACATTACCCACACTGTCAGAACCCTTTCCCGGTGTCTTGCAGAGTCAAAATCTGATTTTTCTTAGAACACCCATGCATGCAAGAAAATAAACACACAAAAACAACCTAAAAATTAAAAACCATAGAATAAAAAGCCATTTTAATTGACACTATAATGAATCTGTAATGCTCTGGGGATCAACCATGGGAGTCGGCTCTACAGAAAGGCTTATGAGTTACCTGAACACAGTAGAAGAAAATAGAGGAAAGTCCTTAACGCTTCACACGGACAAACATTCTTAGTTTCATCGGATAAGGCACCGGGTCATAAAAGTCAAGTCCTGGAAGACGGAACGGAGATACTGCGGGCTCCTTCAAACATTTTCTATCATCCAGTATTTTCCAAACACAGCTATGAAAAAGGCCAATGACGTTTACAAAAGAAAAATGTCTCCTTCTCAATGTTCGTAACGGTACAATGTAAAAGCTCAGGTAGTTTATGTCGTTTTTTTTAAATAATGAACTAGATAAAATTTCAATTAAAAACAAAAGCCTAGTTATTTTGACCTGGTGCGTTTCGCGGGGGTCTCGAGCGCCTCCTGGGCCCTTTTGGACGCACTGCGGGGTAACACTGCGGTTTGGCTTCTCTTTCCTGACAGTTTTAGCGTGCTGCTTCGGGTGAGAGCGGGCTTCTCTGCAGGGGGCGTTCTGTTCCCCTTCCCAGACTTCTTTGTGACACTTTTGGGGGACGCGGGGACAGGACTGGCGCTGTCCACTCTTCTCTGGGACCTGGTCTGGACCTGATCGGGCGAGTTTGGAGCTTTGCCGTCATTGTTCGTTTCTGGATTATCAGAACGTTTGGTTTCGGATTCTACAGGGGGCTCTTTCTGAACTTTCACAGCTTTGGTTTTCGGGGGTCTGCTTGTTTCTAATGGCTTTTTTTCTTCCACATTCTTCTCTGTCTTGCTTTTAGGCGTTGTGCCGACAGTTTGCTCAGGTGGGGGTGGTCCGAGTCGTTTAGACGTCCTCTTTGGCAGCTCCTTCTTCACCTCGTCCTTGACCTCTAGTTTCTCACAGGCTGCCTTGACACTCTTGACGGCCTTGTCTTTTTTAGCTGGTTTTATTGACTTCTCTACATTTGCCTTCTCAACCACAACCTTCTTTTTATCAGACTTTGGCTCGACATCTAACTGCTTTTTCACAGGTGCCGATTTCAATGCTTTGAGATTGCTGTTTTTTGATGCTTCCTTTGTGAGGGATTTCAAATTGGCGTTTACTTTTGCCTTCTCTTTTAATCGAGCGTTTGCCTGCTTCTCTCTAATATTTGAGTATTTCCTTAAGATTCTTGCACTGGCTGGATTTTGTGCTTTGCCCCCTTTTGCTTTCTGTGGCTCATTTTTGCTAGACAAAGCAATCTTTCTCACAACCGCACTCGTCTCTTCCTTTTTCTCTTTTCCTTTGACCACACTTATCAATTCTTGTTCTAATGCTTTGGCTATGAGTTTCTGGGTCTTGGGGTTGCTCTTCACAGGTGATGCGATTGCAAACTTCTTTAAATGTTTCTTCAGACGCTCTGCCTGCAGACTCGGATAGACGCCTAGTGCGCTCCCTGACGCGCCGGAGCTGTGGAAACAGAGCTGCGTTTCCGATGGGAGGCGCGTGTTCACCTTTTTAACTATGACCAAAGATTTTGTTTCAGTCGTTTGAAGAAACCAACGACAAATGGTGTCAAGATCAAAGCCTTTCATGAAGAGCATTTGGACTGGAGAATATTTTTGATTATCTAAAAGTTTGGGTTTCCGCACTCGCCGTTTACTTTTCCAAATAGCTGCCTGCCTGTCGGCTTTGTTTTTGTGTTTAGGTGCGGGCTGGCCTTCCCGGTCTAATTGCATCCAGCCTTTGTGCATTTTGTCAAACTTGAGATTGAGGTTGCTGATTAATTGCTGGTTTTTAGCCCCATTCAAAGCGTTTAAGAACTTGACGCTGGGTGATCTTATTGGCTCTGATTTTGAAGAAACACCGCTTTTGGATGATCTCTGAGGAGTGGGCTCAGCCAGAGTTTTAGTCATTCGAATCAGTGAGGGCTCTTCACTCAGTTTGCGAGCAGCAGAACTAGATCTCTGTGACCGTAGTGGCCTCTTCTCCTCTGTGGGCGGGGCCTGATCCACCTTGTTGGCCTCACTTCTCAAAGGCATTCTGGCGGGTTTTTTGTTGACGGGGCCAGTGGTGTCTGCACTTGAAGAGCTTTCTACTTGCACTTCGTTGGGTTTTGATTTTGCTGATGTCTTGCTAGGTTCCGGATCAAGTTGAAGGCTTCGTTTACTTCTCAAAGACATTACCCGTGGTTCATCCTTCACTGGGTTCTCTTTTTGAACACTTTCAACTTTCTCGCCCTCACTTTCCTCTGGTTCAGTCTTGGCTGATCTAAGCTTAGGTTTAGATATGACTGGGCTCGTGTGTTCTTTACTTTGACCATCTGTTTGTTCTGATAAATGTTCACCTAAATTTGACTCAACGCTGGTTTCTGAAGGAATGACCTCTTCTATGGCTTGTGGAGGTTCCAGCTCTGATGTTGGTGACAGGGCGAGCGCTGGGATGAATGTCGCAGAGATTGAGCAGTCGGATTTTGGCTCAATGCTGGTTTCTGAAGGAGTGGCCTCTTCTGTGGCTTGAGGAGGAATCTGCTCGGATGTTGGTGACAGAGTGAGCGCTGGGATGGAGGTTGCAGAGATTGGGCAGTCAGATTTTGGCTCAATGTTGGTTTCTGAAGGAATGGCCTCTTCTGTGGCTTTTGGAGGTGCTTGTTCTAATGTTGGTGATGGAGGTAGCGAGGGGTCTTTAGATTCTGTGATTGAAGGTTTACTTTTTGAAGTTGTGACAGGGGTAGGTGGTATTGATGGAGATTCGTCTAAGATTTGTCCAGATGATCTAAGTTGGCGTTTAGACGATGAGTTTTGACCAACAGCCTTCTTTCTGTCTTCAGCCTTCTTAGACTTAGAGGGTTGAGGACTTGGCTTGTCAGAGGGCTCCTCCTTTTGGGAGGACACTGAGGGAACAGAGTCCATTTTGGTTGGTTCTTGTTCAACAGGGAGAACTTTCTCTACATCACTAGATATTATATCTAAATTGCCTGCAATTTTGTTTTGTACTTTCTGAACACATTTGCTTTTACCCATTTCTTTTGGTGGTAGGGTTTGACCTGACTTGCGCCGCAGACTTCTATCGGACACTGAAACAGGCTTACCACTAACGTAACCCACAATAATTTCTTCTGTTTTTTCAATGGCTTTTGGTGCAGAACGGACACTGCTCTTCCTCCAAGGCGGCAATTCTTTTGAAAGTTCCTCCAAAGTTTTTGAGAACACAGTGGATTCTTCTCCACCCTTCTGGCAAACAGCAGTCTTAGGTTTTTCTTCAACATTAGTTTGCCGTTTTAAAGTCGCTTTTTCTTCTTGCTGGACATCTGTGCAGCCCTCCTGTGTCTTCGTAGAGATCTCTGCAGCAACAGTCTCAACCGGACTTTCTTGTTCGAGTGCATCTCCAGTTTGACCCTCTTTGCGTTTCTCTAATAACTCACTTTCTGGTAACGGATTTTCAATGGTATCTGAGGAATTGTGCTCTTTACTTTGTTCCACAACGCTGCTCTCCACAGAGTCCAACACAGTCTCTGGCAAAGCTGGCTGCACCAAGTCATCCTCTTTTGTGATTTGAGGAGAAACATCTTTATTTTCACTGAGCTGCTCTAAACCTGCAGATGAAGCTTGTTCTATACTATTGTCAATGGTATCTACTTGCTCTGAAGGGGAAGGGCAAATAGTTTCCTCTACCACCTGTGACTGGTCTGTTTGACTGGTTTCTACTACCACATCTACATCGCCCATTGCTGTGTCTTTAGCATGCCCCATCTCCGATAACTCGCTGTCAGTTGGCTCTTGGATAACTATTTGTTGATCCATGGCCTCTCTGCATTCACCAGCACATGGCATATCCAGCGGTGGAACGCCTTCAGGCCTGGAGAGGTTCTGTTTGGGCGTAACAGAGGTGTTGAACTCTAGCAACGGATTGGGACAGTTCCCTCTTCCTGCCAGGGTTCGGACAGTTTTCAGCTCCCATATTTCATCAGCGTACATGAGTCCTCGAGTGCTTTTTCGGGCGTTGCGTCGCGGTGTCAGACCCCTGTGGCGTTTCTTGAAGCACTCTGTGATTGGCTTATTAATATATACAATATCACAATGTCCAAGATCAGGGTCCAATATAACTCGATCATTCAAATCATTGTGGTAACGTTCTGTGGATGGCTGGATGGACTTTCGAGCAGTCCTGGGTCTTGAGGGAATCGTTGAGTGAAAAGAAAAGGTCTTAACATTTCCGTCCTCAGCATGTCCCACAGTCGGCCTGTCTGGATGCGGTGATTCGTTGTGTTTTTTAAAGGAAGAACTCAGTCTAATCCCCTCTGCGGTACTTGTGTTTCCCTGCTTTTCGTCCAGAGGTTTAGGTGAAATGGATGTTGTGATCACGCATGACAGCTTGTTACCGGCAGCAACACTTCCAGTCTTCATAATCTTCAGTTTTAGAGGCCCGTGGTCACCATGCACATTGGTTTTTGTTTCGGTTGTGGGTGTAGCGGGAGTGGGTGAAGTGTGGGACAGTGAAGGAGCAGTTCTAGAAGCAGCAACAGGAACCGCTGGATTGAGCAACAGTTTTGGACAGCTGCTTGTATTAGGTCTAACGTCTGGGCTGGGGTATGGTTTGGGGAGTTCAGCAGAAGATAGTCTGGAAGAAGTGAGTAAAGGCGATGCTACTGGGGGGGAATAGGACATTTGTACAGGAAGCTGTTCGTGAGCAGATTTGACTGGTTTAGAGGACTTGAACGACTTAACCTCGGCCTGTAGGAAACTGAGAGTGTTGATGATTTGTCTCTGATGGTGCAGACACAGTTTGGTAATAAACTGTTCCAGTGTGGACACTGCCTGCAGGCCCTTGAATTTGCTGATCTGCACCTCCCTGGGCTCCCTGAAAAAAATATATATATTAAAAAAATTACCACAAAATACAAATATATAGATTTATAAGCATTAAGAGAGAGATTAAGAGATTAATATTAAAATAATTGAAAACGTATTAGAAGAATAAGGGACTCATTGAAGCACAAAACACAATCAGGATTAAATTAATCATTGCATATTTATTAGAAGAATAAGTGATTTGTAGAAGCATTTAAAATCCAGTGTACTTATATTTAATGAATTTCTACAACACAGTGGCGCCTTTGTTACAACATATAATCATTTAAATCTCACACATGCAAATACATTAAATACAGTAGTTGCAGGGCACAAGTCTGAAAAGCATACAATAATGTGAACGTTTTACTGTACACACATTTTAATTGCTCAAAAACATATTTTAAAGACCACAACAAAACAAACGTCTCACAAAGTTCAAATTATTCATTTTGTTGGGACAAGTACAAGTGATGTTTAATAATGTATCCTGAGATGTCATTTGTAAGGTAACCCTGCACTGGAATGTGTTCAAACTCATTATTTTAATAACTGAGAAGTTGTGATTCACTGTATAATTTTGTTTACATTCTTCTATTTTTTAGCTTTACTTTATAAATGGATATTTTCTAATGGAGGTCATTCTTCTCAATATTTGATATTACTATTCAATCCTACAAATTCAGAAGAATGAAACAGTATTTTTACAGTGTTTGTAAACTGGGAGATGGCCGTATGATGGTAGCGACATACAGTTTAGTCGCACTTGAAGGACACAAAGGTCATTAAACATTTATTGAACACAGGTACAGTAATGGTACAGTAATGGTACAGTAATAGTCCGTGCTCGGATTGACGGTGTGCTGTTTGAGGCACTGAATTGAACTGGCATAGAAGATTATGTGAGCCGACATTCAATGGTGTTATGCAGTAGAAAAATAAAAATCTATAGTTAAAAAATAAATAAATGAACACACAATAAGAATAAAAACCCAAAAGTATTTTGAAAGCGTGCCCCTGCTGTAGAGAAGTAAGGTCTTGAGGAGTACCTGACAGTAACGGTTTGTCCCTGAGGGGTTGATCCTTAACATTAGTGGAAATGTGATCATAAATAATGACATCAATTCTCAAATAAATACAAAAGCCAATACACAAAACAATGCAAACGGCTCGGCATTACTACACGCAAAAAGCCCACAGTTAAAGCGCACATCAGGGTCTACAGAAGCAAACACATGTCACTACATTTAACCAGTCAACCACAGTTACTCAGTAAAATACATACATTTTCTCAATAATTTTCACCTTAGCTAAACATCTCAAAAAATTCCATCAGTCATGCATCTACACTTTCCATATTTTGTACATTATCGTTCATAATGGGAAAATACAGGTTACACCAATGCTTGCCTTCATTGACAATGTATATTTTATATACAAATATACAAGCCATTTACAGCAACCGGTTTTAAAACTAAAGTTTCATATATTATAAATTAAATACATTATGTTCCATATAATTTTTCCTTGTACATTCATTGCAACTTAGCCTAAAATAAGTCTTAATAAATACTCCTCAATAAATAGCTATCTTAAATGCATAAAATAAGACTTAACTTATCTCAAACCAGTGTAAATAAATATTAGCAGATGTGACCATGATCACTGGGAATACCAAAAAGTAGTAATACAAGGTGTACTGCAAAATATATATTATAGGTGAGGTAGTCGATCCAACGATCTGCTACAATTTGTAAGTTTGCTACTTTCAGTAGTTATACCTGGTGCTGCTTGGGAGAACAGTGCTCAAAAGGAAGTGTATTTTATAAATGAATGATTGTTCAGGCAAAAAATAAATAAATAAATAGGCAAAAGATCAGGTTGGAGAAAATGCAGTAGTAGTACAGCCCTTGCATTGACTGTTAGTTATGCTGCTAATGGGAACATACAAGTCTAAAATCCCTGAACTATAAATGATATGAGGCTGTCATATTTGCGTTTGAATGACCTGAAGAAAACTATGGGCTGAGTCCATAATCTAGAAAGTCCTGAGGCTTCTATGGAAATGCACCACGCAAATTCCTTATCAAATGAGTGGAGGCACAGAGGGCAGTCCCCCACATAAATGTCATCAGAACATGAGTCAACTTAAGAGGGATTGCAATCCTGAAAACACCAGGGTCTGTGCACTCTAAAACAGAGCTTAAGTAAAAAGAAAGATTTGTTTGTCTTGTGACGCCTGAGGGGTCACTCAGACTGCCCCCTCAGCAACTGCAGCTTGAAGGGCTCATGGAGGAGGGGATGGAAGTGCATGGAAGATTGCTTGAAAATTGCCCATGAAACAATGTATGAACGTCATATCAAATTTACGAAGAAGAAAAATATTTGTTGTTTTAATGAGCTGCAGTGGCTCTGGACGCAGTGTGAGCGATGTCATGAGGTACAACGGTTCATGTAAGAAATGAATACACCTCCTCAAAACACTGTTTGCACAGGTAATGAGTACACATGTTGATATCTAAAAAGCAAATGTTTGACTAACTTAAAAAGAAAGCAACATTCTCAGCATTGTTGCACAGAATGATTCAAATGCATTCTACAGAATCTACATTAATATGAGAAAAAAACAAGTTTAAAAAACCCCTGAAGGGTAACCAACTTGCACAAGTTTTTCAATGTCAACCTGAGTAAAGCTTGCACAATTAGTTAAGTTTAGCTTTGTTATAGAGTTATATAATGCAAATATATAAGTGAGGTATAATATTGTGTACAATTATCCACGTCTACATTGTGATAAATTCAAATACCTCCCATTGTAAGAACTATCCTGAGAGTGTCTGCACAAAGTACAGGCATTGAGAAACCTCAAAAGTAGCATCACTTAAGCATTTGGTCAATTGGTTTTGCTTCAATATTCTGTAGAGGTGTGTCTGAAAGGCTATTGGTGCTGTTACTGGCACGGTTTGATTAGTGGTACAGTATTAAAAGTGAACACCAGGTGGTGCCACTTTCCAAGACATATCAGTCACATAAAAGGTAGAATTCTGATGGCTGGGCCATCTTCATTGTTGTTTATCAAATGTAAGTAGGATTTAACGGAATAAATATGTCAGAGGATTGAGAGTTCATAAATAATTTGTAATAAATAAATATATTATAATAACATTATATTATAAATTTACAAATGTGAAGATCATCAAATGTTACTCCTGAAGAGAGAGGCTTGGAGGCTCCCCGTCTTGAGAGTCTGGGCTCTCCTTTCCTCTGCAGAGCCAGGCCTCGTCCAGCTCTTCTGCCGGACTCATTAACCGCAGCTTCTTTTTGGGCGGGTTCTTCAATGTGCCCAGTCGTTCTTTCACTTTGTACTCCAGAGTGCTATGAGGGATGCCATAAATGGATTGGGCTTTGGAGACACTCATTTTGCCGCTCATGACCATCACAATAGCCTCCTCCAGCAGCTCAGTGTTGTACTGACGATAACGGCCCCGTTTCTTCCTTGGCTGTTTCAGCCCCAGATCTGATTCCGGATCCAGAACACCATTTCCACGTTCACAATTATAAGGCCAGTGTTCCTTATCCAAAGTAGATCCATTGAAACCATTTGTGTGCCTTTTATGGGGCAGAAGAGAGTGAAGCTTCTTCTCATAAGACAAGCCTGAGTATTCAGAGGTGAGGGAGTCGCTGGACTGATCAGACGAACCAGTCGAGGTTCGAACCTGAGGGATTTTCAGATCAAATGATGAATTGGAAATAGAACGCTTGTTGTCCTTGCTGTTCTCATCTGGATGTTCTGCCAGAGACTTTGAAATAAGTCCAGCAAGTTGTAAAAGTTTGGGTAAGTTTTTGAGGTGCTCATTCATGTTGTTATTTGTGAGTTTAAAAAGGGTGCCGTGAGTTTTAGGTTTCCAAGATGGAGATCCATTGGCTTTGGAGCAGTCTGCATCGCTCTCTGAGGCAACCTCGCCTTTGATGTGCAGAGAGTATGAAATGGAGGGAGAAGACTTAGAACGGGCGGAGTGGCCGATATTCTCCCTCCTCCCATCCTGTCGGCTCCTCATTAACAGCTCGTCCGCTCTCAGGGACCTCCTGATTGGATGGAAGCAAATTGGGTGTAAGCAGAGCTTGCACAGTGTCTTTACTAAACGAGGATGGGTTAGGAAGGGGAGGATGTTGGCCACTCCTTTATTTCATCTTGCTTTGGTAACATCACCGTCTTTCACAATAAATAAACAGTTATGTGTATGCATGTATCTAATACAATACGTGGCAGTAGCAAATTTGATTTGCTGTCATCATTTGTTTATAAAAACTTGATAAAGGACAGAAAAGAAGGAAATTAAAAGTATGTATAAGAGGCATAAGGGATCATTGTTGCATAAAAAGCGTGGCTAGAAAAGGAAGCATAGCTTAAATCAGTGTAGCTTTAGCCGAGCAGGATAGCCAAAGACATTTTGTGTGTGACGTTACCACTCAACAAGCACAGCAATAAAAGAGTAAGCCAGCAGAGGGAACTGTCTAAAAGTCAGGCCCGAAGAGTCAAGTGATGGAAAACAAATGATTCTGAAATGTTCTGTAGGAAAAACATGCTTCAATTTTTACAATGAAAACAGTCACAAATGACTCATGCCAGCTCCACATGATAAACAAAACTCAAATGAAAAGTTTTAATACAAGCATAAACCAACAAAAATGTGTGTTGTGACCTCCTGAATATTGGTAATTTAGTTTAACTTGAAAGATGTAAAAGAACTAACACAACTCACCCTTTAGGTGTGGGTGTGAAGGGAGAGAGGCAGGAGCTGGGGCGGTTCTTTTTGATGGATAGATCCAGGACTCCATCTGTCAAAATGTTGCATGTTATAAAGCAGTGCTACATAACAACAGTATAGTGCGTGGCGGTACGTACCCTGCACGGTGGGCTCAGCTGGGGGCTTCTTGATGGTGAGGTCCAGAGGAGCGTCCTGGTCTATCATGAGGAGTTTGCTGAGCACTGGGTTGAGGCTGTGAGTAGAGGACAGCGGCGAGGCAGGCTGTGCACACGGCAGGCTTTGGTCAGAGTGTGTCTCCTGAGGCTGAGGGCTGCTCTTTGAGGTATATTCGGCTGCAAACTGTCGGATCATCCCTTGAAGGATCTCTCGGGCCACTACTGGCACATGGGAGTCGGAAAAATTTGGCACATCTGGATGGATAACAAGACTCACTCAGCATGTATTTGAGACATTAGATAAAGGCCGACGCACACCAAGACACTTTGTTGTGTGGCAAAAGTGCCACATGTAATATTTACAAAGACACACATTGGATGAGAGCTGCGAGGGGCACGCTTTCTGGACTTCTGCAGGAAGAGCAGACACAAAACAAACACAAACCACTGTATCGTGTGAGCAGCTCTGGTCGATCACTGAACTTTCAATAACAGCCTTTTTACCAGGGCCCTTCTGCTTCTCATGTTGTGACCCTCATTAATAGGCATATGATGGTACAACTGTACAAGCCGTTCTGAAGCCTTCACAGAGCAGAGGAAGTGGCCAGTGTGTGTTTCTGCATGTGACTGACGCATGCGTTTGGTGGGCGTTTGGCCTTAATGTACAGAGTGAAAGTGTAAAATCACTTGCCTTTCTTTCTGAGGACTGCACTGAGAAACTCCTCAGCTTGTCTTTCTAGCTTGATCATCAAAGTTTGGTCTTTCACCAACAGTGGTTTAAGTGGGTCTTCAAGCCCCTCACTGTTTAAACTGCTGAGATGTTCCTGTAAAGATTAATAATACAAATACTTAATAAAAGATGATAAAATAACAACTAGGGCTATTTAATGTGGTCATTAAAAATACTACCTTCACTTTGTTTCTTCTCAAACAGCAGAATACACAGTTTTCATCAAAAGACCAATCCGACACAGCATGAGGTTCGCGATCTGTTGAAAAGACAAAAGTACATATTTATTCATTTTCATTATTTCACATTCTTTTACAAATAAAATTGAAAGAAACAAATATTTGACTTAAATCATTTGAAACAGTTTTTTATATTTGTAATTCTGTGCAGCAACACACTAAGCACCATTGTCCTGGTGTGCCATATTTTATGGAAATGTCAGTGGGACACGGGACTCAAAGCTCTTTCCAAAGACACCAACTTTGTGAAGTACAAGGCTCTTCTCTTCTGTGGAGCTGTGCAGTGGATAAAGAAGACCCCCACATGGTACAACGAGCAGAATGACCATAATAATTTATTCTTCCAACAAAACCAAAAAATATGCAAAGAATGTATTTTATGATGTAAATTAGATATCATTCTCACCTTTATATAAATGTAAGTCTTGTATCAGCTCTGGACCAAAGAGACCATCAAGAATGCTCTCAAAGCCTGAAAGACAAAAGCAAGTAGTTTAGCAATGAAATGATCCACTTTAAATACAGATTGCGATTGTGATTGCATGAACATGCACAGCACAAGGTGAGGCTAATCTCAACTGCAGCGTTGAAGATCAACGCATCTCTTTAAGCCCCTTTTCTGTCAAACTCACATCAGCTTTCAACTCAGGGTTTTACTTAAACAATAAACACACTCCATCCTGTTGCCAAGCAACTACATCACATACGTGTCAACATTAAAAAGACACAAGTCTGCTTGATAATGTCAAAGTATGACGCAGAAATCTAGATCTATAATGTATAGCAAAGTACAGTTGCTGAGCAGAAAACCTTTAGTCATCACCATGGTTAAATCCACACCTAAAATACATATGTACATTATTTGTACATGAACACATACTGTACGACAAGAGCAGCAGTCAGAAATACTGTAATATTGAAGTCAATGTAGTGCACATTGCCCCGACTCAATCCAAAAACCACTATATGCATTAAATCAAGCGCTAAAGAGGTCAGGGCCAACATCTGTTCACTGAACTGGATCACAAACAAGAGAGCACTAGATGCCAAAACAAAATAATGCATCTAACGAACCGCTGTGAACAGAAACAACTCAACACAAACACAAGCCTTCAGAAGAGAGATAAGTTCCTGTGTCTAAGAGAGCTCAAATCTCAACTGCAAAACTGTCAAAACAGAAAAGACCAACTTACGGTGAGGCTTTAACACCAGAAATGTGAAGAGAAATAAGGCTTTTTCACTCGACTCGTTTTAAACTGCACTGAACCCAGCTGAAGCTGACAAACTGTTCAAATGCCCTCTTTCTGCCTCCATGAAAATTCCTATTCATCAGCCAAATATAAAGAGAGAGAGGGCGGGGTGTAGTAGTGAAACACTGTCTTGCCTATAGCTACAGCATAATGCTGTTTCTGGGTTAGTGCACAGGACTTTAGCTGAAGCCATCCAATCCTATTTCTGAAATTTTTCAGAGGCAAGGGAGAAAGTAGGTCAACCACTTTATTTTGACAGAGCAGGGCCGAGGCATCAAACTCCTCTTCAGGAATTTAGTTTAGGGCATTTATAAATGTGTCACACTGTAAACCATGACGTCAAGCGAGATTATGTCTCTCTAATGCAGCATTTTTTAGCTTTTGAGAGAAAGCCTCAATTGGGATCTATCATGTAAAACAATCATCTGCATTCTGAATCACAAATCAGTGTCATTATTGGATTACTGAAGCTTCATTTCTGCTTCTTTGCAACTACCAACTAAAGGGCAGATGAAACATTAAAAGGTGGAATTAGCCTACTCTTGAGATGCTGAAAAGCAGTCTGACATTGTATATACGAGCATCCCAAATGACTTCAGCCATGACCCACCCTTAATCGGCTCTGGCTGCAGCCCAGTGCCCCCTCCCCCACTACACTGTACAGTAGACCAGTGACCACTGCTCTCCGCTCAAATATGCAATTCATAAACTCTTATTACCAAGAATAATTGATAATCTATCATCAAGAGAATTCTATTATAAAAGAAACTTTCTAGCAAAGGTTTTCTCTACATACATAATGAAAATATGAATGTCTTTCTAAGCTATAGTCCAGGGAAACATCCAGGGCTCAATTTGCATGCACAAAATGTATTAAAATGAGAATATATTATTGCCATGTACAGTCTCTGCACTGTGGGGTCTCAGAATGCTGAAACTTTGCAACTCACGATGTGATGCCTAGTGACAAGTCAAATGTTGTATACCAGGCTGCAAATATTACAACCCTAAAAGACACACTTAATAGAATAAACTACAGCTTAGATTTTCTGGCATAAGAACATTTGTATGATTGAGCTACATCACAGGAGTTGTCCCAATGTTTTTTTCTTTTTAATACCTAACATAAATAAGATACCCTAATGAACTTGGATTCAATCCAATATCAAGAATGTTCTTTGGTCAATTCAAACAAGAGGACCAATATCCTCTGTCAGAAAAGGCATGTTTTGTAGCAGAGGTCAGAAATGTGATTCTTCTGTTAAATATCCAAAAGCATCATGACGTTTGGCTGGAGGCACATGTGAGTGGGCTGCAGGGCATGGACAGTAAATGGGCTCACGGACAATTGTTGCTGCTGTTCTGAGGAACAATGTCTCTTGTCTGTTCTGTGGGGTTTACTGGTTACATTAAGTACACAGAGACAAAATGTCCATTTGAGGCTTGGCGTGTGCCCTCTCCACCAAAAAGCCAAAAGAATTGAGCCGTTGTTGTTTATGTGCCATACAGGCAGCAGACTGACCGTGCTGTCATGTACTGTCTTCAACTCAACAATGGGACATACATAAGGGGCAGTAGCCAACCAGAAAACCCCTCTGTCCCTTCACACTCTGTACAAGTCATAACAATAATATAATACATTCATAATGTTAGCCTGTATCTGCCTCATCATTCTGGCACCTGCTGTAGATGAGCCCATGGTCCCAGCACTAAAAACTAAAGTAATAATCACAGGCATTTTTTTCATATTTTACACAAATCATTTGGTTGTTCCAAAATTTGGGGCAGACACAGAGAGAACATGCCAACTCCACTCTCTGAGAGACCTTGCCTGGAGATGGAATCGAACCCAAGACTTTTTTGCTGAGAGCAATCTTGCTAACCACTGTGCCACCCAAATGACATTTCACAATGTTTTTATGTGTGTGGATTGTGCGGTTGGTAATGTTACTGAGACCCTCGTCCTAAGACAGCACCTGATTTTGTGTTAAAAACAATAGCCCTCAGCATGGTCTTTAAAGCACTGATACAATATTTTATAAAACTGTAGTTAAAATAAATGATCAATTAAACAGTTTATTTGCACAAATGTGCATTGCCCATTTAGATATAATTTAATCCATAGTTTACACATTACACATCTCTGTCATTTGAAGAACAACTCTTGTATTTTTTGCTCATCATTAGATGAGATATTAATGTCAAGGCAAGTTTATTTGTATAGCACAATTCATACACAAGGCAACTCAAAGTGCTGAGCAATTTAAGATTAAAATTAAAAGAGCATTAAAATCATAAATAATCACAGTATATTAAAAAGAAAGATAAAAATAAAATAAAATCCCTCAGTTGTATGCACAGCTAAACAGCACTGTTTTTAACCTTGTCTTAAACATTGTCAGAGAGGAGGCCTGTCTCACATCTTCAGGAAGATTGTTCCAGATTTTAGCAGCATGAATCTGAAAAGCAGCCTCCCCATGTTTAGTCTTGACTCTGGGCACAAACAGGAGTCCAGTCCTTATGCTCCTCAGAGTCCGGGCTGGTTCATATGGTACTAACATGTCACTAATATATTTTGGAGCGAGGCCATGGAGAGACTTGTAACAAGCAGAGCTGTTTTAAAGTCTATTCTCTGAGCCACAGGAAGCCAGTGCAGAGACCTGAGGACCGGACTAATGTGGTCGTACTTCCTGGTTCTAGTCAGGACTCGAGCTGCTGCATTTTGAATGTACTGCAGCTGTTTTACAGCCTGTTTGGACAGACCTGTGAGCAGGCCATTGCAGTAGTCTAACCTACTGGAGACAAATGCATGGATAAGAATCTCCAGGTCTGCTTTAGACACTATGTTTTTGATCCTGGCAATGTTTTTTAGATGGTAAAAAGCTGCTGATGTTACTGATTTGATGTGGCTATTAAAATTTAAGTCTGAGTCCAGTATTACCCCTAGATTTCTGACCTTGTTTGAAGGTTTTAGGGAGAGAGACTGTAGGTGACAGATGACGCTCTCTCTTTGTTTCTGGGGACCAAAAACAATCATTTCAGTTTTGTCTGCGTTTAGCTGAAGGAAGTTATTTTGCATCCACTCACTGATCTGTTGGATACAGTGAAGGAGTGAGTCCACTGGTCCATGTTCTCCTGCAGTCAGTGAGACATAGATCTGAGTATTGCCTGCATAGTTGTGATAGGACACTTCGTTTCTGCGTATTAACTGACCTAACGGCAGTTAATGAAGAATGCAGAACGGGTTCTGATTGAAATCTAGCCAGGTTAAAAAACAAAGACAAGCATATAGTTTTAGGCTGCACAGTGATGCCTCCAGAAAATAAAATATTTATATTATGTAAAGTGGGTTTTCAGTGAGTGGGCCAGGGAATCTATTTGACCTATATAGAGTGTTGGTGTTTGGAAATATCATTGGTGTTGAGGGAAGAGATCGGGATAACTAAAAAATTGTAGTGATTAGGGCTGGGTGGTCTGTGAAAAATATTTGACTTTTACATGAAAATGGAATTTTAAATTGAACATATACTTACACAGGTAAACACGCACTAATTCAATAAAATCATGAATGTATTCAAGCGTTTGTGAAACTGACAAATTCATAGAGGTAAAGAATGTCTCTGGCTCAGTTTGCTCCTCTTCAGCACCATGATTGACCTCTCTCAATTGCAATGCACATGTTGATATAAGATATAAAACTAATCTCAGTTTGAGATATAAAATCTCAAACAGAATCTTTCTCAATCTTCTATCTAGGCTGTGCCTAAAATTTTTCGATTTTAGGCACAGCCCTCGCAACGACGCAGAGCATTCTGTGTCTCAAGTTTATTGGCCATGAATGTAAATGGAAGTGAAACTATGGAATGGCAGCATTAACTTTATCCCCTCCATGATACAGTATATTCTATATTCTGCTTTATGGTGTTTATACTGTAGTCTGTGGGTCCGCAGGGGCTCACTTCCTCTATACAGCAGTGCGCACTCACTACGATGTAATGTTAACATTGAAAACATACAGAAGGACGTGCACGGCCCTCCCCCATTCAAAATACAGTATCATGTCGCGGGAACGCGCATTTTTGCAAACGGGGTCTGCAGTTTAGCCGACGCAACGCCAACAGCGACACTCCCTTTAAAAGCCCTTTAAACTAAGCGCTGGGCCGAGCTCCATGTTCTCACACAAACTGCACAGAAACTACTCACAAACTGCACTGCCCTGGTCCACACGGCCCTACAGAACAGCACCACAGCCGCACACAGAACTTAGCCGCTGAGACCGATACAGTCGAGGACAAAAAGTCGCTCGGAGAAGCTCCGAGTGAGTCCCGGTAATAGATGTATATTTACACCGTTTAATGTCCCGTACGAACACCAAACTAACACTGGATCCATGCGGAGGCCAGAGGAGCGGACTTACCCACACAGTGGATGAGTTTGTGGCGCCATGAGTCCAGTTCTTGGCGAAAGCCGCGTCTGTCGATCGTGCATTGCGGCCGTTTGCACAGACTCGCCATTTTCTCCCGATCTTCTGTTGGCGCGTGCACGCTCGGAAGAGGAAACGAAGCCAGGCGCGCTCCCGATCTGAAACTCATGCTTCTGTTTGGAGGATGATCATGATCCTGATGCAGATGAAAGTATCGGAGATCCATGGATACAACCCACAGGATAAACGATGTCAAATACGATAGGAGTTAGAAAGAATATATCAACGTTATGTGCATTACAAGTAGGACGTATGCCCAAAACAACTGTTTATTCTCATGAAAACACGCATTTATTGATTTATTCATTTTTATATGAGATTGAAATAAATTAAATGTGTGTGTAAAGGGGATTTATGATTTGTTATACCAAAAACACATTGGCTTCTCAGATAAGAAATTGGTATGACATAGTTTGATATATATTAAATAGTAATGAATTGCATCGTAGGCTCCCGTTATGTTTTCACGTATTTTAAGACCCAAATCTGCAACTCAACGTGTGGATGAGATCAAGACACGGATAGGAGCTGATGCTGCATGCTGCCTTCAAGTGATATCTCAACCGTTATTGTTATGCTCATTCACACTAGGCAAAATAGTGAAACAATCAATTATAGGCTTCTGTTGCAAAAACACTTCTTTGATTATACCGTGTCTATTAGCTATAGCTTTTGTTAATGCTTTATGCAGCCTGCCACTGTTCCCACTGCCTTCTGTTGGTGTAAAAATCTCATGTTAGGTAGGGGACGTGAACGCGCCGTAGGTCTGCCGGTGTGTTCATGTTTGTACGCCCTCAGCTTTATCAAAAACAGCTTTTCCCATGCTTCACAGACAGCACACCCAGCTCACAGGTAGGAAGCTTGACAGCCCTTTGTATCACGTTTGCCATTACCATTATGATGAATGGTCTTTTGTATTTACTGTGTAATAACTGTGCGTTGACAATGAAGGCAAAACATGCACCCGTCAATGCTATGTTCTTGATCCACACTTGACAGACAATGCCAAGTCTGTTTTTTACCATATTTCATGAAGCAAATGAGGTGTTCTACCAAAAATATTTATTATTTAGCCTTGTAAATTAACACCTCAGTGCCATGCTGATACACCCAAGCCTGAGACAACAGACGGCTGCAGTGTACAAGCGTATGTGATGTATTAATTCATCAAAATGTGCTGTGTTACATTTGTTATTGCATATTTATTATTGTCTTGGTTTTACCGCTAACAGGCATGTGTGTGCTTCAGGAGGAATATGACTCTAACCAGAGGATCTTTCACCTATGCCAGTGGAGAAGAGTATCACGGGGAGTGGAAGGAAGGCAAGAGGTTTTTCTTGATGCGTGCACGTGTAATATGGTTGAATATATTTATGAATACAAAAAATACATATCTGGAAAATAAAATAATGTAGGGTTTTAACTCAATCGATATAATCCAGAGTTTTTATGTATTTATTTAGGCTACATGGTCTGTCTTTGACACCCTGGTTGACAACCTGTTGTTGGTCAACAGAGAGAAATTGTGTTGGAATTTTAAATACAAACACAGCCATTACTGGGTTGTTTTAAATAGTTTGTTCTCCTAATCCCAATCTGGAACAAAACCATTTCTGAATAAAGAGCCATGAAAACAATGGCTCAATGCCCACTCCCATCCTTTATTTAATTGGTCTCTTGGTGAATGGGCAAGCCACGAACCTGCCCCACCCTCAGTACCTACCGACACAAAGTTTTGTGATTGTTACCCCATTGTTCAAGGCAAGTATGGGAGAGTTGACTAGTGTAGTGCATTGTGAGCAAAGACGCATTTAACTCTTTAATTATTGCAAGGCTTCTGGAGGCAAGCCTGATGCTAACACAACCACATTTTACCAGTATTATCTAAACTGTAGATTGAACTTAGAACAAATGCTTTGCATTCTGGAGAGAAAAATAAATCCATGCTAAAAGTCTCAGATGGCACTAATTTACACAAGAGAGACAGATGGGATTCCTAATTCCACATTTGAACCTGACAGAGCGTTGATCCTGAGGGATTTGAACATGTTGTGACTCATTTGTCACATTTAAAAGCATTATTCATTAAAAAATGTACAACCCACTTTAACTGTACATAGGGTATGTAGTAAAAGAGGGCACAGCTGAAGTGCAATGGGCAGTGCATGTGTTATGGATTAGAAAGCACCACAGGCATATTGTTGTCTCTTTGTTATAGGTCGGAGGCACGGTGTGGGCCAACTCAAGTTCAAGGATGGGACATGCTTCAAGGGCCAGTTTGAGAATGGCCTTTTCCATGGTACTGGCTCTCTAATTTTCACAGATGGATCTAGGTATGCAAATTTCCAATGTATAAAGAGTGGACCTATTTATTCTAATTCATGTGTCATGTTAATATTATGTATTGTGTTTGTTTTGGAGATATGAGGGTGAATTTGTTCATGGAAAGTTCCAAGGCTTGGGTGTTTTCAGTCGGTATGATGGAATGAAGTTTGAAGGAGAATTCAAGGACGGCAGAGTTGAGGGTTATGGTACGGCCACACTCTCACCCCTTTTATGGTCACTGTGACCTCTGTAGCAATGCTCATTTTTGCTTCCAGGTTTGTTAACTTTTCCCGACGGGGCTCATGGTATTCCCAGGAATGAGGGTCTGTTTCAAAACCACAGGCTGCAGAAGAGAGAGAAATGCTCAGCTATTGTGCAGCGGGCTCAGGCCTCAGCCTCCAGTGCTCGTACTCTGGCCCTTTGATCCAGACCAACCAGCTGATGGAGACAGGGCTTTCACGGACCTACTTTTCAACTTATCCTTTTCTTCATGTTTTCTAATATTTTGTACTACAGATGCCTTGTGACGCCTCAACAGTGTCTTGCAATGCATACATGTATAGATTAGTCAAATTTATTCAGCACAAAACCATTATGCACATCAGCAGACTTTGTCTTGCTTGATACAGCAAGAGGTTTTTGCTATTTCCATCATCACATTTATGCATAGTGGTAGTCCTTTGTATACCGCTACTGTACAGAAATGTGTTTTGTCACTTGCATTTGGATTCAGTGTTCACAAATGCCTTAAAGTCATTTTCTGCATAGAAATATGGGTCATGGGTGCCTAGTTGAAAACCAGAAGATGTACACTGGCCTCTTGTTTGCCTCTGCATCATCTCCCCTAAAGTAACTGTCATCTTAATGAAATTCACATCAGATAGAAGAATGTCTTGTTTCCTAGCTGGTGTTTCGGGATTTGTTGGTCCCACAAAAGAACTCTCTCTCTGTGTAAATTATTGCAGAATGGTTGTCTTATTTACCCTAACAACATCCCATAATGTAAAAAAACAACTATTTGGTTCGGCTTAGGAAGAGAAGCACATGTAAAAAAGTGTACTACACAGCAGATTAATCAATATAAAGTAGCTATAGAAAATATTTACCAACAGTCGTTGAACGTTGAAGAACAATGACAAAAAAAATATGAATGTAATTATTTCAGTGTTGTTATATTGACATTATTTACAAATAATGGTAGCATCTGGATTGTATATTGCTAAAAGAAGTCTTTTTCCAAGCATGGGGTTGATGGGAGTGGCTTGTAAATAAAGGATTGGATGCTTATAGTGCTGTAAACTGGGTTTGCATTGTAATCCCGGTCTTTATTGTTATACTTGAAGCTAGTGGGCCTTATACACTTGTTTTGTACTTGTATCTTGTCTAGGGTTCAAAACCATTTTTCGACCAAAGACCCTATCATTTTGTGGAATAGTGTTTTGTTTTTAACAAACTAATAAAGTAAAAAAATAAACTGTATAACCTAGAGTTGAGATTTCCTTATCAGCACTGGTAATAGGCTGCGTTTGTGTGACATCACAGAATTATACTTTCAAATTGTGGTTAGGGGCATCTGACAATTGTTTCATAGTAACTATGAAACAACTATGAAGCAAAGTTCCACGTCTTTGTCAGTACATATCCACTATGGTCTAGTTATTCTCTAATCAAGTTGTCTAGAAGTGACAACAATATTCAAAAACCACATGCATGATGATGTTGGCCAGTGATTAGGACTCTCAGACATGAGAAGAACACGGCGGGTTTGTCAAAATTCACTTGATCTGGGGTAATGGGCAAAAACGGCTTATTTCCCATAGATTTGTTCTGACACCTGCTGTCCTACTGAAATAGAATACTAGAACGTGAACGCAACCTAGTCTTTGGAAGTTGAATTAACTGGCTTCATATTGTATGATGCTGACGTGTGCTCTGACTTTCATTGCCATGGTTACCTTTACCCTAGTAACAATATTGGGCTGCTTGAAGTGGTTGAAAACACACTTTGTTGAATGTTTTTGTACTTTCAAATGTGAAGAGAGTATTTTGAATTGTATCATCTTAGCAGTATAAGTGATCACTCAGTCATTTGTCAATAAGTCATTTGTTTGTTTTGAGTTTCTGTGACAGTTATCACAGTGTGTGACAGATACAGTTATCATCACATAACAGAAAAATGTGCACCACGATATCCTCATGTCGGTTAGATGATAACTCTTGGGTTGAATGTTTGAATAAAGGCCCGTGTATACTGTGGTGCAGTGTGAATAAGCCTCCATTGTAAACATTAGATCCTCTGATGATAGCAGGAAAGTATGCCCCCTGATCTCTGCCCAATCCCCGACTTTAGCCGAGGCATGTGCTCCACGAGGCTTTGATGGGAGAAACAGCCCTGCTCTTCCCTCAGCTCTATTTGCAAACAAATTGCCTTGAGATAATGCGCAATTATGAACAGGTTTCTATAAATGGTGTATTTTCACAGCAGCATCACATAGGACTCCCAGACACAAAAGCTCTCTAGAATAAAGACGGTACGGAGAAACTGAAGGGAGTTGAGTCATAGCAACAAAGGCAAGACATATATCAGCCTATGGAACCATCCATCCATTTTCTTACCCTTAATCTAGTTTTAGGTATGGTATGGTATAGTATCTACTTTATTTGAACAGGGACAGTGTACAATTTACCATTAACACAAAGGAGAGATGTATTGTACCAGGTTATAGCAAAGATGCTAATTTTCATCTGTAGTCCCTGGGCAGGCTAGTGTTATATTCATTTAAACAGATTATAATGTAGATGGATGGCAGTTAGAGCCAAGGACACATCAACAGCAGACATCAGTGGGCGTCGTGAAATAGGTCTCGTGTTGAGCTCGAACCCACGACCTTTAGGCCTAGACGCCAATGCTCTACCAACTGAGCCACTGTTGCCCCCAATGACAGAGAAACTGTTCTTGTTTTGACTATTTCACACAAGTAACACACATTTGTTAAGACACTAAGATCACAAACTTGATTCCACATTATCATTTAGACTCAATAGCAATTTTTATACCAGAAACTCACTTGTCCTGTTCATGTGATTTTTGTCAATTTAGATTGTTTCTCAAATGAGAAATATCTATATTTAGTATTGATTCATCTATGTCTGATTGTTTTCTACTTACAAAATGAAACAGTCAGAAGTGGATTTATAAATTCATTTATCATCTACACTCTAAAAAAAACTCAGTGTTTTGACCAGTTTGTAGTTGTGTATCTTTTGGTTGAAATAAGATATCTTTAAATGGGTGTGTTGGTTCGACAAATCTATTCTGGTCAAAGTGCCAAATTATCCTGACTGTGCACATGTCGATGTTCATTCACACTGAAAACATTTGGTCAAGATGTAGATTGTCAAACACACCAACATGATGTGGCAATGACAAAAATTATGAAAACATCATTTATTTTGTGTAAACATACCAACTAATATGTTATCTGAATATTTGTTTTCCCACTTGTCTCCGTTTACAGCATATTATACATAAATATGTTGAATATGTTGCTCCAGAGACCGCCGAGATTAGAGATGACTTGTACTTGCAGATGACTGAGGTTTCAAAAGTCTATGTAGTATTTCCAAGATGTCAAATTGCCATTGTTTCACCTGCTGCACCGCGGTCATCCCATCCTGAAAGCACACGCACTGGTTTAGTTCAGTGGTCATCGTTAATCTCTAGTTAATAAAGAAGATGATTCTTATAGATTCTACATGATTCTGCTGGTTTACGTCGGCTCCAGCCAGAATGAGGGTCTTCACGATCTTGTATCTGTTCAGTCTCACAGCATCGTGCAGAGCGGTGTCTCCTTCCTGTGGGTTACCATTAGGGAGGTCACCATTTCAAATGTTACAGATTACTGTTAGAAAAATACATTGATCTAACAATTTTTGGTGATTCATAAGACCTTACTTTTTTGGTTCTGATCAGACGTGTTTCTGCTGCTACTGGACACCTGAATTTCTTCTACGGGGATCAACAATGTATCTATCTATCCATCAATCTATCTATAATATATAATCACAAATAAGACAGACATGTTTTATTCATGAGATAAAACAAGTTAAGAACCCCTGTTATACATAAATCCGGAAAGTATTCACAGTGCTTCACTTTTTCCACATTTTGTTATGTTACAGCAGCAATTACAGCCTCAAGTCTTTTTGAATATGATCTCACAAGCTTGGCACACCTGTCTTTGGGCAGTTTTGCCCAATCCTCTTTGCAGCACCTCTCAAGCTCCATCAAGTTGGATGGGGAGTGTCGGAGCACAGCCATTTTCAGATCTCTCCAGAGATGTTCAATTGGATTCAAGTCTGGGCTCAAGGACATTCACAGAGTTGTCCTGAAGCCACTTCATTGTTATCTTGGCTGTGTGCTTAGGGTCGTTGTCCTGCTGAAAGATGAACCGTCGCCCCAGTCTGAGGTCAAGAGCGCTCTGGAGCAGGTTTTCATCCAGGATGTCTCTGTACATTGCTGCAATCATCTTTCCCTCTATCTTGACTAGTCTCCCAGTTCCTGCCGCTGAAAAACATCCCCACAGCATGATGCTACCACCACCATGCTTCACTGTAGGGATGGTGTTGGCTTGGTGATGAGCAGTGCCTGGTTTCCTCCAAACATGACGCCTGGCATTCACGCCAAAGAGTTCAATCTTTGTCTCATCAGACCAGCAAATTTTCTTACTCATGGTCTGAGAGTCCTTCAGGTGCCTTTTGGCAAACTTCAGGCGGGCTGCCATGTGCCTTTTACTAAGGAGCGGCTTCCGTCTGGCCACCCTACCATACAACCATACTGATTTGTGGATTGCAGCAGAGATAGTTGTCCTTATGGAAGGTTCTCCTATCTCTACTGAGGAATGCTGGAGCTCTGACAAAGTGACCATTGGGTTCTTAGTCACCTCCCTGACTAAGGTCCTTCTCCCCCGATCGGTCAGTTTAGATGGCCGGCCAGCTCTGGGAAGAGTCCTGGTGGTTCCAAACTTCTTCCATTTACGGATGATGGAGGCCACTGTGCTCATTGGGACCTTCAAAGCAGCAGAGTATTTTCTGTACTCTTACCCAGACTTGCCTCGAGACAACCCTGTTTCGGAGGTCTACAGACAATTCCTTTGATTTCATGCTTGATTTGTGCTCTGACATGCACTGTCAACTGTGGGACCTTATATACAGGTGTGTGCCTTTCCAAATCAAGTCCAATCAACTGAATTTACCACAGGTGGACTCCAATGAAGCAGTAGAAGCATCTCAAGGATGATCCGTGGAAACAGAATGCACCTTTGAGCTTCATGGCAAAGGCTGTGAATACTTATGCACATGTAATTTATTCATTTTTTATTTGTAATACATTTACAAAAATCCATCCATCCATCCATCTTCTACCCTTTTAATCCATTTCTGGGTCAGGGGGGTGGCAGTCAGAGATGCCACCCAAGTCTCAAAGCACCAGCCCCTCACTGACCCTCTGCAGGTGGTGAGTCCACAGGAGGACGGCTGCTCTCTGACTGTGAGCATAGCCTTGATCTTTCAGTGGGGGCTTTGGGCAAAGTGGGGTTAAGTGTCTTGCCCAAGGACACAACGACAGCAGTCATCAGTGGGAGTCGGTGGAGAAGGTGCAGAGGTGGGAACATTTACAAAAATCTCCCAAACATTTTTTTTCACGTTGTCATTATGCGGTTTTATGTGTAGAATTTTAAGGGAAGAAAATGAATTGAATCAATTGTGGCTGTAACATAACAAAATGTGGAAAAAGTGAAGCGCTGTGAATACTTTCCGGATGCACTGTACTCCTGTTTTGATTTGACATTCCCAAAATCAACAGAGACAATTGTTGGAACACATATGGTGCCAAGCCCAAACAAGGCAAAGCTAATGATAACAAGAGTGTCATAATGCCACAGCAAAAATCTTTAATTACAAGAAACCGCTTTTCACCACTTTTGGAAGATGAATCAGCAGTAGCCTCTCAGTCCCAGTCTCAGTCAAGGTCAAATGCAGCTGAGTCACTCTTTATCGGGGATTCTGCGATAAGAAATGTAAACATGCGTAATCTCAAGGTTCACTCAGTACACTCTGCCAAAGTGGATGAGATAAGGCGGTTGGCTCCGAGGCTTCTGTCTGAGACCGGCGGGGTAAAAAGATTGTTGATCCACGTGGGGGCAGTAGACGTCTATGACAACACAAGTGAAAAGTTGAAACGGGATTACTCTCTCTTATTGGACGACCTTGCTAAAATGGACGCAACAATCGTTATCAGTGGCCCACTACCAACTGTGGACGGGAAGCAAATGAAATTCAGTCGTCTGTATCAGCTAAATACTTTCCTACTCAACGAATGTTCACGCAGAGGACTTGCCTTCATTGAGAATTTTAATCTGTTCTGGAATAGGCATGAGCTTTTTGAAGGGAAAGGGCCACATCTGAAGACTTACGGAGTAAAAGTGTTGATGGATAACCTTTCTTTTGCCCTGAGACCTCAGCCTGCGCAGCGCGTGCAGCCATCGAAAGGGAGGAAGCCAACTCCAAAAGTCTCTGCACCTCCACCACCTCGAAGGATCTCAATACCACCACCACCTCGAAGGATCTCAACACCTCCACCACCTCGAAGGATCTCAACACCACCACCACCTCGAAGGATCTCAACACCATCACCGCCTCAAAGGATCTCAACACCTCCACTGTCATCAGAAGCAGCTGCATCATCACCAGTAGCAGCACCAGCAGCACGACCACCACCACCAACATCCTCATCCCCAGCCTGCTCCAAAGCAGCCACGCCTTCTTCATCTACAGCGCCTCTGAAGCCCCCATCCTCACCCCAGCCTACAGCAGACAGGCCTGTGCTGGGGTTTCCTCAACCACCTGCCCCTCCATCAAAGACTCCCTCGCCACCTCCCATGGACCTGTCTTGGGTCCCCCCTGCCACGTCCACTCCATCAAGAGAGAATGGGGACACCTCCCTTTGTTTTTCATCCCCGCCTTCACTGTTAGACCTACCTGAACACTCTGCAGGGCTAATAAAATCGGCGATGAAGACTATTCCTCTCACACCCATATTAGCTAGATCTAGAGTCCTGTCCAACATTCTAAATCACTCCCCATATGTACCTCCAAAACCACCTAGGGTTTCCAATTCACATACAAAAACCACCTCAGCCAGTCCCTCCCCTAACCTCATGACCATTCCACCCCCACTTCCCCCTCGTTCAACACCCAAAACCTCTGCCTCAGCCCACCCCGGCCCTAACTCATCACCAAAAACCCCTCCACCTCCCTGCCCCCCTCGTTCAACACCCAAAAGCCACCCACCTCTCCATCCTCCTCCCCTGCCTTCCCTTTCCCCTCTTTTCTCTAAACACTAGGATGCACAGGGTCTCTGCTTCGCAGCCACTGGCAGTCTAGTTAGAGGAGAGACCCGGCTGGGGCCCTGTCATGAAGCCACCTGTGCCATTCCCTTAGTGATAACACAAAGAATACATTACAGAAAAACATCTGGAGTTAATCAGTCTAATCTGGAAAATCTAATTCTTGTTCCGTGTAAGAATCAGCCGACCGCAACCGCTGATACTGAAACTCTAGATCTGTTAGTTACAAAGGGGGTGAATATTTCAAATGTAAACGTGGTCGATGTTGCTCTTTCGGATCATTTCTGTGTATTTTTTGACATGTGTTTCACTAACAAACCACCAGTGGACTCTGCAACTGTTCGAAGAAGGCGCATAAATGAAAATACGAGTGAACTATTTATGGGAATGATAAACTTTGAGAATGCATCGTATTCTACTGTAGATGAACTGTTTAACTCTGTCACCTCTAGTGTTTTGAATGTTCTGGATACCGTTGCCCCTGTGAAGGTTAAAATAGTGAAAAATAAGCAGAAGGGCTAAAGCAGACTCGGTCAGGGCACAAAAGAGAAAGTGCCGGAGGGCCGAGCGGAAGTGGCGCAAGTCCAACCTCCAGGTTGATTACGAGATCTTCAAAGATAAGTTGTGCAAGTTTAACCGGGTGCTACGTAGTACGAGAGAAAGGTATTTTTCTGAAATGATTGAAGGCTGCAGCAACAATCTGCGTGTTCTGTTCTCAACAGTTAATAGATTAACAACCCCCCCTGTTCAAATGCCATTAGAGCTTACTTCCAAACGTAAATGCAATGAGTTTGCTAATTTTTTCAATGACAAGGTTCAAGGCATCAAAACCCCATTGCCTCCAATCCACAGATAACAATCCAACAGCCAGAAAGGCTCTCTGAGCTAACTCACTTTGCACCTGTAAATGATAAAACTGTCCAAGAGATAATCTCCAGTTTGAGCTCCTCCACATGCAGCTTGGATGTACTACCCACTAGATTTCTGAAGTCTGTTCTGGGCAGTCTGTTACATTCACTCACACAGATAGTAAACATGTCCCTTCATTCTGGAATATTCCCAAAGGGCCTGAAAACTGCAGTCATCAGGCCCCTGCTAAAAAAGAGCAGTCTCGATGCTACGGTACTTAACAACTATCGTCCCATCTCAAATCTGCCATTTATGGGGAAAGTCCTTGAGAAAGTTGTCTACCTACAGCTTACTAGATTTCTTATAATCAACAACTCATTTGATATGTTTCAGTCCGGCTTTAGACCCCACCACAGCACTGAGACTGCTCTCGTTAAGGTTACAAACGATATCCGGCTGAACACTGACGCAGGCAAAGTCTCAATCTTAATCTTGTTAGATCTAAGTGCTGCCTTTGACACTGTCGACCATGAGATCCTCTTACAGAGACTAGAGGACTGGGTTGGAGTTGCTGGCACCGCCCTAAGTTGGTTTAGGTCTTACCTTGAGGACAGGAGGTATTTTGTGGAGATTGGAAACTGTGTCTCGGATCATATGGCCCTGACCTGTGGAGTACCACAGGGGTCGATCCTGGGACCTCTTCTGTTCAATCTCTACATGCTGCCGTTAGGTCAGTTAATACGCAGAAACAAAGTGTCCTATCACAACTATGCAGACGACACTCAGATCTATGTCTCACTGACCGCAGGAGAACATGGACCAGTGGACTCACTCCTTCACTGTATCCAAGAGATCAGTGAGTGGATGCAAAATAACTTCCTTCAGCTAAACGCAGACAAAACTGAAATGATTGTCTTTGGTCCCCAGAAACAAAGAGAGAGCGTCATCTGTCACCTACAGTCTCTCTCCTTAAAACATTCAAACAAGGTCAGAAATCTAGGGGTAATACTGGACTCAGACTTACATTTTTAATAGCCACATCAAATCAGTAACATCAGCAGCTTTTTACCATCTAAAAAACATTGCCAGGATCAAAAACATAGTGTCTAAAGCAGACCTGGAGATTCTTATCCATGCATTTGTCTCCAGTAGGTTAGACTACTGCAATGGCCTGCTCACAGGTCTGTCCAAACAGGCTGTAAAACAGCGGCAGTACATTCAAAATGCAGCAGCTCGAGTCCTGACTAGAACCAGGAAGTACGACCACATTAGTCCAGTTCTCAGGTCTCTGCACTGGCTTCCTGTGGCTCAGAGAATAGACTTTAAAACAGCTCTGCTTGTGTACAAGTCTCTCCATGGCCTTGCTCCAAAATATATTAGTGACATGTTAGTCCCATATGAACCAGCCCGGACTCTGAGGAGCATAAGGACTGGACTCCTGTTTGTGCCCAGAGTCAAGACTAAACATGGGGAGGCTGCTTTTCAGATTCATGCTGCTAAAATCTGGAACAGTCTTCCTGAAGATGTGAGACAGGCCTCCTCTCTGACAATGTTTAAAACCAAGTTAAAAACAGTTCTGTTTAACTGTGCATACAACTGAGGGATTTTATATTTTTATCTTTCTTTTTAATGTTCTGTGATAATTTATGATTTTAATGCTTTCTTGTTTTGTTCAGCACTTTGAATTGCCTTGTGTATGAATTGTGCTATATAAATAAACTTGCCTTGCCTTGCCTTGCCTAATAAACTGCCAGAAAATACGTCCTTAGTGTTCATTTTGACTTGAGTATTCTGTACCTTATTTTATGATTGTCTTTTTATTTAAATTAGAAAATAACTAAATTAAACTCTAAGATTGTCCTCTTGACTAAACTTCTAATTGGATTTTATAAAACATTTTGAGTAAAATAAAAAATAATATAATCAGAGCTAACATTTAAGCAAAAATTGTTTCTTTTTTAGGTTCCAACTTTCTTTTTATTTTTTTATTTTTGAGTTTTTTTTATTTTTATGCTGCTGCATCTGGGTATCACAGGGCTCACTCCTGATAATGTATTGTCTTGTACCCAGTCGGTGGCATTCACTTCAGCTCCACAGGACAGCAGGTACTCCACGATGACGCTGTGGCCCGTCCTGGTCGCCACATGTAGCGGAGTACTCCAGAGCTGCAACACACAAAGTGAAGCTCGTGGCTGTTGGAGTCGGTGGAGTCACAGACACGTTGACAGTTATACCTTATCTCTGGCGTTGAGGTTGGCCCCGTGGCTCTTGAGGGCTTGTACCACGCTGAGACTCCCCCCTCGGCAGGCCCAGTGTATGGCCACAGAGCCCAGCTAAAACACAACAGGAGGCCTCCATCTGATTAGCACTGATTTTCCACAGGCCAATTTCCAACGTAATCTCTTCATTATCTGAAATCACACACTGCTTACTCGGTCTGGGAAGTTGATATCTGCTCCTCGACCCAACAGCATGGAGACCACAGGGGGGTGTCCCTCTATACAGGCCAGATGTATGGCAGTCCTATTCAACTGCAAACGTGGGAATTGGTGAAAATGAATCTTTCCAAAGAGCTGTTGTCAATAGATTGCGTTTATGTTCTAGATTTGTATTTCAGTTGAAGGGCAATTTAATAGGAAAGACATTATGCATATCCATCCATTCATCCATCTGCAGTCAGAGCTGCACCAAGTACACATAGCACCAGGCCCTCACTAATCCTCCTGCAGGTGGTGAGTCTTGATCTTTCAGCGGGGGCTTCAGGTAAAGTGGGGTTAAGTGTCTTGCCCAAGGACACACCGGCAGCAGACATCAGTGGGAGTCGTGAGGAAGGTCTTGTGGTGAGCTCAAACCCACGACCTTCAGGCCAAGGCCAATACTCTACCAACTGAGCCACTGTTGCCCCACATCATGCATATATAAATGATATATGAATATATATAATGTCACCCCTTCTAGACAGTTTTATGTGAAAATTTTTAGGCCACAGTTGATATGTTTCTGGATTGCTCTAAACTAACAAGAAATGTAACATACTGTAGTTACCATGATCAGTTTAGACTATATGCTCTTTGGAATATTGTGATGTCACATCAACGTAGACTATTGCCTAACTCACCTCATCATGGGCGTCAGGGTTCCCTCCTTTGCTTAGATACCTGTGTACAACATCTAAGTGTCCTTGACTGGATGCATTCATGAATTCAGTTATACATGTAGCCACCAGTTTAGCCTGTGAAAATATAATATAGATTACACAATTCCCCACCATGAAAACAAAATCATCTACCTTCTGCAAGTACCAATTGGTATGCCAGAGTATATTGTTTATTTTCAAAGGAGCAAAAGAAATGTAGTATTATTGAATATTGATTAGTAATAATGCAACAGGCTTCTATTCACACAACAATTTTAACTGAAACAAGATGTAACTATCTCTCACCTGCAGGGTCTTTTGAATCTCTGTCTCAGTCTCTTCACAACTTCGAATCTCCATATTAAGGAATTAAAAAAAACTTAGTTGTCCATTGGAAATAACATAAATGCAAACGCCTGTCTGGAGAGTGAGCTGAGCTCCGGGCACTCGGAGCAGGTCACAGTGGGACAGTGTCATTGTGTCAAACAGGTGTGTGTGCACTTGGGAGCACGGATGCCAGAATGAGAGTGAGCCCACTGCTCTCTCTCTTTATTCACACGCATATAAATACTGTACACTTTTATATGAGCAGATCCAGGACACACTGAGGCCTTTGAGGCACATTAATCCACCAGCGCTTATTGGCTACTGTTGCTTCCATAGTAAGCATGTCTCTGCCATAGCAATCCGAATAATGGAGACCTTTAAACACAATATTCTGTAGGATTATTGCCAATGAACAGGCTAGTTTATGTCACGTGGAGTAACCCTTGTTGTTTTCTCCTGCTGAGTGTACCTCCAAGTTCCAACACTAATTTATTGAATGGCAACCAGGTGACCACGTGCCAGGTTAATATTTAACTTCTGTTATTGAGGAACAAGGAAGCAACCAGAAGCAGCCATTTTATATGTATGCAACATCCAGGCCACTATGTCAATGGAAGAGGGCAGGATATTTCACAGGCGAGTTTCTATCTTTGCTAAACATTTCTCTATGATCTCACTTACTTCACTTGTCTCTGTTCTAGAAGTTGAAATATGGTGTTCCTCAACCGTTTGAGTGTAGAGGACCCAGACGATGGCATGTCACAGGTGCCTGCAGCTGAGGATACTACTACTCCATTCTCTGAGCTGCAAAGACCCTTGCAGATCACAGGGACAAGACCAGAGACCTTTTTCATCAGCAGGTACAGTTGTGCACACGGAGTGAGGGTGTCAAGGGGGACACGTGATGGCAGTTCATATCATTGTACACAGACAATATTTCCTGTTCTTTTTTGTCTAAAGCATTGAATGTTTAGGTTTTGTTTCTATGTGGCATATGTTAAAGGTTTGGGAACAATCCATTTAAATCATCTATTCATTACTGTGTGTATATTTTTTTTAGGAGAGCCAATTTGACTTTTAGTCTGTTGCTGCTGATTAGCTGTTACTCAGCAATACTAATTCCAGCCTACTTACCAGTACAGAAGACTGATATCCGCGACAGTAAACATCCAAAAGATCTGGTATGGATATGGTCAGAGTATGAGACTCACTCAATTGAAAACTAAATATAAACAATAATTATAAAACATTTTGTTTTCATTAAGGTCTTACTAAACTTTTCGGCGGCTGTGCTCTCCAGTCCATGCCAGCCTCAGTGGTGGCTGAGCCGTCTTCAGCCGTTGTCGTGTTCGGTGGGCCTCTTGAACATCCCTGTCTTTGTCCAGCAGGAGGACCTGCTGTGGGAGCGGCCTCCTCCTCTGGGGCTGCAGGGCAGTGAAGTGCACCTGGCTCTGGCTCTGGCCTCTCTGCCTCAGCACGCTCTACCTCTAGCTATAAGCGAGGAGGGCCGCTGCAGACGCTGTGTTGTCGTGGGCAACGGGGGTATTCTACATGGCAGCTATCTGGGGTCACATATTGACCAGTATGACATCATCATAAGGTACAGTTGTAAAGTTTGCACACCCACCCATAGAGCTCATTGTTGGGTCCTTAATCTGATTATGAGGCATAATTTTCCCATTCATCATTAGCGATTATGTGAAACTGTGTAATTTCAAAGAAACATACGTTCTATTTTGAAATTATAAAATTATGTAGATATGTAGCGACCAAATGTGCAGTTTGTGCAAGGTGGCCCAGGATTTTACAGTAACTGAAAGCCTTTTGTCAAGATGAAGCAGCTTTACCCTAACAGAGGATAAAGGATCCACAACTACCACAGAAGACTCCAAGCAGACATAAAGGATTCACACTACTGAGAACTGAGTAAACTTCTAATCAGGGTCATGGCTTCACAAAACCTCTGAGATATTTATTTGGGTAAAAAAGTGTTTGTGTCATTGTTCATAATTTCCAAAATATGGCCAAAATAATCAACATGTCTGTGTGGGTGGGAACTCTTTCAAAAGTTGAGTGATCAGTTCTAATAATAATTTGACTGTACAGGTTGAACAATGCTCCTGTGCCTGGGTTTCAAAGAGATGCCGGTTCCAGGACCACAATCCGGTTGGTCTACCCAGAGGGAGCACCCAGCTCTGCAGAGGAGTACAAAAACACGTCTACAGTTGCTCTCGTGGTTTTTAAAAGCCTCGATCTGGAATGGCTTACTTCTGTCATCACCAAACAACCCCTGGTGAGCAGCATAGGGTACAGCAACATTGCACACAAAAATAGCATGTTACATAAGCCAGTGTAACAGCAGCACCACGATCACGTCATCATTCTCATTGTTTCAAATCCCTCTCATCTAATGTCTTTATATTCAAATAGAGCTTGTGGTCCAAAATGTGGTTCTGGAGGGAAGTGGTGGAGGAAATTCCCCTGAGACCAGAGAACTTTCGAATTCTCCATCCAGAGATTATTCATAAAACAGGCCAAGCTCTTCAGAAGTATGCAGTCAAACAAGGGAATGTGAGTTGAATTTTTTGTGTTCAAGTAAGACAAGCGTGTTAGGACCAAGGCTTTCATCCCACTTTTAAGTATGAAGGACCATATCTCAAGTATTCACACAAAAACATCAAAGTAGTCCCAGCAAAAGCATGTACGACACTATGTATTTTAATTTTGGTAGAGATTTTGATCATATAGCTAAAGGCCAACATGAAAGCAGCAAAAAAATGATCCAATATGACGCAGTAATTGCTTGAATCAAGTGTTTTTTAAATCTTAATTTTAGCACATTTTGACATTCTTAAAAAAAGATTTACCAATGGGACCAAGCCATTTAGTCTTGTTTCATGAACTATTGCTTTATTTTCTCATTCCAAGGGAGACATTTCTTTTTAAAACAAGACAAACAAGGCCATCTTGGGATGTTTAAATATGGTTTTAAGGCTGGCAAATGCTCAAAATAAAATACATTTAGCAATTTGATCCATTTTTGACTTTGACCAAATTAACAATAAACTAAACTACACTTTTTGCATTGTGTTTCTCATTTTGTTTTGTTTCTATAGATGGTGCCCACGCTTGGGGCCAGTGCTGTGGTCATGGCTCTGCAGCTGTGTGATCATGTGAGTTTGGCCGGTTTTGGCTATGACATGCAACATCCAGAGGCAAGACTTCATTACTATGAGGAGATACGCATGGATGCCATGAAAGCACAAGTATGTTTGAGAAACGATCTGCACAGCAACCGATAAGAGAATAAGGACTGCTTTGTTTTATCTCAAATCTTCAATTTTGAAATGTAAAAATGGAGCCTGGCAGCTTTCTTCAGGGAATCCTTTTACATTGAGTATCCATCGTTTCTTGTCGGAGAGTTTGCATCTATGGTTCTTGCATGTGGAGGTCTTTTGACTTTTATTTAACATGAGTTTGACTTTTATTTATCATAGATTGCAGTTATGTTAGGATTGAACAAAAACCGACCAAAGCTAAGAGCGAAGTGTTGTTTTATGAATACTGAAAGGCCAAATATTACCAATTTTTGGGTTCAGTCGTAAGAAAGTAATCTTTATTTATATTGCACATTGCTATGAATACACTATATTATGTTTAAACTATGTACAGTATTACATGTAGCCCATATCAAGGATGCTCATTTCCATAGAGAGGTTTTTTGCTTGGACTGTATATTGGTAGGGATTAAAATAGTACATTACATGATTTATTTTTGTTGTGCTTGACTCTCCTCTGCAAAGATATGACTTATATAGCCTCAGAATCACAAATGAAGTCACTCTTTTCTTGTCAACAATATAACAACGCTATTACCGTACTGTGGATCATTCCAGGCAGAACCACATCTTTGTAAGACAGATCTTAGCAAGAAGCCGACCTTGAAAAGTTGTGATACAATAGAATAGGGAAGAGGGCCAGAGAAAGTGACAGGTTTGTTACAAATATTGATGATTATGGCTTCCGGTCCATTTTGGGTTAGATGTCCCGAGCCAATTATCAACATAATATATTACTACCATAATAATATTACTTTCCTATTGTAAGTTGTATTACAAAAAAAGTACAGCACTTTTGAACAATATTCACATTTTTCCGAATGTGTTTTCAGCTGTATAATGTGGAGTTCAAGAATTCTGCCGTCCTTCTTAGTCCAATGCTCTTGTCAAATTACTTAAAACCATCAAAACTATTACATTGTATTATGGATATTCAGACTATGGGATAACATATCATATTGTCTGTCTGTTTTATTAGGTGGTCCATGATGTGAGCGCAGAGAAGCTCTTCTTGAGGGATCTGGTGGCTGCAGGAGCTGTGACTGACCTGACGGGGGCGTTGTGAAGCATTGGAGCAGAAACTCAATACTGCGAAGGCACTCCTTTTAGACTATGGTTATACACAGTCAGACTGACCTTTGCAAAAGGGGCCTGACTAATGACTGACTAATGAAAAGAAAGGTTACACTTTTTTCATGTAAATAGAGAAGCAATCATTCCATGCTGTATTTAAAATAAGTCTATTGTATTGTATTGGAGGTTTCTTCATTTCATACAAATTATAAATGGTGATCAGTATAAACAAAACAGCAGTGGCAGAGCCTTTTATAAATACACATTTTGTGCATACATTCATAAAGTGTGAAATATCTTCTCATGTACATTAGGAATGCATTGCAGACAACTTAAAAACAACACAGTACAGTATTCACGTACATGGTCCATCTAGGGCAGCACAATTATTGGCAATTTTTCTGGTTTCAATTATAAAAGACTGTAGTTATCTAAAAAGGCATTATGCAGCTGTTTATGTGGGGGGAAAGATATTTTGATGTATTTGACCTTGTAGTGACTGTATGAGTGGTCGGCATTGGGGCCTTTTCTTTCTACCACAGGGGTCTCAAAAGGATGCTAAAGGATCAATTGTTTGGGAGGTTTTATCTGCCGACGTATCATCTGCACCAGAAAACTTAAAAACAGTTGTTCCTGGAGCACTGTAGACACAACCGTGAAAAAATCAAAAGTAAAGACACATGAAAAAAATATTTAAAAGTTGCATAATGCAGCTTTAAGATCATTTCAAACAAAAAAAGACTAAAGATGAAGTTAAAACAATTTGAATATGGGAACATGTTTATGATTCGGCGATATGTGGAAGATTTGTCAATGGAGTCTTTGGCGTCTCTAGAGCAGAGGGTTTCGGGAGGGCTCCCAGAGTTTACTTGCCAGCTGCCTGCAGTGCTGGAGGATGATCTCAGAGGGGATGACCCCCAGATGAATGGTGAGCAGCTCAAAACACCGGACTAACTCCCCCTGGTGGTTCTTACTGTAAAACCGCCTCAACTTCCTGCATCACAAACCAAATTATTTGCAGCGGTTTTAAAAGTCAGCCCTGAAACTATAAATAAAATGACAAACCTGTAATAGTCCCAGGAGAGCATTCCAATTGGTGCAGAGTCATCAGGTAAAATAGGCAAATCCACAGCATCCAATTTGAATCCCTGAAAAAAAAAAAAGTAAAATTACACCATAAAAATACAACTTATAATTTTAAAGATTGATACATACCGTTTCATTTTCGAACCAAAGGAAGTAGCAAAAGAAGAAGTCCCCATCACGAAGTGTGACCGTGGAATAGCCTTTCTGTAAGTACCTTCGGGCTGCGTTTACAAGCCCCCAGACCTACATTTGTAAATCAGATATTATTTCCAGTCTGTCCTAATGCTGGGATACCCAATGTTCAAGTCATAACACATTAAACTACAGGTGAAACGTAGAATAATGTTCAAGAGTTCATTCATTTCAACATAAAATGTGAACCCAATATGAACAGAACATGTAAGTGAGATTTATCAATCCTTTATTAGTTATAATGACAAAGGCGTAGAATATGCCACTGTACATGTATTGAGTCTACATCATATGTGGGTTTCACTTTTTAAGTTAAATTACAGAATTAAATCATTTCTATTTAATAAAATTCATCCAACTATTTTCTCGGTATGAAATTAGTTTGGTTCTATATACTTTAGTTTACAGTTGCATCTTTTTCACATCTTTGGATCCGCTCTTTCAGACAGAAAAGTAAAAAAATTGTGCAAAAGATAAACATAATTGAACCCCAACACATTTTTAATAAGATGCATGTAGTGGTCGAGACTGTTCACAATATTTTATAACAACACTTTCAGTTGGAACAAATAACGTATTATTTATGAAAAAATAAATTAGGTACCCCAGCTTTAAGTTGAAATATTACTGCTGTACCTTTCTTTTGATGAACTGTGCCACGGGACCCTTCCCCAGCTCAGACGAGTTGTGTTCTGTGATATTAAGTGACGGTGCAATCATTTGACCAGTCGATCGATCAATGCAAATGAAATGGATCAATCCTGGGAAATCCTCCAAATACGTGAAAACACACAAGTCAAGACCAATAAACGACAACACATGAAATAAGAAAAGGTCATCGTGGTTATTTATAAAAGGATATGAGACCATGGTAATATTTCTTTTACTCTTAACTAAAAGAAATTCCTTCCAGTCCATCAGTTTCTCTCTTCAGGGAAAAACAAAAAAAATCCATGGTTTAAAAACAAAAACATTTTCAATTGATTCCTGAGAGTTTTAGGGACGTGTTTACTCACTGGACCAGGGCCTGCGCTCGTTCCTGAAGACCGAGGCTTAGATGGCGAGGGGCATCCACTGATCCGGAGTCAGACAAAAAGCACTGACGGTATATGCCACAAAGCTGCGTCTTCATATTCTTACACCAAGGGATCAAACTGGAACAAGATTTAGAATTATTATTATTATTTATTCAATTGCAATTACATCCTACTTCCTGGTGGTGGCAGCAAAGACTCACTCTTTTGTGAAGCCGTGTCCTCCTTTGGAAAAAGCTCTGTTTTTGAATTCTGTCCAAACGTTTAATAGTGGCACAGCCTGTGGAAATACATATTATCATAAATCGATGAGTTCAAGCTAGAGCAGCAAACTTTGAAAAGTAAATATCTATAGAAAAAATTATGAAACTCGACCGTCACCCTCAACTGTTTGGTTCGATCTCGTACACATCTTTAGTTTCCAGCCCTCAGCATATAAACAATAACATGTTTACTACTATGATAAAAATTACAGGTTATAGTCTGAGTTATCGTTGATGCAACACTGTGATTTCCCCAATGTGGAACGAATAAAGGATCTCTTAATCTTTAATCGTAAAATGTTACGTAAAGAAAAGTGATGTACTCCAGCTTTGAAAAGCAATCTTTTTAATACAGCTCAACAATCTATACCTGAATATCACTGGGGCCCAGGACTTTGATGAATTTATCCAGCTTCCCTCGCACTTCCTGTATGGCTGGCGGACCTCTTGTGGCGGCTGAGCCTTCGTGGCCTTCTTGTAGGCGCTTCTCCAACTTTGCAAAGGCTTCTAAGAACACATAAATGGGCATTGCCAAGGCACTGGTGGGAATCTAACGGGAAAAAACACAATTTAGTCTGGAATTTGGAGAGAAAAAAAACAATGTGCAAAATGAATGTGATACTTACTTTTGTTAGTAGTACTAGAGTGATGCCAGGCCACAGGGGAAGGCAGTACATGGAGTGAGGCATCATGGGATACAAGCCCTCTTTGAGAGACACTTCTAAGAAAACTCTTTGTGGAGTAGATGGGTCAGGAGGAGGGACCCTTAGACTCTGTAAGCTGTCCTCAGCCATCTAAACATAGATTATACCAATGACCCATGATCTCTATGCTGTGCAGAAGTAGAACAATGCTGTAGGTGTGTAGCAGAGAAGCAGAAGTACCTGGAGGTCTGGGTCCACAAACTCAAATACAGGCATGTCATGTGTCTTCTTTAGCTTACCTATGAAAACATAATAATGGGCCAATCAAAAAAACAAAACAAAATAGCCACAGACATGCTAAATCTGGTGTAGCGCTGTCCCTTAAATAAACAAACTTCATTCACTTCACAGCATTCAGCCTACATTATCACAGGATACAGAAGAGTAGAAATGAGGAGTAACAAAACAAATAACAAAAAATAAAATCAGTGAAGATTAAGTAGAGCACAACAAAAATTCTTTATCCTTTATGAAAAGTCATTCAAGTTAAAACTACAAAAAAACTTTAGATCAGATTTTATAGCGTAAAAGAGAGTACGAGCCTGACTCAGTCCATCCTCTCTCAGCATGTAAATGATCAAATGTGTTCTAATAAGATAAAGACAGCATGTCGTGGGCTGATTTGTTCATAACATTTGCCTTAAACAAAACACAGTGTATTTCTGAAGCATATAAAACGTCCAGCTTCAGCATTGAGCAAGAATACAGACAGTATAGTAGTCCGAGTGGGTTTGACGTACTTGAGCCATTGGAACTATCGGAGTCTCCCTCAGAGGGCGAAGGCTCAGGAGTGTAAAAAACATCCGGACCAGAACCAGATGTACTTTCTGCATCCTTCATTAAATTATAAACAGATTTCAAGCAATTCACTAAACAATGAATGTTTGTGTTTGGCCTTTGATAGCCCGTACCTCTGGGCCATTGTCGTCCAGATCAGAGCTGCTTGGATACATGTTCTGTGCCATTATGATGAGCGCCAGCAGATCAGAGGTGACCAGGGAACTCGCATTACGGCTGAAGAAGAAATAAAAGATGACGTGTTTATTGAGAGAACTGTGACTGCAATAAAGGCTAGTCAAGATGAAAGGAAACAGACATTTTCAAATACACTCATTATACTACATACATCCCCATTACTACAGTGCACGTGATTTTAATGATAATGGCTTAACAGGTTTCTGCTGGTACTGCTTAATTACCTGACATCAGTCTGACATAGATCTGATCCGTCAGACTGGCCACGCCCCCTAACCTTGCCTGCAAGCTGAATTCTCGCGGTATTTGTGAGTTCACAAACACTCGAGAATACATCTTGTACCGCTCCCGCTTACACTTTTCGAGTCGAACCACTGGGTGTGCGAGCCAATCACGCGCCAGTCTGGGGGTTTAGGGCGGGATATCCGGGTACATTTCTGGACGGCAACCTTGGTAGGCGGGCACACAGCGTCACTTCGCCCAATCAGCTTCAAGTATTCTGCTGCTTACCCCTCCTTTCCCCGAAAGGACTCTCCGGGAGAAATCCCAGATTGATATCGCGGAGAACGCGTTAGAGTTCTACACAATCATCAATCTGGCTTTTGCCAGGTTACACGCCCCCCTATGGTCTCTGAGTGAGTCCCATGTGTGAGCCAAGGTAAAGGCCCCCTCATCTCTGTTGATGGTCCATGTTCCTGATTTCAATCACCTCTCATATCCATCTCATATCCATCTTTTGTATCTATGCTTCCTACGGTTTTTGTCTTGTCCCAGTCTATTATATGATGTTCTCTTTTGCAGAGGTCAGATATTGCTGATTTGATGTTTGTTAATCTGGTTAGTCATGCTGCAGTTTTTATTGCATTGCTTCTGATGTTCCTTTTTCTGGCGCTGAAAGCTCTTCTTGTTTCTCCCATGTATGTTTTAAGTTCTAGTAGGTAAGTAAGTAATGTTTATTTATATAGCGCATTTTACAGACCAAGGTCACCCAAAGCGCTTCACAATGTTCAGAGTTCAGATATTGTTCCAATCATTCCACAGCTGATCAGCGAGACGCCGAACACACTGGAGCATCATCCCCCATTCACTCTCTCATTTACATTCATACCTATTGTGCATGTTTTTAGTGGTAGGGGAAACCGGAGCACCCGGAGGAAACCTACGCAGAAACGGGGAGAATATGCAAACTCCACTCAGAAAGACCCTGTTCCGACCGGGATTCGAACCCAGGACCTTCTTGCTGAGAAGCGAGAGTGCTATCCACTCAGCCACCGTGCCGCCCTGCAGGGGATTCTATACATTATTTCTCCAGTGGTATCCTGGAGGTTTTGTATTTGTGCTTTTTGTGTGGTTTAATTATTGTGTTTACACTCTTTGTCTTATAAAATATTTAAACATAAAGAAGACACGAGGAACTTTGATCACTTGATTTAGATGATTTTCTCATTCTTTTTTTATAATATAAGATTTTTTTTTCAGAAGCAACAAATAGCAGCTCATACTTCAGCACAGTCAATCACATATACCAAAATATATGTCTGAAATCAATCACAGCTTGATTTCAGACATATATTTTGGGGGCTAAAAATTTGGAGACTGAATGGACTAAAAAGCCCCCCAGCACGAGGGAGATTCAATTCAATATTTGATCAGACTGTATGTATGCACTTACGTTGTAATTAAAACTGTATTATCATTTCTGTCCATGTTGCCACAAACTGGGTTGAAGTGCTTTATTTTAAAAGAATGGCAAAACAATTAGTATTAATATTATTTGTCCACAATCTATGTTTTAAAAAGACAATAGGAATCAGTTGTTTACGCTGATAGATAATTGTCGATTTCATGATCGACAATTAATATACAATACAATACAACATGAGTTCTTGCGCTTTTCAAAAGGTTAGATTCATACAACAATTATAAGATCAAAATGATTTATATCAACTGCTTTTCACAGACCAAGGTCACAGAACGCACTTTTCTTTTTAAGATGATATAAGATTTATAATAAAAAAGTACCTTGAATAGAAGGCCAGTAGTTTGGTGTGAACCAGTATGAAGGCATGCACCACCTCCTCTCCTGCGCGCTCGCCGCTGCTGTTCAGCTGCTGCACTAAACGCCGCTCTAAAAACTCTATGCACTGTTCACATAGTGTTGGATGGATCAGACGCTCGACGGCCTGAAGAAGACACAAAATCAAAGAGACTTGAAAACAGCAGAACATTTGACCCGTAAGCTCCTTATTAGTGTTGACAATATTGTTCGATAATAGCTTTGCATTAGTCTGGACAAACACATGTGGGTAAGTCAGGCCAGGTGCTCGTGTGCGGAGAAGGCCTAAATGATCCAATGTGTTGCTCCACATTTCCTGCTGCGGCTCATTAATGCGCTCGCACTCATAAAATCTTCGTTTTAGAGGCATGTTTTTATGGTCTGCACTTCTTTGTAATGTGGCTGCATTATAATGTAATGACTTAGACTCAAATCATTATCTAATATCCACCTTCAAATGTTCATGGATGAGTCACTGTGACAAATGCAGACAGGTAATACATAAGGGCTGCGTCTTGAAGGCGTATCTATAGTTGTGGAAGCCCCCTCATTGGCTGTCTCGCTGTCTCGCCGGCAGAGGGTCATGGAGGGTCATATAGTGAGGACATTGTGGAAATGTGTGTGTTTGTGTGTATTTATGATGGTTCAAAAATAACAAAAAAAACTATTTGATTTGCGTTTTCATGAAACAAACTTTCCTTTGCCATTAGCACATAAAATATGCTTCAAAGAAATACCTTTTTAGGTCATTAGTTTGTTTTTGAGAGATGATCCAGGAAATGTATGGATATTGGTTATATGTTTCATATCATTGCATTTCCTGTGTTCTAATGGTTTGATTGGTCCTTTTCAAGGACATTTACGGTGATCCTTAAATGAACCGTATCTAATATGCAACCAGATCATTTACCGTTTGCCTGTTGCTGTCAGACTGTACAATGAGAACTGCTGAGCCTTGTAAATGTCGTTCATCTGTAAAGAAGGAAATACTAAAATCATGTGCAATGTGCAATACTGCAACTTCAGAATGTCCACTGAACGATGTCACTTTACTTTATCTACTTATTATCCTGCACTATATGTGCAGTATACAACTTTGCACTATATATATATATATATATATATATATATATATATATACAGAATATATTTGTTTTTTGAAAGACTGGTATTAAAGCATTTACAGCTAGCTAAGAAACACAGCAGATACTTATTTTGTATTTTTTGTGTGGTCCCTGTGTGCTCTTACTACTGTCCTGTCTTTGCGCTGCAACAATAACATTTCCCAACTGTGGGACAAATAAAGGATCTCTAATCTTATCTTAAAATATATATAAATAACTGCATTACGATCGGCTCATCGTGGCCACTTTGACCGTGACGTTTTGCTGCAGCTATGATTTACATTTGTCCTTCGTAACTCACCTCGACTAAAAAGCTCTGGTCGTTCTGGCGCAGGTGGCTGTAGGTCTCAAGTAAACTCTGCAGCTTCTTCCACAGTCGGGTTCTCAGCTCCGTGTCTTGAGGTCGCAGTCTGAGATGAGGTGCAGTTCAATAAATCATTCAAATAAAAGGCATTGACTCGTGTTGTTCTTACTCCTTTCTCAGGAGGGTGCTGCTGAGCGTCACCATTCCAAACAGCACCTCGACCATCTTCTTCATCACGTAGATCTTCCTCCTCAGGTCATCCTCATCCTCGTCACCGTCGCCATTCACAGCAATGTAGAGGCACTCTTCGAACTGAGCAGCAGAGGAGAAGGAAAGGTGTGAGGAGATGTCCAATATTGTAACATAAATGCTAAAAAGACCTAATATTGTAAACAGTTGAAAACATAATGATAATAATAACAAAATAAAAATAAATGTAAAATGTAATTCAATGTAGTTCCTTGCTCTTAAATCAGTTTAGTATCATTATGGTATTATCGTTTGTTTTCGCATGCATGCATTTTTCAGCCCCGGACACATCTTTAGAACAGCTTTTTCTGACAGAAAAGTGAAAAAAAGAGAAACACCCTCATTCCGCCAATCTCTAAGTGTCAAATAGTGATTCAAGAGGCACTTTCTTATTTGGGAAAACACATTACAATAAACAGCTGCACACTATTGTTTGCAACAATGTTCTAAAATAAAATAAATAAAGCAATGAATAGTTTAATATCATATCATACTCCTGCCGAGTCGAAACATACTGTAATATCCAAACTCACAATCCATCAAACTAATTCATACTTTGTCTTGAGTCTTCTACAATAGATTTTTTTCTTTCATAATTACAACATATGATTTGTCACAACAAAAGAGTCTTATGAAAGTAAAATGAACAAATCAGACCACAACATATTCTCATCTTATATTTAATTGTAAGAAGCCCTGTAAGTCAGTATTTGACTTTTTGGGCTGAGTGGGGGTGGTCCTCTCTTTTTAGCTTTTCTGTCTGAAAAAACTGATCTGAAGATGTGACAGAGGCCAAAAACACATACATGTGAAAACTAGAGCTAGAACTGCTGAGAGAGAGAGTGAGCTACTTAGATACTGTTTATTACATAGTTTCATCTTTCAGTGGTTCGAAAGTTAGGTACCCCAGCTTTAAGGGACCACAGACGTATTCATTTAAACGTGCATGTATTTAGTCTAACAGGCGACTGGATACAGGCCTCGGCGCTACACTTGGACAAAGCTCAACTTGATCTCAGCGCAGGACTCACATGATAGACATTCCTTACTTTATTCTAACAAGGAACCGTTACTGTTTCCACCACGCAGCCAACACAAAAGTTTAGAACCTGCTGAAGGACATAGACGTGGTTGTTCTCCGTGGTGAAGGAGGCATAGCTGTCGCCGAGTCGGTCCACCATAGTGATGCAGGAGATAATGACAGGGGCAAACAGGGTGCTGATGCTGTCTTCGAAGGCAGGGAGCTGAACGCAAACACAAAGCAGAGATAGATAAGACTGAATACTTGGGATAAGACCTTTAGGGCAGCCATTTTATTTACTTAGAGATAGGATTGCAACCAAGACTCAAGATTCAAGATTCAATGCATTTGCCATTTGTAGTTAAAAATGCTTACTGACCTTTTAGCAGAGCGGGATAAAAGGACAGTTTAGAGTCGAGGATAAGACAAACCAACTTTCTATGGTGCTGCGATAAAAGTTAAGAATGATCTTGGAGTAATTTGTAAATTCTAAAATCTCTGCAGGAAGATGAGCTTTCTAAACAATATGATTTGTATGGTGAAAAGAAAATAGTAACAATAAGGAATAAAGTGAGTCACACCAACATGCACTAGGAATAAGTAGTATTTTCTTTCTACTTTTGTCAGTTCCAGCCAAAACCAGTTATAGGAAGGAGTGCTGTGTATATTGTGCATATAAGATGTTTTTTTTTTTTTTATTGTGAGAATGGACAACTATTTGAAATGGAATTGTAATATGTAATATACATGTAATACTGTTTTACTGTATTGTAAAAAAATATATATAGTTATTTATATTTATAATGGTTTTTTTCCTTTGTATTTATTTGCAAAAGTCACTAACTAAATTGTCTTAATTGTCACATTACAGCAGGAAAGCTGGAAAATTACATCAAGTTTTTTGTTTGCAGACCTTTTGAGATACTGTTATTGTTATTTGCTCGGGGCTTTTGTTAGGTGAATATTGCTATGGGAAAGTTTTTTAAATTCTCAGTCTTTGCACTCAAATGAAAATATATGTAAACTAATGATTGTAAATATTTGGAATTTAATGTATATATCTTATTGTAAATACTCAGATCAAATATCAGATGCTGGAAGAGACACCTGAATGCCACCGTCACTAATGGAATGTCTGGAGCATTGGTCACTGCTGATGGTGTAGCACTTGTTCCTCACCCCGTGGCCCTCTTCTTGGGACGCCCCATACTGCTGCTGGACATTGTGCTGAAACTCTGGGTCAGTCCAGTAGAAAAGCACCTCAGCACTTTCACTGGCGATCAGCAGGCACTTCATGTGGACGAATGATCCCCTGCTCCTGCGACAGAAATCAACCAAGACTGAGGATTGGGAATACCTCATATTTCTACTGTTTTGTTACAAAGGACACTATGCTAATAACTAAAATGGGCAAAACCCGTCTATAATTACTAGTGGCCTACTTTCTCACAGTTTGTGACTTCAGCTGACACTTTGTGACAATAGTAAACTGTTCTGGTGGCAGTGATACCTGATTTATGTCTAACTGTCACTATAACACACTCACGAATATATTCCATCCAAATGCTCTTGCTTCACCTCCCTCTACAGTCTGCACCTAACCCGCTCCTCAGAGTGCATGCCTGGTTTTACACTGCGCCACTGTTTACTTTCTGGAGAAACTTCACGCACTCTCCTCACAGAAGTGAGCTCCACACGCACACACGTCACTCACGTCTGCAGAGACAGAGACAGGCCCCGTGTGTAGCCGAGCGCCTGCTGCTCCGCCTGGACTCCTGCGCGGATCTCCAAATCAAACTTTGGTTAAACTCTTGTTGTCCACAGCAGAGTGGAGTGTGTGCGGATCTGCTGCTGCGCCTCAAACAGGCGGAGTCGTGTGACGTAGACGTGAGGCAGTGACGTAAACGTGCTGAGCAGAAGGAAGTCATGCGCTGGAGCGCACTGAGACGCGCGTGACCAGCACCACCAGGATTATGGGTATGGAGATATGTAGACATACATCATATATCAGAAAAGTACACACTTAAAAGTGAAACACCATACAATATTATTCACATATTGCAATTCAATTAAAGCGAGGGTACCTAACTTACAAACCACAATACAATAAATAGCTCATGTAATAAGATCAATAACTTCCTCTTCTTTCAAAACAGTGTTGTTCAATCACTATTTTTCTGATTGACATAAAATAAATTCAGAACATATATGATTATTAGTGAAAATAGTTATTTACCCCTCGCCCCCAAAGTGGCCTGTATCCAATGTCAATCATTAAAAGTTACACTGATTGAAGCAAAACTTGATCAAATAAATATTCACTTTTGCATCAACATCATACATGATAGAATTAATCCTGTAGAGATTTGAAAAAGCAAGTTTTATCGTAATAAATACAACTGTTTCAAATGGACATTTGAGCATAATTGTATTTATACATGTATTGTACGTTTTGTATCATGTATGTATAATGTAGAATAAAGTGCTTGCCCAGCAGCCATGGCCTTTGGCCAGAGAATGTTTTGATGGTTACAACAAATCCAAATATTCTCCAGATTGTATGCCTGGGCCTGTGCAGTGCAAAAGAACCTCATAGTAACATAAATATTTATGTTTTATTAACTTTGCTCAACTCTGAATGGGCTAAAATGCAGAGAGCTTCAAGTCTCAGGCCAGGGTCTAATCTAGTCCATCAGTTTTCAAGAGATGGAGCGTTCATGAAAAACTTATTTAAGCTGACTCCTGTATATACAAAGTAAACATGGAGAAATCCTCAGTGTTTGCTAACAGGGTGAAGGGGCCTTGCATGTCTCAAAATGGATCTGGAGCATAAACAGTGCGAGGAAGGCCAGCCGGCCAGTTACCTCCACTAAAGAGCCACAGTCACGCAGCACTTCTAAATCACCACACAATTAGATTTAACCAAGGAAGTAACCCTCAAGACTTGTTAAGATCAGGGCCTTTGGGGTCAGCTCAAGTGCACTGAGACTTCATTATAACTTTGTAAAACTCAATGGCAAAGTAAAACCAAAAATAATCACATATACTGTAAAGCAGGTGCCATTGTGGATAATGAACAAGTTAACATAACAAAAAATAAAATGTTGCATCTTGGCCAGGATATTTGAAGTCGTGTTCAAAATGTTTATTATCAATAAACGTTTGTACAAAAATAATATTAGCAAACTTTACATACAAATACTTTGTAAAGAAATATGAACATCTTCATAGAGTAAAAACACATGAAACGTGAATTTAGTATTTACTTTGGCAGATATATTGAAACAAAGTAGAAAATTCAAGTTGCCCAAAAAAGTATTGTAATAGATTATATGTTGACTTGCATTGAACAACTTCTAAGCTTATAAACAGGTAATATTAACATAACAGAATAAATAAAAGTAGACTGTATAAACATTAACATCTGTACAACATATAGTGTAATATCATACAGTATATAGCAGCAACCTTTGAGTGTATTGGCCACACAAGTCAAGAAAAACAAACAATATCTATATTGATAATTATCTATTCAAATGTATACTTTAATTTGATGAAATGGGCCTTTAGTGAAATCTCATCACCAAAGATTTCACAATATTTTGGTAAATGAAAGGTGTATAATATATGATATTGAAAAGAGATCTGTTTTCCAATGCATTTACATAAAAATACAGTTTAAATAGGAACACGTATACGCCAAAACAAATACACAAACTTCATTATCTGAGTTGCATGTCACTCTTTTATACTCACTTCAGTAGTTTTATTTATACAGCACACAAACACGCGTGCATTCACACACGCGCACACACACACACACACACACACACACACAAATTTAAACCACAAACCAAATGGATGTTCCTTTTTACGCTTGTGTGGGCGGATTGGTCATAGTTTTACCTTAATTCCCCAAAATGTATTTAAACCAAAAACAGGCAAACAAACCTCCTTTCCAGACAGCCAACAATAATCACATTATGTAAAAGAGATTGTAGTCAGAGAAGAAAAACATCTCAAAAGACAAAAGAAAAGTCAGTGCAGCAGTTTGTGTGTAGAGAAGTCTTGTGTGTGGTCTGAGGTCTGTAGACTGTGGGGTCTGAGGAGGTGTGTGGTGGGTGTTATCTCCTGCAGGCGTACGCGTTCATGCTGCGGATGACGTAGAAGCCGATGGTCAGCGGCGGCATGGTGATGGTGCGTCCGGCCTTCAGGGTCTTTGGCTTTAGCTCAGGGAAAGTCTCATTGTCCAGCATCATCAGCCTCTCCCCGTTCAGCTGCACGTGTCTGAGGAGGAGCAGGAAAACAATCATAAAACATTATTATTTAAATAAGGAGGCTTCACACACAGAACTTGGACAGCAGGGGGTGCTATAGGTATAAAATCAAACATCCATTTTGACTTGAGAATGTGATTGATTGTTTTACTTTTGCTATAATACTAATTTTGAGGTATATAAATATTATTCCAGGCTGATGGGAGTATTTAATCCAGCATTGGCTACAGTGACAATCAAAACAGTATATAATATATAAGAACATTATATCAATTATATATTCAGTTCAGCATTTATTTTTCCAAAAATAACAACAATTTCCAACAATAAATTATGTATACATATGTATAATATACAATAAAAAGATCGGATATTTATTTTGATTATAATTTGGTAATTCAAACATCAAGGTTCAGAAGGAAAAATTCTACTATTCTAATCTAAATATTACAAACATATAATTATCCAAAAATGAATGAATGACAATCAAAAAAAAAAAAATCCAAGTTATTTTTAACAAACAAGAAGCAGGACTCTGGCTGGCATTATAAAGTAAATTTATAGCCATCTGGTGTTGCTAAAATGTGCATGCGGCGCTGCAGTAAAGGAAAGCACTTAAGGCCTGAAAAAGGCCGTCGTTAGCTCTCACTCCTAATAAGTGTGTTGTAACACCTCTGCGTCATGACGCAGTGATGAGGTTCAGCCGCCGCGCAGCGTGACCAACGTGCAGCTCACACATGAGCCATAACTGTTACAGCAGGAGGCCGCACGGCAAGAACCTGCTCCATTCACAATCACCACGATCCGATCTGGAGGATTCATTAACCCTTTAACATTCACTCCATGAAGAAAGCAAAGCATTTTCTTCTTTTTCGGATCTTCAAAGATGTAGGAGCACTAATAACGCAAAGTATTTGTTTTTAGGACCCCTTTTTTATCATGAGCCTTTACCAAATGGTTAAGATGCAGTTTGACGGTAAAAGTGCCTTAAACCAAGTGAGATTACCCAAAGTGCCAAAGTGATATATCTCAGTTCCAAGCAGGCTTCAATAGATTTAGTGACGCAAAAGATGATCTACCAAATGTTTGAGGAAATCATTGAAGGTAAAAGAGAAATAAACATTTCTCTTTCTGAACGCGCTGGTCTCATGTACAGAGTGGGACTTACTTGGCCCAGAGTCCTTCTGTGCCGTGCGGCTGCAGCAGGTACTGATGCACCGTCTTGTTGCGCAGGGTTCCGGCTAGTTTTATTTTCTTCCGTGAGCGGTGCAGGTTGATGATGTAGATGGTTATGGAGCCTTTGGCATAGTTATGACTGAAATACAAGAACATACATTATATGCATTATTAAGATATTTGTGTAATTTATAATAATAGAAGGAAAAGTTGGTTCAAGAAAAGAAATGGCTGCTGCTCACATCTGCTGTCAGGGTCCGTCCACCATATGCCAAGTGGGATAAAATTCCTCATAATTAAAAATGACTACAAAGAAAAGAGCGGCTTTGATATTTTTATCACTTAGCCGAAGGATCAAACTCAATAAAACTGAGGGGAAATTTGTTAAAGTGTTCAACACAGACCGATAAAACAAACTGTCTGAACCATTTGTTAATTGTTAAGTTTATAATAGTCATGAATTCTTACTCATTGAAATAACCAGAAATCATTTAAAGCATAAACAAATCAATGATCGATGAATTAGGAATATCAAAATAGGACGCTCCAGCGAAGACAGAAGTAAGTTATTGTTGTTGCATCATAAACCAAAGCAAATTCCTGTTCACTGACAATGGAAATACAAGAATTTTGATTCTGATTCTAATTTGTGTAAAAATGATTTGCCGATCTGTGTGTGCTGTGGTTTAAGGGTCAGATGAAGTGTGTGAATGCGGCGGACGATGCTTCTTGAGTTTCACGCACAACAGCGAGCGTCTCCAGAGAGCTGCGTACGCCGAGACCCGGATCAGCTCAAAGTCAATAACTACGCGAGGCAGGGAAGACAAACATGATGAATTTAATAAGGGTCCAGATATGAGCACAAAAACAACACAGCTGCACTGAATAACACATGCCGGCTCCGCGCACTTAGCTACACACAAAAAATTCACATCTCTAAAGCAATTTTTCCTGATGGTCGGCTGTTTATCTGTGCTTGTCCGGGCAGTCTGATGAAACCACATTTACTTTTAATGAATCTAAAAAGCCAAATCTGGGTAAGTTGATCAGTAAAGTATTTTTGTTTGAACTATTGTTTTGGGAAAGTGAATGTGAGAGCCGAGTCCCACAGTAATACTTCACATGGCGAGATGGAGGAAGAGATAACGGCCTTTCAAGACATAGAAAAGATGGGGTTCCTATACAGACCAAAGCAGGAATATAAACATATGTTGATGCTGTTTGATGTCTGATGTTGAGAGTTGCTGGAGAGGAGAGAAATATGTAATCCAAACCACGAGAAGGGGTAAAAGGCCAAAGTAAGTCAAATATCTGTAATCAGTAAAGGCTTTTCAAACAATAGACAGCTTGAGTGCATTTATAGGATTATATAAAGCCTGCCTAACACACTACATGATTCAAACCAATAACATTACGATGATGAGTCCACTTGGGGCAAAAATGTGGGGCATTCAAAACATTTTTTCTGATTCTAGGCCTTTTAATGGATTAAAACAGATTCATGTATTGAGACAGAGTGTGGTTGAAAGTGGCTGAGTGGTTAGCACTCTGACCTCACATAAAGGAATGAATTTGACCTGTCTGATGACTACAATAGTAGTTTCATTATCTCTGAATCCTTGACTGTCAAGGGCATTTTATTTTGTTTGTTACTTGAGAACAGAACACAGTAGGGTTGGTAATGTGGGTTAACAATTGGAACATGATTTCTGTGATTATCTGCTTTTGGGTGAAAATGTCATGTAGTGACTTAGAATAGTTCGGTTTCAGTGGTTAGAGCTGTCGCCTCTCAGTAAGAAGGTTCTGGGTTCAGCTCCCAGGCTGTAGAGTGCCTTTCTGAGTGGAGTTTGAATGTGTGCGTAGGTTTTTTCCGGGTGCTGTGGATTCCCCTACCACTACTAATGATTTTTATGTTCCCAATCTTCTGAAAAATGGACCAATTGAGTTTGGATCTGAAATAAAAATGTATAACTAAAATAACAGTTGCTATCGTCACCAAAGTGCCAATCTGTGCAGAAGACAGATATTGTCTTTGTGCAGAGTAAGTACAAACTTCTCCAAACAACAAAGTGGACCACTCCTACTGGTCAACAGATGCAAAACAATTCATCTATTAATTACAATGTGAGCTTTCAGATGAAGAAAAATAGATATATATTCTTCAAGCCAGTATAAATTACATGAGATTTAAAATTGTGATCTGGCCCCATGTGATATTGCTTTTTGCATCTCGCCCGAAGGGTGAACACTGGAAAGACTTTTTTTGGTCAGGACCACTGAACAGTGTTAATGACAAAAATCCCAAAGTACATCAACCTTTGACTGTATTTGGGTGTGAGCGAGTCGTACTTGTAGCTGTCGCCAAACATCCCTCTTCAACACTTTGTTGCAATCATTGTCTAAATGACATCCACATGAGGATATTCCTTATGAAACACACACTTTCCTTTTTAATCCACTTGTGCTACAGTTTCTCCATTCAAACCTTGCAAAGATAAAACTGCTCCAAACACCACGCTCCCCAACATGTTTCTGCCCAGACATGCTCCACACATTCATTTACCAAATTAACTAGTTCAAATCTTAAACTAACCTTGAACCTAAGCTTGCGAAATAAACACATTAGCACAGTGTTTTTCAACCTTTTTTGAGCCAAGGCACACTTTTTTCACTGAAAAAATCTTGCGGCACACCTCCAGGAGAAAATGTAAAAATGTATACAGTACTAATGTAAAAAAATATATACTGTACATACTCTGTGTGATATATAAAGTATATCTTATCTTATAATGTATACAGTATACTCTGTAGCCTATATTCACAATATACAGTTATTCTCATCAAAATGCTTAAGTCCAGGCCTTGAAATTAAGCTTTATTTAATATTTCTCGATACAATTAACAAGAGTTTGGGAATAAAGTGGCACTAACTGTGTGGAAAAAAACTAAGAAAATCCACTCTCTGCCCAAATAGTCAAATAATAACTCACACAAAGAACATGCATTGTTAGTGCATGGGAAACATTTTGGTATCCGAGCTTTAAATTCAGGAGTTTTGGATGAGGGACACGGGAGGTCCTGAACGCGAGTCCATGGTTCTGTCCGGTCCGCATGTCTGTGGTTCTGTCCACTCGACTACAGTCTGCGCTCGGTACCCAGTTCAGAAGTGCGTTCGCGAGAGCTGTTGTACAAAAATTGTACATTTCATAGTTAAGCCACTACAACGCGGCCACAGCTGCCCCGGGGCAGAGCGGAGGATGTTAATCCTGTTCAGAAACGGCATAATTCATTTTCAAAAACGTCTCTATCACTTTCACTTCTCACTCGCCACAAAGCTCTTGTCTCGCTCCCTCACACATTTGTTGGTTGCATCCAATTTTACCTTTCTCGCCACAATGCTGACCTGTTACAGCCAGTGGTCGCATCCAATTTTTCAGTTTCAAAGTACTTAGCTATCTGCTGCCATCTACTGATTTGAAAAAGTATTACATGGTTACTCACAGTTCAAAACAAGTCACCGCTCGTCAACAGCGAATGCAGTTATTTTTAGACAAAGTAGACGAATTTCTCACGGCACACCAGACAATATCATACGGCACACTAGTGTGCCGCGGCACAGTGGTTGAAAAACACTGCATTAGCAAATGATCAATGAGTAAAAGGAAAACAAGTCGGACTATCACAAATGACAACCATCTTATTGCAGTTAAATGCAGGATTTCCTACTTATCCTCAATATATTACGTCGGATTAGAAATTGAACAAAGATGTTGAGAATACGGCATTAAAAAACAGGTATGAATAAAACCCTACACATTTCATAATTAAAACATAATAGAAACTGTTGCAAATCCCTACATTTGTTTAGTGTACTCGAGCGTCTTGCATTTTCATGACACGTTAGAAGCTTTCACTATTCTTGGGTCTAAGAGATATGTAATTGATTCCTGTCTGGGTAGAAGGCCGTAAGTCTAGCCCAGTGCTGACAGCCATGGGCCCAGGTTAAATGATAACCTTGAACATGTCCACGATGGAACTCTTCATCTGCTCCTGGGACAGACCCCCTTATTGTCCTCCCCCCTCGCTCCTCCTGTTCCCCCTGCAGCCAATCCAGCCAAGGCATAAAGGCTTAGGACACCTTTCAGCAGGCCGGCCCCCACACACCTGATAAGTGATACCCGTTAAGTTTTATAGGCTTTGAGCTGTGAATGAGCGGGTGTCTGTGGTAAGCTTATTTATGGGAAGATTTAGTTCTTTTCTCGCAGACACTCAGGCCTGAGGTGTTTGTAAAAAGGCACAAAAGTGAAAAACAAGGCCGTCTGTTTTCCATCTAAACTCTCAAGGACGTTCACAAGCAGCGCAGCAAAGGTTAAGCGGATATATGTGCCTTCTCATCTGCCAGTCTCACGAGCAGCGAGGGCCACATCCAGCGCAAAGTTTGAACGTGGAGCTGGACGTACTTGGAGAGGCTGGTGCAGTGGGCGTAGATTCGTAGTTTGTCTCGGATGACTCTCCCCGGCTGAGGCTTCCGCTGCAGACCGGCCACTCGCACAGCCAACACTTTGGGACCGACCAGACGCTTGAAGATCAGCGACACCCAGTAGTCCTGCATACAGTGTAACGCATGTTGACACAAATAAAGAGCATTCATGGACTTCAAAATGGCTGCCAAACGGAAGTTACTGGATCATGAGTCATTTCCTCGTCAAATCAAAATCCAATATGCAGTATATATTGAGCTGTCAAATTGTCAAGTATGATTTAACAAGGACTGACCTGCTCTTTAGTGTGATTCTTGCTATAAATTTTTATGTTTTCTTGTTCAATACTGTTTTGTGTTATGATTGCCGAGTGGCCCAGCGCACGGCGTCTCCCTCTACAGACTCTACAGCCTCAACACCTCACCAAATCCAGAACAACATGTGTTCCTCAGGAAGTTCCCATGCAATCCTGCATATGGCAACATTTAAGGGCTTCTTTTTCCAAGCAGGCTTTAACTTAATTTGCTGCAAAGGCATCGAAGAAGCAGAGCGCAGTATGGAACTGTATAGTGTTGGCCACAGGCAGAGCGATGGACGGACGAACACGAGGCCAAGGCTGTAAGCATTGATTATTAAATATTTAATCAAACAAAACACAGATACTGAATCAGGCCAGTTTGAAGCTGTGCATGTTTTTCCATGTTCAATGTCACTATTCAAAATAGTATTTATAGCGCTAGAAATAAAGATTACATCATTTTGTCAAAAGGCGAAATTAAGGGATTTAAAATAGACATAAAACCAGTTTTGGTGTTCTGCATTCTTGAGGTTAATGAGAGATCCGAGTGCCATTGTCACTTATAATTAGATAGGATTTATTTTTATGTTCCAGTTAAATTGGATAAAACCGAGCCATAATCATATCCAGAAAAACAGCACCATAAACATGAAGAAAGACGATTGGTTTTCATTAAAATTTACAAGGTAACAAGGTTCACATGCTAAATGAAATGAAAGGATAATTATAGCATCTGAAGTTTGTAAACATTATTGGCTCTTAGACTGTTTTCACCTGGAAAAGAGCTTCAGCCTGAATTGTTGAGGATTCAGTGTGGGTATGAAGGGAGGGATTTGAACAGGTAAAAGGTCTGGATGTGCACACTGAGCCGTGAGCCATGATCCTGGAAAGGGCCAGGCTACATCTCCACACTGAGCCGGGAGCACTGGTCCTGGAAAGGGCCAGGCTACATCTCCACACTGAGCCGGGAGCACTGGTCCTGGAAAGGGCCAGGCTACATCTCCACACTGAGCCGGGAGCACTGGTCCTGGAAGGGGCCAGGTCATAAATCGTGCTTGCCGGACAGTTTGGCTCTGCATGCTCTCAGCAGGTAGGCTGCTGCAGCTCTCAGACATCCAGCCATGTTAAAAGCATTGTGATCCTGGTGGGGGACTGTCATTCCCAGAACAAATATGGAGACAGAGAAAAAGACGATGCTATCTCAATTGTTGTTATTTTCGAGTTAAGAAGATAATGAGAAAACAACATGATTATTTTTTTGAATATAACTGCAAAAACAACAATACTTTTTGCTGTAATGTGCCTTAGAAACATGACCAACATGTTTCCTGATTTGGTATAGGAGTAACATCTTCAGCCTTCAGCCTAATAAAAGAACTTTTTTATGAGCTTAGTAAATCTTGTTTATGAACAAGCCTGTGTCTTATCTCCCCTTCACACTTCATGCCTCATGTAAGAAACCACATCAGTATTAAAGCTGGGGGACCTAACCCACCATGGATAATTCATTTTTGCACTTAAAGTAATAGGCCACCGTTTTTACATACTGACATATGTTCTTACCTTAGACTAGTTGATATGTACCTGTCTGGTCTTTGTCCGTGCGCTCTGTCATGCAAACGGAGCACAAACGCAGCCTCTTCCACAGACTGTATAGTACCAAATCAGCTCCCGTTAGAAGCTACCAAACTCTTCCACATGTTTCCTATTTAAATACAGTTACGTGACGTGTTACACTACAAAGTATAGTAACACAGAAATGTAACATGTCGATTTTCTCAGCGGATAAAAAGGGGTACCATATTGTGAGGCATAATAATACGAGGAGCATTATGTCCGCGCACTAACTCCTAAAGACCCACTCACTTCCGTCAATAGGAGCAGCGTGAGCGGGAGAGAAGTCTGGAGTTTGGTAGCTTCTAACGGGAGCTGATTTGGAACTATACAGTCTGTGGAAGAGGCTGCGTTTGTGCTCCGTTTGCATGACAGAGCGCACGGACAAAGATCACACAGGTACATATCCACTAGTCTAAGGTAAGAACATATGTCAGTATGTAAAAACGGTGGCCTATTCCTTTAACAGGAAGAGCCAGGTGAGAGTTGTGTCTTTATCATAGAATAGAGTATATAATATATATGTAATATATTGCATACTTGTAAGAAAGAGCCCTGGGAGTCACTATTTGACACTTTGGGTTGAGAACTGAGTGTTTTTTCCTTTTTAACTTTTCTGTCTGAAAAGGCTGATCTAAAGATGGGACAGACACAAAAAACAAATACATGTGAAAACTAGTGAAAGAACCAAAGAATTTTCAGTGCGAGGAACTAGTTGCAAGGAAAATTGGTCTTGGTTTGAAAGTTAAAAACCCCACCTTTAAAAGACTTATTTTCTTTCAGAAGTCTATTCTTTTAAAACATAGAAATGTTTTGTTTTTGGATGATTTTGAACCAACATACTGATTGAGTATTGGAAATACTCAAAAAAAAAAAAAGAGTATTTGCGTCTCATGTTGCTCTGTTGGACTGTCCTGCTGAGGTGTGGGGCTCTCACAGTGTCCTGGGACGCTCCTGACAAAGGGCTAAGGTTACACGGCATGTCGCCCACTCGTCTAACCACTCAACACTACTAAATGCCTTTCATCTTACCTAATAGCTCCCACGGGAAAGAGCCAAAGGTGCCATCAAGGTACCAAGACTAGACCTGGCACTGGACACTGCAGAAGTGGACTTAAAAGCCTTCTAGCTTTTAAGTCCACTTCTGCACAAAACCAAACTAATTCAATAATCCTGTAAAATTTACCCAAGTATGACCATCACTAATATTATACAGAACAATAGACTTACAGGCAAAGGGTTAAAATTCTGGTCCACAAGGTGCGTGTATCCATAATCAAAGAAAGAGTGACGCAGGACGACGTCAATCCCCTGAACAGCAGCCACACCGAGAGTGTTAATCCATCTATTAAACACAGAACAAAGTTTAGCTTAGAAAGAACTTTTTAGTGTTTGTGTACGACAGAAAATACTTACAGAAAGCCAGCCGCGTACGTTTGAGAGAGGTTGTTGATGCCTCCAGTCCAGGAAGGGCCCAGTCCACCAAGCCACACCTTTTTACCTCTGGTGTGAGTCGACACCACCTGCAGCAAGCACACGTCAATCTTTATCAGGACAACACATTAAACACTATGAAAGTATTCATGTCTGACTCCTGTTGGCTCAAAAAACTGTTTCTTAAATGGAATAGAGTTTTGTTCCCAGGAATGGTACTCCCTGAAGCACATTGGCAATGGTCTGACATGGAAGAGCAGCCACCGTGCCACATCGGACAATATTAAAAATCCATCCTCCCTGCCCTGAGGTCTCTCACACATGTGGCAGTATCATCCAAGAAGCTGCTTTGAGATCTGTTCTCATAACTTGGCAAACACAGCACAAATGCAAAAGTGGAGCTGGATGGAATTATGTTTTATTCAACATAGTCAGACTGACCTCATTTCTAAGGTCGCTGTGCTCGAGCAATATAAGCAATGAGGCTCGCCACAAACTGTGCTTACCTTTAAAACTTTATCGATCTGCTCTGACAGTGTGTCCATCAGTCTGGTTTTCATGAAGTCCTCCACTTTTTTCACTCGGCCATCCATGTAATAACTGCAAAAAACATAACAAACAATTATATTTCCTAGTATTTAAATAAAGTTTATAGGGCTTAAAAAGCTGTTAGAACAATAACAAAAGCCGCATGCAATCATTATCTAGAATTTACACATGCTAACTTCATTACAACGAAAAAATATAGAATGTTCAATCATTTCCATGATTGCTGTATTATTTGAAGGCATGCTATGTACAGGGGCATCTCACTGTGCATGTGAGGTAAACCCATCTCCCTGACTGAGATTATTTCTTATTCCAGGGAAAGTTGTATACCCCTTCTATATCTGCAATAGTGAAAAACACAAATCTGAAAGCAAAAACATTTTACAAGCGATCATAAAAGAAAACCTTTCATCACAACGTGATGGAGTATTAATAAGATTATTTGGCAAAACAACTGTTTTCTCATTGGTTCAGTGAATATTTCACACCAATAACAGCCAACAGCTTTGTGCCCCGGGGTGAGGCCTGCACCAAAGAGCTTTGCTGCGGCAAATTTGTCTCATTTAGTGTTTTTCCTCATATTTTCACTGATTCATCTGGAAATCATTAGCTTTAACACTAATAAGCTGTCCATCTTAATTCAAGCTGTAGGAAGCATCTGCATCAGCTTTAAATGCAACTATTTCAACTCAAGGGGGAATACTTTGTTCAACTGTTTTTGTGCTTTTACAAACAAGAGAGTATAGCATCAATACACTCCATAACAATGATAATAATATTAATAATAACGAGAATTATAATGCACCTGTTTATATAGAGCTTATCATGACACTCACAGACACTTCTCATGGAATTATAAATTTACTCCATACATGGTGCTAGTAAGCTACGTAGCCACAGCTGCCCTGGGGCAGACTGACTTTTCCAGATAAAACGAGTGACTCTACCTGCCTATGCAATAATATTTGAAATATAGACTGGCATTCAAGTGCAGGGAGCCCCTCCCCTGGAGGCGTCTCAGACGCATCTGAGCCACCCTGGCTGTCCCCTTGTGGAGGAGCAGCGGCTCTACTTTGAGATCCTCCTGTGTAACATGTTTGCCATATAGATGTATTATATATGGGACATGTGATAAGCTGATTTTGCAATTGCAGCAGTGTTTGGTTCATAAAGCCAAGTATTCGTGACTAGTGAGATAGTGAACCTCAGATGAAGTCTTCTTTCTTACCTCAAAGAACCGGCCTGAGCAAAGCAACAGAAGTGTTAATGAGTGGTCCCTGTTTTTATTAGTTTGGCTTCTTTGTAGAGGTCGTCCTTACTGTCACGCAGCCTGGTAAGACTGGAATCTGGAGCACTAGTGTAAAACTGTCTAATTGACAAGGAAAATGAGCCCACGCATATGGTTTGGTTTTAACAGTGTGGGTGGTGTTTGGCTAAGCCTTACTGACAAGCCTTCCTCCTTCCGTTTCTTCTAATTTCTCCTAATTAGACCTGACCTTCACCTTAATGGCCAATCGCTCACTCTCCTCCCAGACTTAACAGGGAGTGACTGAAATGGTATTTTTATGTGTCTGCTCAGATAGACTGTCCGTGTGCATTCCTACAATATAAGCCTCCGACACATGGCAAGTGTTTTCCTGCCATTTAACATTGTTTCAGCTGCTGCTCAATACAGACCATTAACATGATCTGCCAAACTATACAAACCAGCAAAAAAGAATGAGTACACTAATCTGGTCTATGTTTACACCTACAGAGAATAATAAATAGAATAAAAAGGGTAAAATACCTACTGTTGCCACGTAACCGCATCTACGACAGTGCCAGCATTTTTCATAAACCTAGGAAAATAAAAAGGTATAAATCATATATTTTAATTATTATCTTTATGTTTAAAGATGGGGTACCTAACTTCAAACCACAAGGGTATGTAGTAAAATGATTTTGTTTCAGGCAGGCTCAGTTTAGTTCTATCACTAGTGTTCACATGCATGTATTATCTTCAGATCAGCTTTTTCAGACAAAAAAGTGAAAAATAGAAGACCACCCTCACCCAGCTCTTAGACCACAGGGTTCTTTCCAACCAGGAAGAAAAGATCTATGTTTTCTAACAGCAGGATTTGTCTGATTCGTTCACAATCTTTAATTAATACAAGACTTTTTCTTTAGCTACAGACCACATAGCATAGATTATTTATGAATCAAAAAAGTTAGGTACCCCAGCTTTAATTGAAGTCGGATCTTGTGTTTTTCCGGCTTTATCCGTTCTTGGGAAAAGGACACTGGATTGCAATAAAGTTGTAAGACACAAAGAAGAACAAGAATTGCACAATGCACTTTTAATTGTCTCTAAACTCTGACCGCAGTGTTTTCAAAGTTTGCTTTTAATCATTTAAATAGCAACAACAAAGCAGCTCCAGTAAATGCCTGTAAAAATGTGGGAACACAGTATACCTTTTAATGGACCCATTGTGTACACGACAAACTGGAACCATCGCCAGTGCTGCTGAGCTGTTGCATCTGTACATCTGTCCCTCCACCTGCCTTTCCATATTTGGCATCACTACAGTGCCACTCATCCCCTAATCTCTGCCTCGCAACTTCAGGCCACAACTTTCACTCCGGTGGCTTGTTTAGTCTGTTCGAGGTTCATATTTGGGCTCCGCGTCCCATTCGTCTTACTTCCTGAGAGCAGTGGAGTAGTTGTAACTCGTAAACCATGTCAAACACACAGGCTTTAGAAGTGACACGGCGACCTACCACTGCTCTTCCTATCGTCAGACACTTTTAATCCACGTAAACTGTTGTACACCTTTTTTATGAGCGCATTTCGAGTACTTATAGGGATAAAGTGGGGGGACAGAGCGTAATGGTTTCATTGATGTGCCCGTCTCAGGTTCACAGAGCAGGAAGGCCTCATCACAGTGTGGTTTGGAAAAGACCGCAATCTGTGTCCTCTGAATGGAAACAACGTTACTTAAACCCAGTTTGGGATATATATATAAAATACAAGTTTGTTTAAAAATGTTCCTTTTGTATTATTTCTAAATGAGTTCTTATCACTGTTTAAACAAGAAATGCAACTGAGGAAAATAAAACCTTGTGAAACTTGGGTTAGTCGAGGACAAATCCCCAAATGACCTAAACCTCCGATAGAGTCCAAAATGGTGTTGCATATAATCGATAGTGGCGTTTTCCCCTCTCCCTGTCGGTCAGATTTGCTTGTGGAAATAGATTTTTCTTTTTAACCAAATAATATATCACCACAACTTCATAATGCTAAAGTAAAAAGTTTGCAGTAAAAGTTTTGGAAATTGAAAGTCTCTCCAGATGAGATCTTGTTTGAATATTCAACCTGAAGTTTCTGACAATATATGTGGAGGTTTGTACTTTGTCCTGTCAAGTATTTTTTATATCGATCACAGAATTGGACAGAACCGGTACGCACTTTCTGGATCTATTTCATTTCTGAGCTCTGAGCTTTTTTATGACCAAAAATGTATTATTAGGATATTAGGGTTAGAGTATGTTTGAAACATGGAAACCGTCATCTTACATACATTTGCATTCCTTTACCTCTCTCAATGAATGTTGTGGCATTTAACCAATAGACATTTTGTTTTTTATGTAAGAACTAAAAATTTAAACGTGTTTTGACATACAGTAATCCTCCAGGTTTGCACTGTATCTTAACCAATAAAATAGTTCAGGCAACAACAACAGGCTATGAAATCTATGCAAATTGCTCCCATTTCTGATTATTTTTTAATGTTTAATACCTACATCTTACTTCTTTATGTGATAATTGAATCAGGAGCATGACGTGGTTCGGCCGAGCTGTGGAATGAGCAGGTGGGACATTCTGCCTCCACATTATCAATCAGGTGACACTTTATTTAGGCTGACATGATATAGCTGGAGCTTAGGCTGAGTGTCTGAGGGTGTAAACAATGAACATATCCATTATGTGTGTGTATGTGCATGCGTGTCAGTGTGTGTATGCGTCTATGTGCTTGTGTGTGTGTGTCTGCCTGCGTCCTTGTGTGTGTGTTTTGTGCTTATATGGGTGTTTGTACGCATGTATGTGGATCTGACTCTAAGTCAGACTAAAAAGTCCAACGTAAGTCCATTATACTTCCAGAAGGGAAGTTTGGGAAGGTTTGGAATATTACCAAATCAGAGCTATAGTAGCAGACTCACCCATCCAACATCAGCAGAGCATTCTTGCGTGGTCGTCCTACATTGGGCCCATAGAGATGTGCTTTGTGGTAGTACCTCACCGACTGGAGGAGCGTCTTCAGCTTGGTATAGTCCTGCGCCCACTGGGTGCTGTTCACTGCACGCCCTACCAAGCTACGATAAGAATTTGGTTCTAGAAAAACACATTAGATGCAATTGAATAAACCGAAAACACAAAAAGAAAACAATGTGGAAAAACTGTTCAGTACTGTTGGCTTTTTCCTGAGAGGGTCCAATGTTCCGCAGAAGAAAGGATAATTGAGCAATTGGCAGTAATGTAGACAGATGTCTCAATGTAAGGGGGATGGACCCAGCATCAGGGAGGCCTTGCAAGGCGTCAAAACCAAGTTACACAAGAGGGATATAGTTTTTCATATTTGGAAATATAATATAAATGATAATATTATTTTTCCCAATAGTGTCAATACCTGAAAATTATGCAGTATTAGGATATATGAGTGGCCCATCTATTTCAATACTTTTGTTTCAATGTCATAATAATTAATTTCTACATTACTATCACCACTATTTGACAACTTATAACACTTTCAAAGCTTCACTGTGACATCCATCCCTCCACTGATTTTCTATTTCTTGGTTAAAAGGGCCGCAGTCTAAGCAGGGAGTCCCCATACTTCCCGCTCCATAGACACTATTCCGGCTCATCCAGGGAAGCGTTACCATGCCTGGGTCTTCTCCGGAGCCTCGTCTGGTGGAACATGTCCAGAACACCTCCTCAGTAGTAAAGTCAGGCAGAGCTCCGAGGACACGTGTGGTTAGGATGACATGACGACTAGCAGCTTTTAGTGCAGTGTTCATGTCGACCCTTACCTACTGGCGTCAGTCCATTTCATTTGCATTGTCACTTTAATTTAATAATAATAATAATAATAATAATAGTAATAATAATAATAATGATATTACTACATTGTACTTACTGTGCCTTGCGAAAGTATTCGGCCCCCTTGAACCTTTCAACATTTCGCCACATTTCAGGCTTCAAACATAAAGATATAAAATTAATTTTTTTTGTCATGAATCAACAACAAGTGGGACACAATCGTGAAGTGGAACGAAATTTATTGGATAATTTAAACTTTTTTAACAAATAAAAAACTGAAAAGTGGGGCGTGCAATATTATTCGGCCCCTTTACTTTCAGTGCAGCAAACTCAGTCCAGAAGTTCAGTGAGGATCTTTGAATGATCCAATGTTGTCCTAAATGACTGATGATGATAAATAGAATGCACCTGTGTGTAATCAAGTCTCCGTATAAATGCACCTGCTCTTTGATAGTCTCAGGGTTCTGTTTAAAGCGCAGAGAGAACCATGAAGACAAAGGAACACACCAGGCAGGTCCGAGATACTGTTGTGGAGAAGTTTAAAGCCGGATTTGGATACAAACAGATTTCCCAAGCTTTAAACATCTCAAGGAGCACTGTGCAAGCAATTATATTGAAATGGAAGGAGTATCAGACCACTGCAAATCTACCAAGACCCGGCCGTCCATCCAAACTTTCATCTCAAACAAGGAGAAGACTGATCAGAGATGCAGCCAAGAGGCCCATGATCACTCTGGATGAACTGCAGATAACTACAGCTGAGGTGGGAGAGTCTGTCCATAGGACAACAATCAGTCGTGCACTGCACAAATCTGGCCTTTATGGAAGAGTGGCAAGAAGAAAGCCATTTCTCAAAGATATCCATAAAAAGTCTCGTTTAAAGTTTGCCACAAGCCACCTGGGAGACACACCAAACATGTGGAAGAAGGTGCTCTGGTCAGATGAAACCAAAATCGAACTTTTTGGCCACAATGCAAAACGATATGTTTGGCGTAAAAGCAACACAGCTCATCACTCTGAACACACCATCCCCACTGTCAAACATGGTGGTGGCAGCATCATGGTTTGGGCCTGCTTTTCTTCAGCAGGGACAGGGAAGATGGCTAAAATTGATGGGAAGATGGATGGAGCCAAATACAGGACCATTCTGGAAGAAAACCTGTTGGAGTCTGCAAAAGACCTGAGACTGGGACGGAGATTTATCTTCCAACAGGACAATGATCCAAAACAAAAAGCCAAATCTACAATGGAATGGTTCACAAATAGACATACCCAGGTGTTAGAATGGCCAAGTCAAAGTCCAGACCTGAATCCAATCGAGAATCTGTGGAAAGAGCTGAAGACTGCTGTTCACAAATGCTCTCCATCCAACCTCACTGAGCTCGAACTGTTTTGCAAGGAAGAATGGGCAAGAATTCCAGTCTCTCGATGTGCAAAACTGATAGAGACATACCCCAAGCGACTTGCAGCTGTAATTGCAGCAAAAGGTGGCGCTACTAAGTATTAGCGCAAGGGGGCCGAATAATATTGCACGGCCCACTTTTCAGTTTTTTATTTGTTAAAAAAGTTTAAATTATCCAATAAATGTCATTCCACTTCACGATTGTGTCCCACTTGTTGTTGATTCTCGACAAAAAATTTAATTTTTATATCTTTATGTTTGAAGCCTGAAATGTGGCGAAATGTTGAAAGGTTCATGGGGGCCGAATACTTTCTGTATATACGTAGCGCTTTTTGGGACACTCAATGACGCTTTACGGAAGGACAATAAGAAACGAGAATTGAAATAAAAGCTAAAAATAAATAGCTAAGTGAAGACAGTTTTGAACAGTTGGGTTTTGAGCAGTGATTTGAAGGACTGAAGTGAGTCTGAGTTCCTGATGTGTTGCGGGAGTGAGTTCCAGAGAGAGGGGGCAGCTGCAGCAAAGGCTCGGCCCCCCAAGGTTATTTATTTTAACTGGATACTTACAAGGAAATATTGAAATTGTTTAAAAAAAAAGGGATATTGTCAGATCCCAAGCCTCAGAAAAGAAAATGCTGTTATGTGGCGTTTGTCTGAGCTAATAATACATTAGTCAAAAACAGGTAGTTTTAGTGCCAATTCAAAATATATAGTTCACAAATGTCCAAACATGAGTGGAGGAACAGGCCTGACTGTGGCTCTACGCACCGTTTCCCAGTTCCCAGGAGATGTTGTACTTCTTGCCAGCTCCGTACTTGAGGAGGCTCAGAGTGGATGACGTGTTCCAAGAGTTGTCAGGGTTTCGATGCAGAGCGTTCAACCCCAGGACCAGGTGCAGACCGGCGCAGTCAGCGAAGTTGTACAGTTTGTCTAAAGACCTGGCTGGGAGAAACCCACAAAGCAGTTGTAACTGTAACTTTTCAAATATGTGGAATTAAAAAGAACAAATAGTAAACAAGCCCTCTATATAAGCATCTGAACTTTATGTTGTGATATATTTGGTAACAGATGGTTACATCCACCACCACATACTCGGGGTGGGAATTGGCAAAAATGTGACGGTTCAATAGCATTGCGAAATTTGGGCCACAAGTCAATATTATTGTGATTCCTATCATAACGCGATACAGCAAGGATTGCGATTCGATTCTGCAATATCTCGTGATTCATGTCCCTCATATTCCAAGGCATTACAAAAATGGAGGACTGCTCAACTGTCAAATGTCACATTTATTCTGGTCTGCACATTAACTGAAGAGAAAAAACTTAGGTGGAAAGTAGGAAAAAGTTATCTTTGAACATTCAGGACACAGGCCCTTATTACAGGACAGACGATTCAATATTCAGCTCAGGGAAAACCTCTCACATGAACGGTGAGCTCCCAGCACATCACAATTATTCAATTCAATTATTCATATACAATAGACTAGAGATACAAAAAGCGACATAATATAGTAACATAAACCTCAGATTGAAGTAAACTAAGAGAAAACACAAAAGTGAAACCGATAACTATTTATTTAAAAATATAGATACTTTGCTCTACTGTTTTCCTTTAATGGCGTGAGCAAAATATGGCGATACAGAAAAAAAACGATTTTTCCTCCCACTTCTAAAATGGACCTGGGGATGGAAGTGACCAGCGCTCTTCTATCACTAACCCTTGGGCAACATTCAGAGAGGACATAGAATGATGTTCCATGTAAGAGCTCGCAGGCTGACCATTCCCTTCGTCGTCTGCAGTTTGTATCAAAGCTTCTTCACTGCCCTCTATCAAGACTGACCGGTCAACAGTAGAAGTCCTGCATAAATGTTGGCACATGCGAGTGTGCCAGGCGTGTTTGTTTAAAGTGAAACGTGTGACTGCTCCTGGTGCCTCTGGCTCTTGTTTTGGAATTCAAGCTCTTCAGAGTCATTGTGTTAATATAAATATTACCATGACCTATGACCTGGATTTCCTTGAGCCAAGAAAACAGGTGAAGAAGATGGTGCCATCTTAAGTGTGATCTACTATAAGTGTGTTGTTTCTCTTTCAAAAAGAAGCGATTGAAAGGGATTTACGACGTGACAAACTTCATGGAAACCTATCTACCGTAGTGGTGCCAGGGCATGACTTTAATAAACTCAACACTGCATCAGCATTTAAGAGATGGACATGGAAAGTGCAAATGTATGTCAATAAATCAGACAGTGGAGTGAATGTCTCGGGTCAAATGTGTTTCCAATCTGTATTTAAGCCTTTATTCTTCCTGAAACATTTGTTTTGTATAACCTACAGTGAACGTTGAAAGAAAACTAAGATGGTGTGTTGCATCGGGCCTCTGGTCATGTCCTCTGCTTTTATTAGGCAAAAACATATAAAGATAGTTTAGTTTAGCACTATGTGACTATCTTCCTAACTCAGGGTATGCTCACTCTGCATAATTCATTGATTGGTCGTAGTTTGATCGTGGTTGTCGAGTCCAAATGACATAGTTCTGGGTTTAGTTAATTTAGTTTGATCTGGATGAGGTGATGTGGAAGTGCTAACACAAAACCAGGCCAACCTAACAAACAAACATTATGAATAAGTAAACAAATGAACGAATAGTTATTTAAATTCAAATGTCGTAGTTCTGGAGCCTTGTCCCATAGAGTCTAAAGACCAAAAATCAAGAGAATCTACAATCTGTGTTATCACGCAGAAAACACTAAGAACTGAAAAGAGTTCCCAACATTCATTTATAAGAGTAAATAAATAGCATGAACCAGCCTGTAGTAAAACTTCTTTCATCTAACCGACTGTTGAGTTGAAAACAACAGAACTATCCAAAAAGATTACAAATGTGTGTATTGTGTAATGTGGAAACTGGAAAGAGCGGGGTCTGGACACTGTCAGTCTGTCTATCTGATAGAAAAGCCAGTTGTGTGAAGCGGAGAAGTCGGCAGCATCAGTCGCTGTTATGCCTCATTTCTACAGCTCTGCATTTTGACCCAAACCCAGACAGGTCTCCAAACACAGAACCAGGCACAAAAACCAGAGCACTCCGCGTGCCCCAGGAATACAAGTAAACTTTTTATACGGACAATCACATGCAGGTGGCACCCCATCGCATTTCCAGAGCTCTATGAAGGAAGGACAGGTTTCTCAGGTACGAGCTCAGACACAGAGTAGATAAATACAATGTAGCTTCACCAATATTTTATATTGAAAAAAAAATCAGAAAAAATATTAGAATAGCAATAATTCAAGTTTGATCTTTTAGTTTTGGAGCCCGGGACCTACTGTATGTAATTCTTCTGACTATGTTCTCGGTATTTAGTAAAGGTCATAGTAGTTTCAACCAGTAGGTCCTTTGTCTGAACTAAACTGATCCTCCAATGCAATTGATCGATATATCGTTATTGGCCAATATTGGCACCGCCCTACTGTATGCAGGGCCAAACCTGACCTAAATTATATTGTTAGAGATTTAACTCCTGGATTACATTTATCATTGAATTAATACCTCTTTTTAATTAAAGTGGGAATTTCTAACCAGGGCCCACACCACAATTTCCTCCACAGAACTTTAATGATTCACATTCTCACCTAAAACAAATGTGTTGGAGTGCAAAGGTTCATCACAGTCATGGTCAGTGGTGTAATGTTACAACCTAAGCATTAAACACTGTTCAATACATATGCCATCCATGTAAACTTGACACTGCCAGTTAACACTGGAGTGAAGGAGAAATGTGGTTTTAATATTGTACAACTCTGAGCTTCACCGCCAGCGTGTTACATAGACCATAACAACGTGGTGTTTAACCATACAAACTTCACATGGACTCTTCTTTCACACACAAACTGTTCAGCTCGGCCTATTTGCAAAATACAAGCTATTGGTGGTCACCTGTTTTCAATTGTCTATAACAGAATGGACAGTCTGTGCATGTGTGTGTGTGTGTGTGTGTGTGTGTGTGTGTGTGATTGGAAGACGGCTACAGCTTCGCTCACTCTGTAAATGTGAAGTGACTGAGCTGGTGTGTGGCCTCCTCCTCCTCCTCCTCCTCCTCCTCCTCCTCCTCCACAGAGCAGGTTGACAGAGCGGCCGAGTGAGTAAGATAAGTGGTATGTTAACACACACGCTTCCATGTACAGTATACGGCTGCAGTCTGCTCAATGCAGCAGCAGAGGACAAATGGGAAAATATGTGAACATCCAGTTGATGAGCAGCTTTAAGCCTGACTTTTGGGATGTGCCAATAGTAATGGGAGGGTTAAAAAAAAATTATGAGTTCACAGAAATGCTTATTACTATACATACATACATAATCCGTAATTTAATTTAAAACTTGAGCTCATTGATTCAGCTTGTGTATGAATTCAGGCCGTATAAAGTGCTGAGTATAGAGACTTTAGCATGCGCCCGCTCTCCTCCACTCACAGAACGAGGCTGCGTCCTCTCGCCTCTACAGCGCTGCCTCTACAGTAGCATGTTAGCAGAATTGGCTTTAACTCCTCTTGCTGTGACTGTATACACAGCAAAACAGCCCAAACAACACAACAGTGAGGAAGAGAAGAGGGAAATAAAGCGAAAAAATGATCAAAGAAGAGGTCAAGCCCGGGTGAACATAGCTAGCTTACATTGTATCCTCTGGAGAGACTGACAGTCTATGGGGGAGACCTGCGGGACCGCCTCTTTCAATTATATATTTTGTTGCTTTTGTACCATTTCATCAGTGATTGTTGTACAGCTTACAAGAAGTTGCGCTCATGCTAATGTTTGCATATAGATCGCAAATATAACTAGATGGCTCCGTGGGATGAGAGCGTAGGGGCAATGAGAAGCCTGTGAGCGAGTTAAGGGGCGGAGCTAAACATTCAAACCTTGCAGAAACGGGTATATCTCCTTTAACGTGTACCAAGCTGTGCTTTTTAAATCCTAATGACCTTGAAGTCATGGGAAAGCAAAAGGGCATCATTCCACAATATACTTACAACAAACTGGAATCAGATCAGATTGATTAACACATAAAAGTAATCTTAACCCCGCAGGAGGGGCTTCCTTATAACATCAATCAAAATGTGAACCTGAAATGTTATTTCAATCAAACAAAATAACATTCATGTACATACATGTTCTAAAAAGCGGTTGGAAGAAACCGTTGTCACAGTCCTTGGACTGTATATAATGACGTATTAAAAACTGGGCACGGTCACAAACGAACTTGGCCAAGTGGCCCGGATCGTTGCCACAGCGGTGTGAAGACAACCCTCGGTCAGAAGGGTTTATTTTTTCAACCGTGCCAGACCACATGCAGGTGTTTTACACCATAGACTGTAAATATTAACGAATTTAGTCACGCCTATTTCTTGCCATTGAAACTATGCGCCACCACTTTCGCCTTCAGTGTGCAGTTTCAAAATGGCCGTGAGGGCTGGAAAATGTTGAAAAAACACATTTGCGCATGCGTAACCCGGCACGAGCCCCGTTCCGTTCATTTGACGAGTGCCTTCAGAAGTCCACAGAGCGCTCCCCTCATCTGGGCTTTGCAACTGCGCTCAAGCCCGCCTAAAACTTTTTGACTTGGGTCAAATATTTTAAGGATTCTGTCGACCAGCTTCTCATAATTGCTGGCTGGAATTCTGGGCCGTTCCTCCCTACAGAACTGATATAAAAGTTTGTAGGTCGCCTTACTCACACACACCTTTTGAGATCTCCCTAAAAAAAATTATGGATTTAGATTAGCAATGGCCACACAGAACTACTGACCACTTAGACCTTTATGCTGGGGTTTTTTTGTTCACTTGGAAGACCTATTTCCACCCAAGCTTTGTAGTACATTTGACCCCTAATCCACTCAGATACCCCTGTACACACCTCTGCTGACCTGGGCTGGGGTTGGGGCTTGGGATTG